GATTCGGAGCTCGGGGTGGTGGTCGCAGCGGGCATAGGAGCAGGGCGACCGGGGATGGTGGGCGGTTTGGAGAGATCGGTATATCCGACCGCGGGGACGGTTCCCTCTCCAATCCAACCGGGAGTCGTGGACGGGGGCGACTTCCCCGAAGAATCTTTTCGGCTTTGACGCAGGGCTTCAAGAAGGTCGACTCGCTCCCGACATTGGAGCTCCAGCTGGCGGATCGATTCCTGAAGGGCCTTCTCCGTCTCGTTCTTGGGGGAGTACTTGGAGGGAACTCGATAAGCGTTGTGATAGTAGATCGTCTCGAGAGCGGATCGCCAAGACTTCAAAGCTTCTTGTTCGTTGTTCTGACCAAACGGAAGAAAGTCAATCAGGATTCAATACGAAGTCAGTGGTGTAAAGGAGGGGAATCGCGAACGAGAGGCGACCAACCTGTCCCTCGAAATAAACGGCGGTGGAGCACATCAGATAGCAGTCGTCATAGGTCTTCTGCAGCGAAGACGCCGGCTTGGGGCGCATCATCGGATGTGCCCGCACGCCATGCAATTGGCGCGACGGGACTGTAGATAGACGGGGATTGGGGAAGGTGTAGGGGTTGCGGAAGTAACGGAGTACAGTGATTTAAAGAGGAGAGTGTGGAGGGAAGAGTGAGGAGAGACGTGAGCCGAGGGAGGAAGAGAGGAAGAGAGAGAGAACGAGGTGAGGGGGAACCGCAACTGTTCTTTTTTCCGTTTTTTTTCGCCCTTCTGCCTTTCCCGTGACGTCGATGTCTTGGAGCCCCACGATGGCAAATATCAATGCTACTGTACTTCTACGACCCCAATTCCCCTCGACTGCGCCTGGAATGTTGGTCCGGTGTATGTCAGTATTATAAAGTACTTCTTGGATATCATCCAGCCTGGCTGGTGCCTTATATCGTCCATCCCATCTATGAATACATGTTTCGCAATCCGACCTGTACCAGAAAAAGAGAACAAGATAAAAAGGAAAAGAAATGAAAATGAACATGAAAACACAAGAGGCATATCTCACTCATATCAACCAGAATGAAAGTAGAAAAAAAAAATCAAAGCCTCCAGAGATCCCCTGCGTTCCAAACGCCGGTACAATATAGCACGGAAACACATCGGGCCCTGCAGCACCGATCCAAGAAAAGCTCACCCAGTATATCAGTTCGGTTCGGTCCACTATGCCAGAAACAATCCCAAATAAATGCACTCGTCCAACAAAACATTTATACATGTGGCCCAACGGGTCGACCAGAGAATGGGAGAAACATCCCCCTCCGAGAATCCTCCCTGTCCTCGCACCGACCTTTCCGGGCTCCGAATGTCTCGGAGGTTTCGCGATCGGTCAAAGACTAGGAGGGTGAAAATAATGAGCCACTATAGCACCCACAACCGTCTTGTCAAGCGTCGATGCGGCCCATACCTGCGTGTTCACGATCAGATGCTTCCCGTATGCATGCGATGTGAAGAGGGGGATTTTCAAGTAGATTTTTTTCAGTTGCGATTATTGATTTTCTCTCAAGTTTTTCGATCTTTTCTATTGTGTTGGGGGGTTTTTTACTTCTTTTTCTTCAATTTTATGTTCGTCGGCGGAGAGCTTCAGCTAAGGCCAAAGGAAGGGGAGTGTTGGAGATGTAGTGAGTCAGATTCATGCGATCGGGTCAGTTGGTGGAAGCAGCGAATTATTCCGACAGGCCCTTGAAGTAGGCCTTGGCCATTTCGTAAGATGTCCTATAGTAGAGGTTAGAGATATTAATTTGGGTAGATAAGAGAAAAAAAAAAAAAAAAGAAAACACCTACCAGCAAATGGCCGTGCTGGGCATCGTAGAGATAATGCGGGGGCGAGCGCCACGTAGGAACCCACTCCAGCCAAACTGCCGCTTGATGATTGAAGCCGCGTTGAAGAGACCCTTGGCCGACCGAATCTCCTCGTTCTGTGCCAGACCTCGAGTTTGGAGAAGAGTCTTCACTACGTCGAGAGGCGTGGTAAGACCGGCGGCGAAAGCTCCCGCCAAACCACCGGCAATACAGTGGGTGAACGGGTCGTAATCCTGGGAGGGGTTCATGACTTTCGAGAGGGACTCGTATGCAACAAATTGGGTGGCGGTGAAAGGAACGGTCATGCAAAGGGTGGTAGGATAAGACACATAGAACGCCTGGAGCCCCTCCGTCCGGTAGACGGTCTTAGCGCACTGGAGAAGGGTCTTGTGTACAGATCCATGTACTTGCATCCGCTGTTTGATCACTGTGGTCGGTCAGGTTTTGCCCATCTTTTTAGATTGAATAGAATCGTCCACGTCGATAATTACGCACCGTCAAAGGGGTTCATCAATGCATCGCTGGCGATGGTCGCGGAGGCACCACTTAGAGCTAACCGAGGTCACAAATCAGCAATCCGTAAGGGGGTATTAAGGAACCACAGGACCAGAAAATAGGAGCTCACTCACCGGCAGCCATCGGGTGGTGCCCATCGTCGACATTTCCACCCGCAAGATCCTTAACGACCTCGTATGTGCCAAAATACACGGCGTGGGCGGGACCTGTCGGTAGAGAAAAATCCCATTAGCTTCTCCGACCCTCACCACAGACCAGCCATTATAAATCACCACTCACCAGCGCCAACAATCACACTCGAAACACCCTTCCATAGTGTCCGCCAGCCTTCGATCCGGTAAATGGTGGAAACCGCATTCGTCAACCCCGTGTAGAGGCCTCCGCTCGTAGGGTGCAGGATTTGCATGCGAGTCTGCCGCCGAGAAGATTCCAGTTAGCAACTAGCCCGATCGCCGCGCAATATCCGACAGCCATACGGACGGTCGTAGAAGAGCAGGACACGTAGTCGGGATCGACATACCTTCAACAGATCTACCGGGTACATCACAGCGTGTTCCTTGGCTACCAGTCAGCATCACTCCCCCTGCCCATCCGGTGTTTCGCTAAGCATACCGCAATACCAGCGAACGCGCCAGCTAACATGTTCCGGCCGAGGCCATAATTCGAAGGGAGGGCTTCATAACTATCAAGCGATCCGGGTTAGCATCCGATCGCAACTTTATTTTGGCGATATGTTCAAAATGCCGTTGACGCAGGTATGATGAGAACGGCGCAATCGGTGATCAAGAGCGACCGAGGGTTTGCCACAGGAAGTCAACTCTCTTTGGCGAGAGAGATTGCGCCTTGGTGGAGGAATTGGCCGGGTTGGAAGAAAAGTTGATCAGGCATAACAAAAGACGGGGGAGAGCCGCCACTTACTCGAATTCCTGCCCGGGAACTTGCTCGGGGGCCGCCATGAAGCTCTGATAGCTGGAGAAGCAGCCGGGGCTGCAATTAGGCGGATTATAGGAAGGGGGAGTAGAGGAGGAGAGAGGTATGGGGGGGGGGGGGAAAGATCGCAGCGTGCCGGAGAAGAAAACGGAAGTGCGGAGCGGAAAGCTGAAGGATGAGAGGTTAAACCGACTCCGAGGCAGCGAAGCTAGTAGGCTGGGAAGAAAAAAAAATAAAACAGGGTCAAAGAATTAGACAGTAGTTAGATGAGACCCGTCTCAACCACGAAACCACTCAAAAGAATAATTACAAGATACCGACGAGAGATAGAGAGAGGAAGAGGATGAAAGAGGAAAGAAAAGAGACAAGCTGGTCGGAGGCAGCGAGGGAAAAAAGAACGATAAAATAAAATCAAATAAAAGAACGATACGGAGCAGATGTCACAGTACGGTCACGGAGGCGTATCGAAATACGGCTCGGATTTATCGTTTAATCTTGTTCTTTCACTAGTTCCTCTTCCTCGGCCATCGGCGCTTTCGGTTGTTTTTTATTTTATTTTATTTTTATCTGATTCCTGCGGATCCTCAGGGTGATCGGTGGAATAAAATTTCTTTATCGCTGAGAAATCACATATACTTCGCTCTACAGAAGAAAATTCAAGAATATAAGAGTACAAATAAAAGAATTAAATAAAAAAAGGTTCATTCCGTCCCCATCGTCCCTGCTGAATCATCGCTCTGAGGCTAGAACACGTCCGATGACGGAGTGGTCAGGATCTGAGTCAACCACGCCCGTTCCCTTAAAGAAAAGTATTATTATGGGCAACGCATCCTGACAGGTCCTCGAGAGACGGACTGGATCCTCCTGTCATCCAGAAGAAGCGCCGAACCCCGGAGGTAACCAGAGAAATCTACTTGATCTAGTAATTTAGTCAACCTAGTAGTCCAGGCATCCCGCGGAGGACCCAAACTAGTTTCTTATCTGATCCTCGCTAAGCCGAAAGTGAACTGCCGTGGACCTCCGAGGAACCCGTGACTAACAGTTTCCTGCCTTCAATCTCCATCGGACGGGATCTTTGGACCTTTGGAACTTTAGAAGAAGTTTCGAAGGCCTGCAGTGGACGGTGCAGGCTGCAGGCTCCCGATTGCAGATTGCAGATTGCAGACTCCCTCAGATATAAGAGCCCCTTGTACTCGAGTTATATCCTCCGTACGCCAGCCATGCCCGAGCTTACGGTGAGACACCAGGCTCCGATCGCCAACACGGAAAGGTTCAGCGTTTCGCAGAGGACAGAAAACAGAAAATATGATAGTAATAACAACATATGGAATCGAAGACCCGAAAGATCGGGATCTATCATTCAGCACGAGAAAAGAAAAAAGCTCGGCCCATATCAAATCTGCTAAATGTAAATCGCCCGGGAAATAATTGTTACATTCAATGAAAAAAATTACCATGCATTTAACATATTTGGCATCTCTCGATCCCTCGCCGGCCAAGAAAGAAAAAATCGGGGTGGAGATGCGGAAATCATATGCTCTACTAAGTCGGTCATGCACGTCGTGAGATCCATCGGCCCTTCTGTGCCCCCTGGCCGCCCGAGCACCCTCGGCCCCGACGGTAGTAATAGGTCCGATCAGCGTCTATTTGTATACTCTACCACTCCACGTTAAACGACCATTCTCCTTAAATAAAAAAAGACCACGGTTAGTGTCGGTTGTCATTTCAAGTGTCAGGCCGCAACTTACCATTTTTGAGGTTCTCCGCAGTATCGCTCAATAAGATCACTCGCCGCTTGTTGCAATAGGCCGTTTTGTCCAGAATATCCACCTTGAGGTTCGCCAGCTCCGGCACCGGCTTCTCAAACATCTCACTCAAGCTTTCCACAGCCATCTCGAGATCCTTCTGGTTATCCTCAAAGATCTCGGTCAGGTTGTTTCGGGCAAGGTAATAGGCGAAAGCATAGGTCCATTTCAGCGTCTGCCGGCATTGCTGAAGCGCATGGGATGCGGTTTCCAAAAATTGCACCTCGATCCACGAAAGGCCGGACTGCGACTGCAGACTAGTCATCTTCTTCTCCGTCTTAAGATATAAATCCTTATCAAGTTTGGCCGATTGCTCGTGGTTGGCGTATCGGTTGTAGTAGTGCAGATACCTTTCCAGCGAGGCTCGCGACTTGGCCTGTTCGGTACGCGCTTCGGACCCGGATTTTTCCTCGTAACGGTTGCAATTATACCAGCTGGTGCCGTGCTCGGACCAGAGACCCATGCACATCCAGCAGAATTCATGCTTGCATTTCCGGCAGGTCATGTGATTACATCCTCCATTCTTCTCGATCGTCGAGTGGCATCGGGGGCATTCCTTCGTGTTGGCCGAAATCCAGTTGGCCGTTTCCGAATCATCCTCGCATTTCTGCAGCCACATTTTCACCAAGCAGCACGGCGACGGTTGGTGGTCATTCAGTGTGCAGCCGAAACAGAAGAAGTGCTTGCAGAAACACTGAACCGTAGGGACTATACGACGCAGGTCGCGTTGTTTGACGGGACATTCAACGGCGTACTCGCAATTCGGGGCCGGGCACCACTTCAGTTTTTCCTTGTCGTCCACGTAGGTTCGGATCAGTAGGGTTTGATACCTAAAGCCCCTCGTCAGCAACCGTCATCACCTAAAAGGGTCGGTGTTTTCAGGAAGAAGATTCCTTACCTTTCCTTGAGATCGTCCGTGACGAGAAGGTTAAGGGTTTTCGAATCCACAATCATATGACAAGTATCGCCCGGGCACTCTATCCGGGCCGCCTCCCCTTCCTCGCGAATCTTCTGCCCAAGATAATGTCGATAGCAGTCAACACAGAATCGATGCCCACAGCGCATCGCATACGTCTCGAGATCGTCGCCGTCCTCGCAGCAGATATCACACATGAAATTTGGCACAACTTCGGTTTTTGGCGTCGATTGAGAATACGTCCCTAGGCCAGCCTCCTCTAACGTCACCTCCGGGCGGTCCATATACGACTCGATCAACTTTTCTCGATTCCAACGACCATATCGTAAAAGGATGGCCGCTGACTCCGGCGGCAACCCCAGGATCGTTGACACCTCGTTGATTTGCTGGCTTTGTTCCCGCTCAATATCCACCGGGCTCAGGACTTTGAACTCGACCTCGTATGGTTTTCGAGACGTTGCGATGATATCTTTGTCTTTAGAGAATCCCCCATCGAATTCATCGCCGAAATCTAGCAACCGGGAACCGGGAAGTTAGTTTATCGGTGGCGTCGGCTCATAAGCCTATCACAACTACGCACCTTCCCCTAAACTGTCATCATCGCTGCCTTGGGTCCCCAGGAAATCCTCGGTACTCGAGGCGACGCTCATGAAGTCATCGTCCGACTCCATGCTGGTCGACGCAGGAGTAACCAGATCAAGCTCCTTCTTTCGGTCGGAAACCAAAAATCCCCCTGAAGTCCCCGATTCTGAATCCGTACCGAGCTCCGGGTCGACGAGTTTGGTCTTCTTGTGAGGTGTGTGGTCTGAGGTCGGACTGGTGGCGGTTCGCGAACGGACGAGGGGTGCCTTGGTGGCGAGTGAGGTGATGTCTTTGGTTGGAAGCTCCGCGTCCGCCGCCTTTCTCTTTCTCGTTAAAGGAGGCGTGGTGAAAGAGAAGTCTTTATGGCAAGCCGGTATGTGCTGACACGAAAAAAAAGTAGGTCTCCGACGTCGAGACCCTCTCTTTTTTCGCGAGACAACACAAAGCACAGCTTACCAATAAGAGGATTCCCAAGGGATGGGGAGGGGGGAGGAGAGTGGCGGGGACAGTGCAGCACTAGTCAGCCGATCGATGGGTGTTATTGAAGGGAAATGAAAAGAAGAGGAGTAAATTAGGTAGGTTGATTAGCTTGTTGGAGGATGGAGGAGGGGAGGAAAGAAGAGGAGGTGGAGGGAGACAGAGAGGGGGGGGGATAAGATTAGACTTGGAGTTGGATGACTGGTTGCAATGAAAGGGTGACTAAAGCGATGGCTGAATGGGCTTTGGGACGTCACGGGGGGGTGGGGAATATGAGAAAAAAGGAACAAGTGAGGCCCCGTTTTATATTGGGCGGTTTTGGACCAGTCAAATATTCACTTCTTGAACAGGCTATGGAGTCTGCCGACTGACAAGGCTGCGACTATTGCTGCCTCCTCTACACAGTCTACCAGATCTCTCTATCTCTCTGCCAGCCCTCTCACCCTCTTTTTCGCTCCCTCTCTTTCTCTATCATGATACCTACCTTATGATCGGTCGATAACTGGCGATCACGAATCTTGAAGGCAGCAGAACCGTGGGCGGGAGCGACCGTTGGATGACAAAGGAATGATGATGTCAGATCTCGAAAGTGATCAACAGCTCTGTAGTAAACACAATCACTAACTACACTGCGGCCACATCGAACCCTCTCGCTTGGCAAGATATTCGAATCCTTTCGCTTGGCAGGATATGAAGACCGATTGGATATCCATTCCAAGCAGTTCGGCCTGAATGGCAAATTGGATCTATCACACTATTTCGAACCCTACTAGCCTACGGAGTATTCCGCGTTCTGGGTTTCGGATCCATCGTCGAATCGGTCGTCGTCCTGAGATGAGCTCTCCGAAATCAAATCCTGCACGAATTTATAACCGCCTTCCCATCAGTGTGATCTCCATTGGAACCCTTCTATATCAGCTGCATCTGAAGAATGCGATTCGATGTATGGAGTCGACCCCAAGAAGTGGTGTCGATTGTACACAAACCTCGGCCCCGTTTGAAGTTTTTTCACGATTCTTCTTACGCTATTCCATTGCATAATGCTATTCCTCGTCGTCTTATCTCTCTAGGGACACTGTACCGGTGTCTCCACGGCATGAAAAGCGAGAACGGCAATCGGGCTATCAGTCCCTAAATGTCGAATTATTAAATCATCCCGGCGAAGCTCAATGTCTTCAAAAGACGCTTTGGTTTATAAACGACTCGCTTTCCTTGGAGAATGTATACCTGTTCGGAACTGGTTCAAAATGACCCCTTCTACTCGCTTGTTCGAGACCTTTCGCTGTGTGGTTTTCCATAACTAGTACTAGCAACGATTTTTCGCTAATCCGGGACATACGTCCGAACGAAATAGACTGGGCTGGGATGGATCATATATGAAAAGGGGGGGGGGAAGGTGCCTATAAGGAAGTGTCTCATCATGGCCTCCGACACCTTGGAATTCAACCAACACAGGCATTTCATGCACACGGTACAGTACATTGCTCATAAGTCTAAGCGTGCACCGCCCTTCGGTGAGCATCGGGCTGCCTCCTCACTCCACGCATCGATCTCTCTCAACGTCCGTTCAATATCGGCCTTGATCAATGGAATGGTTTCGGCGCCCATGAGCAACCGCGTTGGCAGGGGCCTTTCAATCTGCCCAGTCACCGCGTCAAATAGCAACTGAGCACATACATCCGGGTCACTCCACGTGTCCTGGGAGGCCGGGTTGGTGATATACTCCCTCAAATGGCTAAACGGGTTGGCGGGAGACTCGTATGCTGGATGTCGACGAGCAAGCTTGAGGCCTGAGCCGGCAAAATTGGTGCGCACACCTCCTGGTGCAACGATCAAGAACTTGATGTTCCAATCAGGATTCATCTCCTTCGCAACCGACTCGGTATACCCTTCAAGAGCAAATTTGCTACCCAAGATGTCATCCCATTTGATCTCTCGGTGGATGCGCGGATGTATGTGTACCTGGCATGATAGAAGGCATGACCCGGCGCGGTCAGCCATCCACCCATAGACGAAATCTGAATGATCGTCCCTCCCTGGCTACGAGGGTTCACTTCGCGGAAGATCCTCAGTGCCTCTTGCGTTATATGCACAGGGCCCCAGAAGTTGGTTTCGAGTTGATGTCGAGCGTCTGCTTCCTCGATAGCCTCGGTGTCGCCCATCAGACAGTATCCGGCATTGTTGATAACCACGTCCATACGACAGAATTTATTCGCGGCCTGTGTAAGAGATAAAAGAATGTTCTCTCTGGAAGTAACATCCAGACTGAGCTTGAGCACCGTTGGCCCGTCAGGCAAGTATGAAAGCGCTGCGATGTTGCGGGCCGTCGCCACAACACGATGGCCGGCGCTATGAATTCTCTTTGCGAATGCCTTTCCAAGGCCAGAGGAGCAGCTGGTTACTAGCTGTGTCAGCTTATAAATTTTGCCATAGTTATGGATCGCTTCTTCACGCACCAAACCAAACTGTCTGGGGATCAATGTTCGTGGGAGGAGTGGACATTTCGGCGCTGGAAATCTAGATGATCCTGCAAGTTGGGAGGTTTCAAGACAAGAAGCCATCAAGGTGAGTCCATGCCTGGTTATATAGGATTTCGCGCTCATGGGCCACTTCTGATTATCCCCCAATATGAGGAGAAATCTCTCATATTGGAGGCATCCCGATCCAAGGGCACAGCCCGTTTAAGCCCAATTCGGTATGTGCACTAAATTAGACGCATCTCATAGCGTGTTGTTGACCCACGAGGCCCACGACGATCCACTCCGATCGACTGATCTGGATCTGTCTTTGATAGGCTTCAATCTCATGTTGAACAAGAGTCTTTTTCTTACCAGCTATCATCCCGGTTGATTACCTCTTCCGGAAACTGCCCTAATAAGATACCCACTTTTACTGCTATGCCATAGACGAGAATGAGACCACCGACTCACCCTTCGTTGTTATCACGGGAAATCCCCAACGAGGGAAGGGTGAGCGATTAAGCCGAGTGCGTTCGCACATCACGAAACGTCGTCACCAGCAAGATGGCCGACGACAGACACGGATATCACAGCCCTTGGACTGGATGAGTCCTTATAGCGAGGTCGACTCTCCTCTAGTGTCTTCTATGTTACCGCTAGCGCACATCGGTCATCAGCGAATGCAGAGCTGTAGGTCTATCGAGGGTCGAATGATTGCAAACGAAGGATATCGTTAACCTCGGCTCTTTCAAGTTCTGGATCAGTACCTGTACTACAGCCGCGATGTCCATCCTTCTTTTCGCATCGTGATCCTCGCTGCAGTTACTTGTGCGCCGCTCATGAGCGCTAAGATCCTCACAGCATCAGCATGGGACGACCTCAATAATACGGGAGATCTGCAATTTAACTCTGCGTCAGCTTGTCATCACCCGGGGCCTGATAAATGAGTCAATGGGTAGTTTACAAGAAGCCATCAGCGATACCAATATCGCCGCTTTGATTTCAGTCCTAATATTCGATGTATGTGAGATGTCCCTCCATTCGGACATGGAACGCTGATGTCGTCATACTACAGCTGGTAAATGAGGATCGCAGCTCCTTTTTCCGACATAAACAAGCCATATATGAGCTGATTCGCATGCGAGGAGGCATGCAGACATTAGGGTTCAAAGGACATCTGGCGAAAAGCATGCCCCTGTATGTATGCACATACGCAAACTCTCCATGCCTTTCTAACACTCTTCAGAATCTAACAACTGCAGGGCGTTGTAAAGATTGCTACGTCTGCGGATAATAATTCCCAGTCAGGTGGTATTTTTCCTACTGTCGATCAGCCTTTAGATCTAAGAATGTTCACTTTTGGTCGAAATCACGACACTTCTCCGGAACCAACCACTCCTTTACTAGCCATGATCTTGGGCCATTTTTCCCGACTGTTATTTCTTTTCAGGGAATGTGCTAGCCATTCTTCCCCAACAGCCACCCAAGGATACTGCTCCGCCCAGCAGATGGCAATATACTACGATTTACTTGCGATCAGACCGTTCATTACAAGCAGTATCGATATAAAAGCAGAGGCCATACTCCATGCAGCCCTTCTCTTCAGTTGGTCAAGATCTACATCCTACAATCTCGATACAACGGATTGTAATGAAAGCTTGGCCGCCTTGCGAACAAGTCTCCAGCACCCAGATCTTGATCGATCATGGGCTCACCTGCCAGGAGCGCTTATCTGGTGTCTGGTTGTCGGGGCGAGACTGGCCCGGGCAGGATCAATCAGAAAGTGGTTCATGATGCAGCTGGTTCGAGTCACATCTTGTATAGCCCTTGGGCAGTGTGACGAAGTGCTGCAGACTCTACGGCTTAGTGTTGGGGGCTTGGATGCGGCAGAGATGCTGGCTGACATGAATTGTCCAACCTTATGACCTGGAAATAAAGGATGAGGATGGGCAAACATCCCAGGCCAACTAGATCGACAATTCCATGAAAATACGCGAGGAATCTACTTTTCTTGCCTTGAGATGACTGGTTCGAATCAATGCTGCTATGAAAGGAGCAGTTCAGTATGATCCGCACTGTGGGGGCATTGATAGCGAGACGAGCGTTGTTGCTGGGAAGTGAAGGGGGGTTACATAAGATAATGCAGTTTATGAACACACCAGATCGACTTCTTGACTTCACTATCCCCAAGAAACAGAAAGGAAAAAAACATCCAGTCAAGCAATCAGGTGTTCAATTGATGGAATGGGCCAAAAACAGGAGAAAAAATGATTGACAAGAGTGGGATTCGAACCCACGCCCCTTTCGAGACTAGGAATATTCGTAAGAATATGGAAGATCAGGTACCTGACCCTAGCGCCTTAGACCGCTCGGCCATCTTGCCGTGATTGGTGAAAGTGGATATCATATTTTGGCTACATGAGCGAGTGTGACAGATGTGACACTACCAGGTAATTATCGTTCCATCATGTATGGCACGAAGCCTCCGCTACATCAGCCAAAGAGGTTGAGATTTCAGATATTTGGAGGGGATTGTTGTATCTTATCTGTCTTACAGCTGAATTGTAATGCTTGTTCGACTTCAGCTTCTGGTCTTTCCCTGTTGGTTTCTTTGCGTTGCCAAACTCGCGAGGGTAAGATAGCAGTTTAATACCATCGTGAGTGAGTGAATATATACAAGAAGTCATGGGTAAAGATAGTAGATCTGCAAAAACTTCAAAAAGAAACGACAGCTGCAGGATTCGAACCTGCGCACTCGAGAGTACGCGCTATTATATACTAAGACAGAGACATCATGTGTTTAACAGTGACACCTTCATGAATAGCAGGCGCGCGCCTTAACCACTCGGCCAAACTGTCAACTGATTGCCTACCGGGCAGTTCTGGTAAATCATCAATAACAATGCCACGTCTCGGAGCATATCAGGACGCAGTAAGCAAGTGCCCCAACTGCAACCAACACAACATCCATTCGGACCAAGTTGGTTGCACCCGCTGCAGGCAGCAAGGCAAATGAGGCCGTACTATGTAAGCTCGGCGGCCGTAAATACGCGGAGTGCGTGGCTTATCTCCGATGTTTACTCCGTATATTTCCGCGATGTCTAGATTCAGCTCTTTGTCTCGATATAACAATATAATGTCATCGATCCCAGCCGTCGCATCGATGTCCTTTTTCTCTCACTTTCTCCTCTTACCCTCCTCTTCTGCTACCACTGACACAAATATAGATCCATCACCATGGGCGGCTCATTCCCAGGCTTCCTATACCGCCAACTGACCTTCTGCCCCAAGCCCCTGCCCACAACCGTGATTCTCCAGGGCCAAACTGCCATCATCACAGGCAGTAATATCGGGCTCGGCCTCGAAGCCGCCAAACAATTAATTGCACGAGGCCTGAGCCATCTCATCCTGGCCGTCCGCACCGTGTCCAAGGGCGATGCCGCGAAGGAAGAGATTCTTCGCGACAATCCCTCGTCGGCCTGCACAGTCGAGGTCTGGGAGCTGGATCAGGAGTCGTTTGACAGTGTAAGAGCCTTCGGGGAGCGCGCACAGGCTCTGCAGAGATTGGATATTGTTATTCTTTCAGCGGGTGTGAAGCTGTTGGAGTATAAGAGGGCTCAGACGGGACATGAGATGAATGTTCAGGTTGGTTTCTTTTCTTTTCTTTTTCTATTAGATTGTCTCTCTTCCCTCTTTCTTCCTTCTCTCTGACTATCTATCCTTTGCCGCATGCACATTTAATTAACCCACATACGCATCCATACCTAGTAAGAACCAGCAACCAACCACTAACAACCTCCCCTCCCAGATAAACCACCTCGGAACAGCCCTCCTCTCCCTTCTCCTCCTCACCCCCATGCAAAAAACAGCCAGGACACAAGGAACCCCCTCCCGCCTCACAATCGTCACATCAGAAGTCCACTTCTGGTCCAAATTCCCAGAAAAAGACGCTCCAAGCATCCTATCCCGCCTGGACGATCCCGACTCGTTCGGAACCGGCATGGACCGCTACAATACTAGCAAACTACTCAATATACTATGGCTGCGCGAACTATCTCAACGAACAGGTCCGGATGTTATAATCAACGGGGTCAATCCGGGTCTTTGTGCAAGCAAGCTACATCGCGCGGATTCTACGCCGGGAAAGAGTCTATTTAATAGGCTCTTTGCGTGGACGCCGGCTCAGGGCGGCCATTGCTTGGTTGATGCGGCAGTGTTGCATGCGGATGAGAGGGGTGCTTATGTTAGTGAGCAGGTGGTAAAGAGGTATGTTTGATTTCTCCGATGGTTTAAACGCCCTCTTTTGGTCTTTTTTGGGTGGTTGTGTGAGAGAGATATACTAAGTACTAACCACTCGATCATGATAGACCGTCTTCGTTCGTCTTGTCAGAGGATGGTGAAAGGGCTCAGGTGAAGCTCTGGGATGAGACTGTTGCCTTGCTGAAAGAGACTGTTTCTGGCGTGGATTTGCTCGGGGGTGTTGTTGCATGATTTGGTTGGGAGGTGTTGGGTGGATTGGTTATAGGAACAGTATTATGAGCGTGATGTATACAATATCTAACAATGTTGGTTCGTTTCTTTATTATTTCCGAGGGTATATATCCACAACAAGCGTTGTATCATTGAGATGCCGAGTACGACTTTATGCTGGTCAATGTAGAACTATGAACAGGCAGCTGTAACTAGTCTCGTAGGTTAAAAGGATATGATTTGATTTGAAGTCAACTCTGCGATGTGGCAGAGCAGAAGAAGTGGCGGGACATAGGCAGAACAACCTTTTTACAGAAGAAACGTAAAAAAGAAGCATTTTAGGGTTGCCCTCCCCACCTCCCGACTTGGGAGTCCAGAAAGTTTGGAGAAAAAAGAAATGACAAGAGTGGGATTCGAACCCACGCCCCTTTCGAGACTAGGAATATTCGTAAGAATATGAGAGATCAGATTACCTGACCCTAGCGCCTTAGACCGCTCGGCCATCTTGCCCGATTGATATTTTGCGGCTTCAGATTTGACATGATATTCTTGCTGTGTTATGCCGGACGATTGAGTTCGGTCATTGTCTACTCCGTACTTCGTTCATTTTCTTCTTCATACTTCATGCTATGCTTTTTTTTTTATAGGATATAATAACGCATCACCTCACAACAGGCAAGATGGCCGGAGGCGTCCGTTTCACGAGATATCTATATATAATAATAGGTCCTACTGGGTAAAAACCCCTCCGCCTCGATGATACGCCTCTCGCTCTTCGTACATATCCCTATAACCTTTTTGCTAGCACCAGCCTCATTAACCCTCGATCAACCTATTCGCCAGCCGGAATTGGTCAACCACTCCTTTCCGTATCCACCACCTTGTTACCCGTTGTACCCCCTTAGGGGTAGTGAGCAGCTGCTCAACGTCTATCCGTCCTTGTATCTCCAGGTCGTGTCTGGCCTCGTGGTACGCCATACAGAATGCAATAACGTGCCTGGGGTCTTCTTTCCCCTTGTTGCACTTAGGGCACGTCGGGGAGTCCCATCCTGGCACCTTTGCGTAATATAAGAAAGCTGCTGGTCCTACCTTGCCTGTCCGGAGCTGTGTTAGTACAGAGCTCTCGGCCTTGTGCAGACCGACCTGAAGCTTAAGCAGGTCCTTGGTTGGTCTGTCTCGGACTGTCTCGGACGGGCTCCTACGGAGCCCCTCCCCTTCTTCTTTCCATCTCTCTAGGACCGCCTCCCATATCTTGCGTTTTTCAGTCCATTTCTTCGCTGCCGGTGGCATTGCCCTCTTGATCCACGCTCGATCCCAGCCCTGTGGCATAGGCCTATTGTATCCTATCACCTCCTGTCTGTAGACTGTCGGCCGGAAGGCACTATCTCCTACCCTCTTGCATATCTGTTTTGTGAGCTCGCTGGCTTCCCGTCCGCGGCCCTCGCGTGGTAACCGGCCAGTTTTCCTGTAAGATAGTGTTCGATCGGGGGTGTTATCTTGTGTCTTCCTCCGATTAGGGTATGCCAGGCGTGGCTCGCATAGGTAAGGGCCGGACGGACAACTGTATTGTAGGCCCTCCGGGCCTTCTATATATATATACATCCTTTCCTGAAAAAGGTGTTTACACGGATCTCGTAAGGGACAGGGTCGAATCCCCTTCTTGTCAACCAATCCTTTTATTTTTATTTTATTTTATTTTTATTTTATTTTATTTTATTTTATTTTATTTTATTTTTTTTCAGTCCAGCTGTGTGTTACTAGTCTAGCATATTCATCGATACCTACCTACGTGTTGGGTGCTCATCGTAGGTCGTATTTAAGCACCCCAGCAATCATATCTATCGCATCGATCACCCCGTTGCCCCTCCCCTGACAATCGAATCTATACATCATACACACACACAACATACTCGAACCAGAAACCCAAATTTTTCATCAACAGGCTCTTGATTGATAGATATATGCACCACTAACAAATAGACCAGAAAACGCTAACTCACTCACTCATCATCACTCTCCTCACTCTCACTCCCCTCCTCATCCGCAGTAGCCAACCACTCAATAAACTTCTTCGCCTGGTTCCTAACCTCCTTCATTTCCTCACTACCACTGGACCGCTCATCAGCCCACCACTGCTCAAACGCCTCCTCCTCCAAAACCTCTAACTGATACAGCGCACTGCACAGGACCACAAAGAACGTATCCCCGGGCGGCGGCCGACTCACGACGTCCTGCTGCAGCAGGAGCAGGAGATCCACCTGGTCGGGTTTCTTGTCCGTGTCGCGGTCGAACAGCGCACGTTCCACGATCTCCTGATACGTGCCGAAGATGTCCTGGATGGCGTCGTTGGGGCTCCGGCCGCTTTCCATTAGCTGGGGGATGCGTTTCATGAATGCGGATACTACGGCGCGGCGGACTTGGTTGTCGGAGGCGTTGGCCGTCATGCGGAGACTGACTAGTTCGAGCTGAACCACGTCGGAGGTGATGCCTTCGCGTAGACTGTCGTAGACGCTGACGGCGGCGTCGTGGACGAAGTGGTCTTCGTCTTCGTTGTCCGAGTCGGAGTCGCTGTAGCCTCCTGAACGGGAGCCGCCGTAGTCGGAGATCTCGGATGATAGGGTTGAGATGGACTCTGTGGAGAGAGAAAGGTTTGCCATGTTGTAGACTGTGGGGATGGAAGTTAGCAGGTGCTTGGGTGAAATAAGCGTGGGGGGAGAAACATACCCAAGCCAGATGAAGCGTTACTTTCGTCATCAGACTCGTCCTCGTCTTCGTAGGGAACATACTCGTAACCCTCTCCGTCGTTGCCAACCACCGCTGGATCGCTGGCCGGCACAACTCCATCTTCTTCCCTAGGAGCCTTCGTGATGCGCTTGCCTTCGCTGACAGTGGTTCCGTCGGCGATCTTCACCCCATACGAGAGAAGGACGCCGGACTCGATCGTGCAGTCCTTGCCCAAGGTCACATTGTCGGCAATAACAGCTTGGCGAACAGTCGTCCCATCCCCGATCACCGCGCCATCCCAGATGTACGCACCGTCCAGAGTGACGTTCTTGCCAATCTTGCAATTCCGCCCCAGAACCGTGTTCTTGACAGTCGACTTGTCGCCAATGCTTGTGCCCTGCCCGATGACCGTTCGTCGACCCACAACGCACGAGCGAGCCAATGTTACTCCCTGCTCCTGGTACAAGTATCCCTTCCGCAGATCGTAGGTATGTCCGGCGAGCAGATTCGTGTCGGGACACAGAGGGTACGCCCATCTCGAAATGACATCCTTGCTCACGGCATCGTAGGCCTTCAAGTTCCTCACCCGGGCGGCGTAGTGGTCCTTGATGATATGCGTGTGGATCGTCTTTCCGTTCAGCTCGTAATCCTTCAGAACACCAAACAAGAACTGCTTCCGCGGGGTCTGGTAATCGAAACTATCAGACCACAGGCTCAGCACGTCGGGGGTGCAAATGTCGATGCTGCAGTCGATGAGATCCTGGCGAATATCAAGCTCCCGGTGCGTCAGGATGATTTCCGAGTCGATATTCAAACGCGACGATTCCGACGAATGGTGGTCGATTTCCTCGTAATGCAGACAGCGGTCTTTCGTCGGGTCCACAACGAACACGGGGGACACCGAGGTGGACTTCGTGCGGTGGTTTCGGCCAGCTTCCCGCAGGATCATGGTCATGATGGCGTTCTTGTCTTTCTCGCGACGGGCACGGTGCTTGGCCAGGGCGCCCTCGATGGGCAGGTTGCTGATCACGTCGCCGCTCACGACGATAAAGTCACCGGTGATAAGGTGTTTTCCGTCAAGATCACGCATGACATCTCCGACGGACGTAGAGGTGGATTTTAGGAAGTTCAACTGTTTGAAGGGCGAGGAGAGCGATCGCCATTTCGACGCACTGCGATTATCCGCGTTAGTCGCACGGCCCCTAACTGGCATCATATAGCGCAAGAAGTCACGAGAACTTCACATACTTGATGTACTTCTCCAGCTGGCCGGAGTGAGCTCCGCCGTATAGGAAGACATCCTCCACTCCTGCATTGGCCAGAAACTCGAGCGTATATTCAATCAAGGGGGTGTTTGCCAAAGGCAAGAGACACTGTTGATCGCCGAGTGTCAGCCGTCAGATTCACAATAACACCTCGTTTTCGATTCCCCGCCATCCTCTTCCACAAGGCGATTGTCCCACCACAGCAATACGTACCCGAGGTGTATCAAGGGTGAACGGTTCGAATCTCGTCTCGAAGGTATCCGCAAGGACCTAGAGTATCTCAGAGGTTAGCCATCACAGCTTCGCATACCCCACTGCCATGCGACAATTCATGACATCAACCCCCCTCTCTCTTCCCACCACCAAGGACGCGATGAACGTACAACAGCCTGTAGAGTTTCCTCTACCTCCTCCGCCGTATTCCCTCTCTGCTTCGAGGCGCTGCCTCCCTTTTTCGGACCCATTGGCTGTAGACGAAAAAAGTTCAAGGGCGTTGTCAGTCATACACTGATTGCCAGGGGAAAACAAAGAACAGCAGAACTACTCACATCGTCTATGCGCCCCGCACTTCACAGCTTAGGTCAAGAAAGACAGACAATTCAAAGAGACGAAAAGCCAACACTGCAGTAAAAGATCTAAAACCGACGTGCGAAATAAAAACCCGTGTCGAACAAAAACCACCAACACGATCTCTCGACTTTGTTCGAAGGGAAAAAAAAACTCCGCCAAGCCTATCGATCGTTCCGAACGGAGTCATACATCCCACCGCATGGGTTTTGTCTGTTTGCGTTGTTTGCTCCGTTTGTGCCCCGCGCCACGGATCGGGGTCCGGGAAAGACTCCCCTCGCACGTGAGATCACATGACCCGAGAAGAGGCAAAGCCACACCTGGGACCGGTGTCTCCAGCCGCAAAGAGCCCAGAACATGGCGCAAGGCCTGGGCCCTCCTGGAACATTTGGAATCATATCCCTTGTCCAGGCACGGCCGGTCTAGAACGCTGACGAGGACCAGGTCAGCCCTGGAGGAACCCCTCGACCCTGGCATTCAGGCATCTCGGAGGAATTGTTCGTGAGATCGGAGGACGACCCGCCGGTATGCCGTCACGGTGTGTGCGTGTTTGTCTGTCGGTGCCCACTACTAAGGTGCTCATTGTCCTATGGTGGACCTCTATCGAGGGAATTGTGGTCCTCATTGCGTGGACCCGGCATTGTGCATTCGGAAATGGATTCCATATTGTTTTTGAGTTACATTCATACATACAGTCTTTCGTAGGAGGATTGCCATGAACTAATTGGAACCCGGCAATGAACATCGGGTTGTAGCCATGGTTTGTAAATTCAAGATTGCGCAAAAATGTGAACAGGAAAAAAAAAGGGGGGGATCAAGATGATCTGTAGAGATAATTGAAAGAACCCTTGACAGTAGGGGTGTACACATAAGAAATAGGTTCACTATAGAATCCATCGTTTCCGATGTAACCCTCGATATAGATATAAGACGACCAGATAACCCGACAGGAGTATTCGCAATAAGAAAGCAGACCGAAGAAATTGTAAGCAGGCAGCTAGAAATGTCCACAAACGCCGATATATGTCGAAAAACAACCACCGCCCCCCACCAACAATATAACGAGAATATCATACGACTCAAGTTTCATTAGGAATATATGAGATTCGTCAAACAGGGAAACAGGATGGTAATGAGGTTACAATGCAGGCGGAGCGAGGCAGAGACCGGCCTCTGAGAAAGTAAAAAAAATATACAGTAGGAAAATATAGCGAGCTTTAGCCAGTCCGCGTCGCCTGCACGGGGTTGACCATCGACTGGGGTGGGTGTGCGTAAACACGCGGACGTTTGGTCATATTGGGACTCTCGGCCACGCCAGCCATATCCGAGACCGGCCGTCGCGGTGGGGGTCGTGCTGCCGGTACTGCAGCCGGTGCTGCAGGGATCGCGACGGGGGCTGCAGTGGGATACTGGACTCCGTTTTGGTCCACGGCGTATGCAGCAGGGGCGGGAGTTGCAGGAACATATTGACCGGGAACCTGCTGAAGGTTCGGATGAACTGCGGGCATGCCCTGGAACTGGCCGGGTGATTGCCAGTTGCTCATCGACGCGGCGGGTGACTGGCCCGGGGAGCTGTCCTCCTTAACCGACTGACCCGCCGAGCTTTGAGCGGCCATGGTGACCGCTGCCGGAGCGGGTTGCGGAGCCTCTATGCCTTGCGGCATGGTCTTCAAGTGAACTAGGTGCTTCTCTAGCATGTCGAGGAGGCTCTTTCGTGTGAAGGGCTTGGGCAATACATCGTCCATGCCTAGTCGCAATTTGGGTTAGTTGAGGTTATCCTAGAGATCGATTCGAGCAGTACAAATTGGGCCATACCGTGTTGGAAATATAGCTGAATGTCATCACTTCGGATGTTGGAAGTCATGGCAATGATGGGAGTTCGGTCAAATTGGCGGATTAGATGGCAAGCGGAGACGCCGTCCAAGTTTGGCATGATAATATCCATCAGGATAAGATCATATTTGGAGCCGTCCTGGATCTTGTTTACAGCCTCGAGCCCATCAAACTGCGCTATCGTTAGTGGAAGAACTGAACCGGTCTCCTCTTGAGCAAGTGTAACCTACCGCGGTATCAATGACACACTGGAATGAGTAAAGGAATTTCCCACCGATTTGGCGGCACGTAGCATCGTCCTCCACAAGCAAGATCTGTGGGGGGCGCATCCAGCCGGGGTCGACATTCGTACTCTTTTTTCGGTTGTCGGGAAACTGCCGTCGGCTTTCGTCGACTTCCTGTTTGGGAGGCATCGGGTAGGGAACGTTGTTCACATGGTCGCTGTACATGGGATCGATTCCGTTTGTCGCGCCGACAGGATAAACCACCTGGTCGATCTCGCCGTTCATCTTGGGATATACCAAGGCGGGGTTGGCCCCCGGCGCGGTCGGCGGACGCACCACGCCGTTTCGCGGGGCGTTTTCGAGGGAAGGGGTGGTTACGATCGGAGCGGTTTTGGGCGGCTCGCCCGCGGAATCGAGACCGGTGAGATTGAATTGGATTTCGGCATTCATATCGTTGAGGAGCTTTGAGGCATGCTGCAAGGGGGACGAGGGCTCGTCGTCCATCGACGCCACCTGGGAAGGGCTCATGGTCGAACTGGGCTGGCCCTGGGCCGGGAACGGTGCGGACCCTTTGCTGTCGCGCCTTTGACGATCCACCGAGAGGAGGTAGGTCATAACCTGGTGGATCACATTTTCATGGTTCAATACCGTCTTCTGCACTCTCATCAGCTCCTGTAACATCAACTGGTGATCCACCGTCAACTGCGCGTAGCGATCGGAAAGGTGCTGGATCTGTTGTTGTTGCGCCACAATTTGTTGGTTCAGGAGATCGATCTGCTGCGTCGGAAGCCCGTCGTCGTTGCTCTGGGCCTGTTTGCGAGGGGCTGGCGCTTTCCGTCGAATGTTATCGAGCGATTCCTTGCTGTTGGCCCGAAACTCGGGGTGTTTAAACTCCCACGCCTGGATTCCTGGTTAGAAGAAGCCTTTCTCCCCGACTCAACACGACCGTAGCCTTACATTCTGCCCGTACGGCGATTGCCCGTTCTCCTCGTTATTCTGTCTCACTTTGTGGAAATCGTATTTATTCAACTGTCGCACGAAACTGGCGAAATTGCTGTGTTTGAAGTGTTTGGGAAGGATGGTCTTGGTGAATTTCTCGCACTGCAGTCGGACGAGTTAGCCGAGGAGGGATGGCGACGGCGAATTCCAGGGCGCGGGGCGGGCGCATTACCTCCAAGACCACAAAACTATCCCCTTCATCCCCCCAGCGCACGATTTCGGCGTATGAGGGGTCCTCCAGCATTCTTGACGCGAAACGAAGTCAGTCATTTATTGGTCCAGTGGACACACAAGGTCACCAAGTAAATCCAACGAGGGCAAGAGACCGGCTAAGACGGATGGTGTCAAGCCGGGATTGCCGAGTGGGAAAACTGGGAGGGGGTAGGGAGAGGAAAAGGGGAGCAAGAGAGAGAGAGAGAGGCAAGAGAAGGAAGGCTCACTTGTAAAGCTTTCGCACCTAGGTAAGAGCACGGCATGTTAGCAAAAGGACGGAGAAGGTTGCACAAGAAGAACAATAATAAAAGAACGACAAAATAATGAACGATCGTCATCCGACAGTCACAATTACCTCGAGGGCAGCACGTACAAAATCGCTGGAGTTGCCCGCGGGGGCGGCGTTGGTCGAGGTCTGGCCACCGTCCATCGTGGGCTAGATGGGTCGCGACCGATCGAACAAGCAACAGGCTCACGTCGCAGAACTTCGAGAACCCCCGAATGCGGCACAGTCTGGGGAGATCAGAGTTCCAGGGAATCTATCGATCGACGTGAAAGGGAGGACCGGATAGAAGTAATAATCCTTAAAAGAAAATTAAAGTAATAAAAGATAGTAGGTTTATAGGAACACAAGGAAAGAAAAATTGATAGTTAGGTACGGAGTAGTAGGAAGAGGGAAAATTGGGGAGGGGGGAGGATGAGGTAACAAAAAAGAGAGAGGGAGAGAAAGCGGATGGGGGTTAACCAAAAAAAAAAAAATTAGAAAAAAGCAAAAAAAAAAAAAAAAGGATGGATGGGTAACCTGCCCTAAAGGTGGGAAGTTTGGAAAAGGGAAAAAAAGAAGAGAGAAAAAGAGAGAGGGAGAGAGGGAGAGAGAGCACGAGAAGGTAACTAACGGTCGTAAGATGGAGACCGTCCAGGTGAATTCAGTTGAGTAATGGGAAATCCTGGGCAGACGGTGAGGATAGGAATGAATGGCCTTCAAGGCTTCAATTTCATGAATAATTAATGGTTCGGGGACCGAGTGGGACGGTGGGCAAAGGTAAATGGTTCGGTCGACCCTTTCGCATCCAGCCACAAACGGTCTTTTTTCCTGGTCGGTCTTTTATCTATCGACCTTTGTTGCGCTCTCGTCTCGTTGGTGTTTCTGTTTCTGTTTCTGTTTCTTTCTCTTTCTCTTTCTCTTTCTCTTCCTCTACTTCTTTGTTCAACGTTGCTTAATTTAACTCCGACCGGTTTGACTTTTCCACGTAAGGAGAACGGTTGAGGGTGACTGAGGCAAATTCTAGAAAAAGGAGGAGTTGAAGGATAGAGAGACTAGGAGACCTAGAGACCTCGGGGATTGGGAAGGCTCGCAGTCTTCAGTCCTGCCCACCTACTCCGTAGCCACAGGGAAAGAACAACGTCTCCGACTGAGACCTTACGGGCGCATCGGACTCGGGAATGTCAGTGCGTTCGACGGCGCAGATGCGATGCAGGAAAAGCCTGGCGATGGAGGGGAAAGAGAGGGATGGGGATAGGCTGCTTCGGTCTGGGAGGAGGAGGGGCAACGCGACCACCTTTTCTACCTTTGGACGATGCGCTCGTTAGTCTTGAGTTACTCTTTAGTACTGACTAGTCCTTCGTGATCATCGTGGAGAGCCGGATCAGCTAGACTGTTTCCTGGACTTGGTCCGTTTGGACTGGCACGAAGCTTCTCCCAGGCTTGGAGTCAGGAGGTCCTACGGACTGAGTTAGAGTTGGAGTCTCCATGAATCTCGGTCCTGGATTCATGGCGCACTTCTTACCCTGTCCAAGAGAATGGCTTGCCTTCCGTACGGACTATGGGATTATGGACTATGAATGAACTAACTACTGTAGTTACTCCGGATGGATACACTGGGGACACTACGTCGGTACGGTACATCCTACCCATTGCGGTTACTAATGTACAGGACAATGCAGCGTGCAAATCCTTCGTATGAATAACACTGAACACTGAACACTGAACAGTCTGTCTGATGCAGATAGATTGGCCCGAAGACACCGTAAACCTTCCATCATCCGCCATCTAGCCGGTTTTTGTTTTTTCTATTCTCCTATTCGGGCATCTCCTTTGGATTTCAGATTCAGATTTATGGGCTGGATCAATTTTAGTAGGGAGAAGGATGGGCGCGCCACATCTCGGGGATCGCCCTATAATTGCCATACTCCGTAGGGCATGGACAGCTAAGGGCAGGGGGTTACTATTATTATTTCAGATCAGTTTATGAAGGTTCATGCAAATTTCTTTGCCACAGAATTAGAGTCAGAGTTAGACTCCTCCGTAATTTAACAATTATTATATTATTATAATGAAATAATGATAGTACTCCGTAGTAACCATTCACTTCAGACGGAACAAAGGGTGGAGCAAGCCAACAGCAACTGCGATGTCAATCCTTTCTCTTCTCATCCATCCCCGGTACATGTGCCGAAAAGCCATCCCCTCCGAACTACGGAGAAGGATTTGGGTTGTTTCAACTTTCAACTGTTTACCTTGGGGGCAACGGTCGTGGCACACAGAGAATCATGACTCGAGCTAAATTCCCAAGCTGCCGGGTTGAGCTCCCTCTCCTCCCATGGGACGAAAGATGTCACGAAGCTAACTCCCATGTGGACAACCAGCGGTCCTTGCGGTCCTTCCTGGTCTTTGGGCCATTTGGGAAAATTATCACAAATTCAAAATTATCACCAAAAAATGAACATTAAAATAAGAATATGTCCCAAACCAGAAAGACAACTCAGGTTTGAGGTGGCATCCTATCCACATTCGCATTCCACCCGTCCACCGAGTCCACAGACCCTCTCAAGGACTCACGTTCTGCAAATTGACGTGCGCGAGCTGCAGCCGAGACAGACGATGACGACATAATCCTCCGAAGCTGCTCCGGGCGGTCGCCAAACACAGCGACCGGCGCCAGCAGATCCACCAGCCACCAGGTACCTGTGCGACTACCTGTGCGACCCTCTCTCGCTCCGTCGCCGAAGCTCAGCTTTCTTCCATCTGACTGCATCGCTCATTGGATCTGTCTCTGGGTCCTGCTGTTACCACTTACCATTTACCACCAAAACCTACCTTTCTCCCGTCCCACCATGTTCGCTGCTCGCCGTTTCGCCGCCGTCCCCCGCGCCCTGTCGCAGAGGTCGCTGTTCCACAGCACTGCCCCGGCTTTCGTTCAAAAGGGAGACGCCATCCCCGATCTCGACGTCTTGGTCGAGAACTCCCCCGGCAACAAGGTCAACCTGGCCAAGGAGCTGCAAGGAAAGGGTGTCATTGTGGGCGTTCCCGCCGCATTCAGTGCGTAATCACCCGTTCATTCTCGTGCTCGAGAAGTAGCATCGACCATCGAAAAGGAAAATCAATCCTTGGACGGACGAACAGCTGACCATCGAATCTCCTCTTCAGGCCCCGCCTGCTCTGCCAGCCATGTTCCGGGCTACATCAACCACCCCAAGCTGAAGGAAGCCGGCCAGGTGTTTGTGGTCGCAGTCAATGACCCGTTTGTGTAAGTCTCAGATGGGGCATCTTCTTTGTCTCCCGTATGCCCTGTCAAACCCAGATCCCAGATAGGCTGACTCTGTCAAAAGGACTAAGGCCTGGGCCACGTCCCTTGACCCCACCGGCAAGAGTGGTGTAAGTGACCCCAGTCCCCCTGGAATGCGACACAAGGTGATCGGTCTTTGCATGCTGACATGGTCGTAATCAGATCCGCTTCCTGGGTGACCCTACCGCCAAGTTCTCCGAGGCCCTCGACGTGCTTTTCGATAGCACCTCCATCTTCGGTAACCAGCGCAGCAAGCGGTACGCCCTGCTCGTCGAGAACGGAAAGGTCAAGGAGGCTTTCGTCGAGCCCGACAACGCTGGACTTAACGGTACGGAACCCTTGAGACCCCGGAAAGAAGTGCGTCGCGAATCTGACTAACCTGGAATTTATAGTCTCCGCCGCCGAGAAGGTGTTGGGTTAAACGGTATCATAGCCGATTCAAGATAGTATAGTAATATAAAATGGAATCTCGGACATGCCTGTTCTAGGTCTGCGGACTCGACTATTAGTAGCCTAGCATATCCATAGTCCATCAAATGTCCGAAGTACGATATTTTTATAGTACAAATGCAAACATTCCATGCCGACTGAGCGCTTCAGCGGGATCATTGGCCCTATATAAAGTATATATGACACGACAATATTTCTTATATTTCTATGTTCATCAACCATCCTCCAGCATCATTAAATGCCATGGTCCGATGCGCAAGGCAATATACATTCGAGGAACCTTCCAAACGCCGGAGCATGCTACTGAACAGCACGCATATCCCCAGGACAAAACCAACTCTGATGTTATAACGAGCCGCATTATTAAAAACAAGAATATTAATTCCCCTCTCCAATCCTTCCAGAGATCGAAAATCTAGGCACTTCCCTGGTGCAGAGCCTGCCACTGCTCCGGGGTGTAGCATTTCGGCGTCCAGGCGTGGATGGCAGCGATCTCGGCCTTCAGGGCGGCGTTCACCAGACGATGGCGGGCAAGCATGGTCTTCTTCTCGAATTGGGGCGAAACGATAATTGCTTGGAAAGCTTGGCCACAGCCACCTGTATAATATCCGGTCCGTTAGTTCACTCTCTCTTCTTATGATTTCATATATCCCGAAACGGTTCGTCCTCGAAGTAAAGTGGAGGCGAAAAAAACATGATCGGAGTTATGTCATACCCGACAGGTCCTCAATCTCAACATGCTGTGCCTGCAACTGTTCGATCAATTTGCCCTTCAACGAATCGGCAGTGACGCCGGAGGTAGCATCCGCCATGGCTGCGTTGACGGCGGCGAAGGAGCGCGCAGAGATGGAAAAGGGCGACGACTTCTGGTGGACGGGAGTGCGGAGAAGGTACCGGCAGCTTCTGCTCAACAAGGTGGTGGTGCGGAAGTACATTAAGCGTGGTGTGAAACGAGGGGGTTGGAAGTGGGTTGTAGAGGGTGTCGCTGCGATTATATAGTCTGGGAAAGAATGACACCGGAAGATCTTCAGCCGTGTGGTGCAGGGTCGAGTTGAAGGTTTGGTTTGCGGACTCTCAGTCTTTTGCGCGGGAGGACTTCGATAACCAATTGATTAATTAATTAATCATCCAGCGGAATCCCGGCCTTACGGGTCACTTTACGGTACGGTAAACTGGCGGTTACCGGCGGGCGGGCCTGAGGCTGACAATGCCGTGGCTGTGATTTGGTCACCTGCCGTTTGTGGCTGGAGACTGTGGCGTCAGCTCCGGTTGCTTAATTCTATCGAGTGGGGGTGTTCGTCTTTCAACGTCAATTTCTCCAACACACGGTTTGATATCTATCCCCAAGGAATTCGATCATATTCTCCACCTCCTACGACCTTCTATGAACCCCCTTTTCAGTCGCCTTCCCCGTCTCTACTCGACAATGGCCGCTTCGTTCCCCGCTTCCTCGTCGCCGTACACGCGGGCTGTGGTGAGCTCCATGCGCAAGCTGTATGCTCTCCTCGACCTGCATGATTGTCTTCCTGGCGCATATACCATGGCAATGATATTATACTGACCATCTTGACAAGCTACCCCGAGTCTCTCGCCGAAAAGAGCTTCGATAATACAGGCCGTATGTGAGCGTCGTTACTCAGTGTTTGCCCTGCCGATGACGTACTGATCTTTATCTCTCCGCAGTCCTCCTCGAAGCGCCTTTCGATCATGAACGAAGACAGAGAAACTCCGTTCTTCTAGCCATTGACCTTACCAAGGCTGTTGCCGACGAGGCCATCGCACGCAAGGACTCGGTAGTGGTCGCATATCGTATGCAACACCCCCCCCTCCATCAACATCAACACCCACCAGGCCAACTGACCAACATCCTTCTCAGACCCGATCATCTTCCGCGGACTCAAATCCCTCACCCTGAACGACCCCCAGCAACAATCCCTCCTCCGACTCGCCCAAGCAGGCATCAGCGTCTACTCCCCGCACACCGCGGTCGACGCCACCCCCGGCGGCATGGCCGACTGGCTCTGCGACATCGTCACGGGCGCCATCGCCCCCTCCATCGACTCAACGCCCTCTATCCAAAAGTCCTCGTCCACCCAATACTCCCAGCCTGTAATTTCCCAACCCGGCTCTGTCCGCCCCGCCTCCGCGCAACCCCACGTCCGAACGACCATCCACCCCTCCCCGGCGCCCGTCCCCGAGGGCATGGAATCCGCCGGCATGGGCCGCCTCGTCACCTTCGACACGCCCCAGCCCCTCACGGCCGTCGTGGACCGCATCGCCCAGGGCACCGGCCACCCCGGCGGCATCCCCATTGCGATCCCGCAGGGCGCGTCCGTGGAGACGATGAAAATCCGCACGGTGGGCGTCTGCCCGGGTTCCGGATCTAGTGTCCTGCTTAAGGCGCCTGGCGGGATCCCTGATCTGTTGTTCACCGGCGAGCTGAGCCACCATGAAGCGTTGGCGGCGATCGAGCGTGGCAAGGTGGTCGTGGCGCTGGCGCACTCGAACACTGAGCGCGGGTACTTGCATGCCGTGATGCGCGAGAAGCTGGCCGATGCCGTGCAGAAGGAGTGGGAGGTTACTCGGTCCGAGGGGTTGAGGACTTTGGGTGACAAGGGGGAGGATAGTACGGGGGTTGTGGACGCCTTGCAGAAGGCTTATGGGGATGCGGAGAGCTTTGTGGATGTGAGTGAGCGGGATCGGGATCCGTATGGGATTATGATCCGACATGTCTGATATGCATGTCTTGAGGATCATTCATCATTTGTCATAAATTGTGAAAGCGAAAAGCGAGAAAAAAAAAAGCATAGATAACTTGAAAATAAACCACTTATGTACAGACAGAATTCCAAAAGACCAACAACCAAACAAAACAAGCTACGGTACAACACCTCTAGCCACATCAACCCCCATCCTACTATCATTAAGATGATGATGATCAACTCAACAAAACCCTAATCTCCCCCGTCGTCCTCGGGAAAAGTCTTCTCAAGCCTCCTTCCTCAATCTCATCTCCCTCCTCACCGTCAGTATCCTTCTCAGCATCCATCTCATCAACACTCTCCTTCCCATCATCCTCTTCACCACCATTCTCACCCTCCGCTCTCATAATATCAATCTTCCCAACAGCCTCATCCGCCCCGATGATCATGCCCTCTACGAACTCAAAGTCCCGACAGAACGCCTCCACCGCTTCCTCGGTGACGCTCTTCACGAACGTCGCGCTGCGCACGTACTTCAGATGATCGGTTGCGTCCATGAGCGCAGACGGCAAGAAATCATCCAGTTGCTGGCTGATGGCGACGAGCGCTTCGGGTTGGAAGGCAGGGAGGGTCGCGATGTCGGCGATGTTAGGGGGCGGATCTGGGTGCTCGGATTTCGTGACTGGTGCAGCAGTGGAAGACGAAGAGGGTGAGAAGGGCTCGAGAGCGTTCAGTAGGACTTGGAGACCTGAGGTGTGGAGGAGATAGCGGTGTTGGATTTCGAGGAGATCCATGCGGAGGGTGGAGAGGGTTGTGGAGAGGGGGGTGAGGTGCGTGGCGCTGGCGAATGGGTATCCGGAGATGGTGGAACGGGTGGTCAGATGGATGTTGGTTAGGTAGATGGCGCGACTGGTTGCGTCTGGGAGGTCGTTGGCGGATGATTTGGCCAGGTCGAAGAATGGGTCGAGAGCGGCGCGGAGGACAGGGGTGAAATGGTTGTCAGAGGGCGAGGTGGAGTTGGCGGCGGCGGCGACGTCCTCGGCGGCACCGATTGAGGCTTCGTGGGTCTTCATGAGGGAGGTCAGGGCCTCGAGGGCGTCTAGAAGGAATTGAGGCGTGGAGAGGTCATCCGGAGGGGCCAGTGCAGTGTGATCGGTTGAGAGTTGGTTGACGCCCTCGTGCATGAGGTGCTCGAAGTGGCTGAGGGTGAACTTTTCCAACTTCTCGAGCAGCTCGGCCAGGTTAGAGCCGGGGCCTAGGAGTTTCGAGAATGTCGCCCGGTAGAAGGACAGCAGATTCACGACCTTGTAGCAAGTGACGGGGTCATCGTGGCCTTGAATAACCAGCTCGACGCGCTGCCGCAAGGACCGTGAAACTCCAATGAGGTCCCGGTTGACGAGATCGCTGAGAGCCTTGTGGCCGTCGAATGTGACCTTCTCGTTTTCGTCGATGCGAGACCACGGCTCACTGCTCAGACCAGCCTGTATACCCCGGGCAAGCTCTTCGCCATCCGCCACGAAGAGGGCCTCCAAGGCTTCTCGCTCCGATACGGTTGTGGAATGCACCCATGCCAGCATGTCGCCAATGTACCTCAGAGGGTCGTGCGCCGAGAACTCGATGGGCTTCACGTTCCGGTCGCCTGCGGTGCCCGCTACAGCATCGGTAAGCGCATAGTGGAAGGCATCAGACAGAACGTAATCGCGCGCCTCCGCGAAGAAATCCAAACAGCTGTGGAACAGACTGGGTCGCTCCGCCAGCACCCGGAGGGCTCGTCGGATCGAACTACTGATGCGGGGATCCTCGAGGTTCAAAGACCCAAACTCCTTCTGGATCCACTTGTAGAGTTTCTGATAAGCGGAATTGAGATTCCTCGAGCTCTTCTCCATGAGCTCCAGACCTAATCTCTGGTTCTCTCCGCCCAACAGAACCTCGCAATCGCGATGTACCTGTTTCACGCGCCCGAGGACGTCGAAGAATTGGTCGTCTATGGGCTCCTCCGCCGAAGTCAATATCATCAACTCTTCATCCGACACAATAAAGTGCTTGGCGAATGCATCGAGCAGTTGCTGCTTTGTCTCCGCTTCCTTCTTCTGGTTCATCAACGCCGACGCTTCTTCCAGAACAGGCGTCGTGTCTTGTTTCGCGAGGACAATGTGCTTGCGCATTTCTTCGCATGTCTGATTCAGGCTCGTAATAACGGTTCCAATCCGTTTCAATTGCTGTCACGCAGTTTGAGTATTAGTGCATGTCCTCGTTCTCGATTATTTTCCGCGACAAATCTTACCTCCGCCACTTTCCCAAAATCTCGCACAATGGTCGCATTGCTATCGACCACCTCCTTCTGCACATCTAACCGTAGCTGTCTTCTAACTTCCGCGGTGTTATGTACCCCTCGGAGACTGAGAGTCTCCAGCGCGTCGCGGATGTCGGAGTCCGCATACGAGGCCGAAAGTACACTTGTCAGACGATTAGACAAGGCATTGGATCGCTGATTCGGCGGCGAGAGCGGAGAGCCGGCCGGGGAAGACGTGCGAGTCGAGGCATGGCTGGAGGCAGCTCCGGGAGGGAAATAGCTCGCCATGGAGGGTCGGTTGCGTTATCGGAAACTGATGGATGCGAAAGGTGGTCAATAAAGGCGGAGGGCGGAAAGGAAGTCGGAGAATCTCCCCGCCCGCCTTTTCCCACCCTCTCCGTTCTACGTTGCACGGGGTCACCACAAGTTCATAACACAAGGCCGTCGACGCTATTTGGGATTGGCTTTTCATTTTATATTTCTCTGCTCGTTGATCGGAAATTTTGGATTTTTGCTTCCCTGTTCGATCAGGAATCACTTGCATCATCAATGGATAGCCCCCTCGTCTCTCCCGCCAAAGCACGGCAAGCCGCCATCCAGGCTAAGGACTGGGCCTACGTGAACTCCTGGCTGAGTCGCCAATACGCCCCGAAACCGGTCCCCAGCTTCGAGCGAAACGAAGATACTCTACGAACTCTACTTGCGTTGGCAGCCGCCAACGATACAGCCGATGAAGAAGCAGCATTGATCCACCATGCGCGCGAGCAAACCGTCCAGGGCTTCAAGCGCCGAGAAGACGCGGAGGATAAACAGAAAAGAGAAATCTTGGACGAAGTGGAGCTGTCCCTCGACGACCACGGTGCCCAGAGCTTGGATGATTTGGCCGAGTCGGCCGTTGCGCTGGGGACTCTGAGCACAGAAACCAAAGATCTGGGCCAATCGATCATGCAGCTTACCAGGGAGGAATTCAGTATCCAGGAACAGTTGTCAAAGGTGGAGACGCTACATAATTATCTGGAGAGAGAGTTGGAAAACTTGCGTGAACAACTCGAAGATTTGAAATCCAACAAAGCCTACGAGATACATCCCGACCTTCCAGCCCTGACAACGGAGTGGTCGAGAAGCACAAAGATGCTCAACGCGAAGGTTGCCGAGTATAATGATAGGATCGGTTCCTTGGAAAGAACCAGGAACAAGGGGCCTACGTTGGACCAAGTGGCGGACGAGGAGAAAGATGTGACGAAGCTCATGCAAACGGTTCAGACACTCGAGGCGAAAGCCCAGGCGTTTCATGATTTACCGAAGGATATACAGGGGGCACGGTTAAAGTACAAAGAATTGGAGCGAGAGCTTGACGGGCTCATTCAGCGACGAGACTCTATGTTCGAAAATCTAGTGGGTCACAGTTGAGCTAGATCGCCAAGCCTCAGACTTCTACAGACAAACAGATTATATCAGGTGAAGATCAATGTCTCATTATTATCAATCCTAATAAGTACACAGGAAAGAGCTGGTATCATCATTCATGAAAGACCATGATAAACGCCATTAAATATCCCGAAGTGCGCCCGTGTCAGCGGCTGCTAATCTAGTTGCCGCCGAGACCGACAGCGTTCTTGATCTTGTCGCCACTGCAAATGTTTGTTAGTGGCACTGGCATTGCGGCTAATATTGTACCATGACTTACATGGAAGAGGTGGCGCCGCCGTGAGCGTGGTTGTCATGAGCACGCTGGGTTTTGTCAAAAGCCTCCTGAGGAGTAGACTTGCTGTCGTCAGACTGAGTACCGCGGGCGATACGGTCGGTGGTATCGGTGACACCCTCCTTGATCTTGTCCTGGGTGGACTTGGTGGAGTCAGGAGTCAATTCCTCCTTGGCCTCTGGATACCTGCATGAGTAACTGTTCAAGGGACTGTGATGATCTTGGGACAACATACTGGTGCTGAAATCCTTGCGACCGGCGTCAGCCATTGTGATGGATTTTGATTGAAGGTGGTTTGAAGATTGTAGATTGAATGATTGTTAGAAGATGAGTGTGGATGATGGGAGTGATGGAGAAGAGAAGATTGAAGTCAGAGAAATGGGGTTTTATATGTCTGGTCTATCACCGTTTCCATTCATAGATCTGGAATGCATGACGTCGTCAGGCTTGAGAGATAGAGTGATAGACCAAGGCCGTTGCGCCATCCGGCCCTGGAAGTGCACCGCCCATCTCCATCTCTTGAAAACGGGGGAACTTCCCCGGACGGTGCACGTCATCATTACGAGCGCCGTTGGTGGAGAAGTTGCCTGAGGTTGACTGCAACCAGGGATCTGTGAAGGATGGCGCCGGCAGAGGCCAAGTCTGGACCATGACGTCGTCATGATTACCTTCTAACTCGATACGATTAGAACACCCGACCCGGTCACATGGAGCATGTGATCTACCGGACTATCTGTTCATGCGAAAGCCGGAGGCGCCCTTTCTCTATCAGGACTAGCGTGTTGTGAGTGGCGTGAGAAGCCCAAAGAAGAAGGCGGTTGTGGGGGGCAGATCTGAATCACCGCCACATTCCGTTGTTGCCCGTCTTATGCCCGACTCTCTGCCAACTCTGCATACCTTACAACACATCGTTCTTTCAATGCTTCATCCCTCTCTTATTGTTAGGTCTTGATGACCATCATGTTAATCTGCTCTACGGCAAATTATTCTTTGTGTTTTTCTACATAGTATTTCGTTTTCGTTTGATTGAGATATTCTTTCTGCAATTACTATCACCCCGCAGTGTGTTGCCACCGGGCAAATCCTTTGATCTTTGATTTTATAACAGCACAGTTTATTTTTGCGATTTGTCAATGCAATCATCGTCTACTTCGTCTTCGAACTGGGACTTCACTCCGGTGATTAACCTACTACGTTCGCCCACTTACGGCGATGGTTACCAGTCCGGCCTCTCTCGCCACTATGAGTCTCGCCGGAGTCCATCCACCTCGGGATCTTCTACGCCTAAGAACATTGTGAAGCACCCAGGCCTTCAGACCAACGATGTGGCTTTTCAACCCGAAACCTCTCCTAAACTCGGTGATTTCAGCTCTCTCTGGAATGCTTTGGGTCCTACCTCCACTACCCCTGTCAAGACAGAGGCTGGGGCGCATAAAGAACCTCCGGCTCCGGAGGTTGCTGCTGAGCAGCAACCTCAGCGATCACCACGAATTGAAATTTTAGAACGACCGGCACAGATCAAGGACGTCGGAAGCTTCAGTGATGGACTTCCCCGGACTCTTCCCAAATCCATCCCTGGCTCCGGCACCGCCAAATCCGGTAAATCTACAGCTAGAGGCAACAAGACCAAACAGCCATCCCAGAACAACAATCTCTTCGAGTCTAGCTCCCCGGGAAGTAGCGCGGAAGCAGACTCCGATGTCAGTATCTTCGATCCGTCTTTCTCAGTAGGGAAAGGCGTCCTGTCTTTGGTCCCTCCGCAGGTAAAAGCACCACCTACCATCAAAAAATCATGCGAAACACCGCCATCGTCTTATGACGAACGTGATGAAAACTTGACCCCCAAGGGAGTTAAGAACGTACCCAGCTGTGGCACTATCCGCGTTCAGCCTATCGCCTACAAATCAACCCCCGAAAGGAGGGTTGGCCTTTTAACCAAACTTTTAAACAACTTTCCCGAATACGCGGAGTCTGTTGCACAGCTTGGTCGCTCTGCGAATTCAAGCCGCCCTGCACAGGCCTCCCGCCCCATCCACGTCTTTGTTGACATGTCCAATGTAAGTTGCATACTTCGGAACAATCAGTTAACTTCCAGACTGACCCTCCGATTTTCTTTGATCTAGATCATGGTAGGCTTTCATGATTCAGTAAAAGTATCACGAAACATACCAGTGACGACGCGCATCCGACGAGTGCCTCTCTCGTTCCATAACTTCTCCTTGATACTGGAGCGAGGTAGGCCGGCTTCCAAACGAGTACTGGTGGGATCCGACCGGTTCGCGGCGATTGACGAGGGCGAGAAACTTGGTTACGAGGCGAATATCCTCGACCGAGTGCAGAAGGTGAAACAGCCAACTCGCCGTCAGTTGCGGTTCCGGAAGAAGTCCCGGGGCGCTCAGGATGGCAGTGGTTCAGAAACGAACGACGTGCCTCCCGGGCGATGGGTCGAGCAGGCTGTGGACGAAATTCTACACCTCAAGATCCTGGAAAGCCTGTTGGACACCGATGAACCGGCGACCATCGTGCTCGCGACGGGAGATGCGGCGGAAGCCGAATACTCGGGCGGGTTTATGCGAATGGTTGAGCGGGCGCTGCAGCGTGGGTGGAATGTGGAACTGGTGAGCTTTTCGCAAGTGACCAGCTACGCCTATCGCAAGAAGGAATTCCGAGCCAAATGGGGCGATCGATTCAAGCTGATCGCGTTGGATGGATACATTGAGGAATTGATGGCATGTACATAATCGTCGATGCCACGGTCTTTTCTTATCTGCCTGTCAGTGTCAGGCCCGAGCTGCCTTCTATCATTCATTACCGCAGCAGCTCCACGCCTAGTCCGGCTCAATATATCTTCTCTTATGTAATAAATGTGCCATACATCTCTCTTCCAGTAAATACAATCAACGTAGATTATCCAGGGCGGTTGATTCATCTGTAGTTGATTGGCTTCTTGACCCCTCGACACCTCGACACCTTAGGGCCATATATGAGGGGCATCCAACTCCCGGCCGCAAAGCCCCCGCCATCCGAACGGCGGGACGTCATTCCGCCGCACCTTTTCTTTCTTCCCTCCTGCAACGCCGTCGCACTGCAGATTTTATCTGAGCAGCAAATCATGGCCACATACGTGACGCAGGGTTTCTACGGGGCCGCCATCGAGGGTGTCATTCCCCAGGGCTGGATCGACTCAAGGTGAGTTCGATCGCGATCGCTTTTCTTCGCATAGGTCTTTTACGCGCATGAGCATGCATCCCCGGTATAGATCGATACATCTACACGCAAAACTCACGATTAATCTTGCCCAAGAACCCTTCCCTATCTCTCTCTATCTTCCCCCGAACTAACCACTCAAACTCCATCAACAGCACCCTCCGCGAAGTCCCCGATCATCAAGAAATCTTCCTCTCCCCGAAAACCCTCACGTCGCAGATCATCGAAATCAACCAACGCGTCGATACCGAAGACACTCTCACTTTCCACACCCCATCCGCTCCGTCCTCTACGCCCCCCAATGCCGACGACATCAACAAAGCCGCCGTCCTGTTCCATCTGCACGACCTGTGCGACGAAACCGACACCTTGAATGTCGCGACTCCGCCGCAGTCCGTGGCGCTGCCGAATCTGCCCCAAGCGCGCGCATACAAGGGCGTTGCGACGCTGACGTCGCCGCGGACACAGCGCCAAGGAGGTCAGGGTCCTGGGGGCGTGGGTAGTGCCGTGGCGGGGTCAAGTGCGGAGGGATCGTTGACGAGCACGACGGGTTGTTATTATCTGTTGGTTAGGCTGGAGGAGCAGGAAACGGATGTAATGGTGTTTGTGAATGTGCCGAGGGAGGAATTCGAGGCTGCGGGTGATACGAGGGGATTGGCTGAGGAGGAGAAGTTGGCTGGGGGTTTGGTGGATGAGTTAGTGGGGAGGTTGAGGATTGTGGATTGGGGGTTGTTTGCTTGATTTGGGGATTCTTTTGGTGGGTTTCAGTTTGGCATGGGGAGTATTGGGATGAGAATTATATATGGATTCGGAATTCGGGAAATGAGAGATCATATAAGCACCTGGGTAGATGTGGATGGATACAAATCAGAGGTAGGTAGAAGCTCTACTCAGCCATCCCTTCTCATCTGTCGCTAGTGCTAATCGCTACTGGCGTTCAGGTGCTCGGCCTGAGAAATTGCATGGCTCATCATCAGCCAGCCATGTGTCGTTGTGCTGTCGTCTTGGAGTTCATATCACCTTAGGGATCATCTATTTCTCGGTAGATGGAGACATATTACCGCGAAGCAGCAGACCTGGTAATATACCGGTGTTAATGATATGAGTATCATGGTCGGAATGTGCACCCAAAGTATTCATGTTCAGTACGTATGACCACTTGTGAGGTGAAATACAAAGTAGGAATACCCAGGGGTGTGAGGGTATCTGCAGTGACATCTCTTTTCTGATCAGTTACCGCACTCATCTTATAGTTAGTTAGCGATCAGAAAGTCAATTGTGCCTGAAAAGAAGGAGCCATCGGGCCTTGTATGTATGTTTCTTTTTCCTTCTTTCGTTTCTTCTTTCCTTCACCATCTTTGACTTAGCGACCTACAAAGTGATACGCAACTAACAACAACATCAGACAGACTAATCAACCAAGCAATGTGGCCATTATCTGGATTGCTTTGGGCTATTTATCTTTCACCTTCTCCATCTAAGCAGGCATTAACATTCTATTTGGATACCTATGTCTTTGACAATTCCCCAACAAAGCATGCTTAGCGCCTTAACCGACCAGCGTTGCCCGGCCAACGTCTCTTCGTCCCCGTAGATCCGCACCCATCAACACCACCAGCTCGACGCCCTGGAATCGGTGATCTTCGGACATATCCATCGCAGAGACTATTGACAGAATACATAACGATCGGAAAAACTCGCAACGACGAAGATTCACCACTGTCTCCTTGCGTGAGGCAGGAAAGGCGCAGCAAAGACTAGCTGCACGAACTGCAGCAGACAAAGACCTACTCAGAAAGAACCGGCCATGGCAAGACTCAACACAACGAAACCCAAAGCGGGTGATGACACTCGACCGAACAAAAAGCCCGTCCGGCACTTAGGCCAACGGGGCGTTCTTCAAAGCAAATTCCGAGACACGGTGAACACATCAGATTCTGAGGACCGCGAAGATACACAATGGAGGCCCAAGAGCAAGTTCTCTTCTAGAACCACGGAGGGCCAGGCACAATGGATGGGGGGTCATAAAAGAACGGGAACGGTTTCCAGCGGCATCTTTGATATCTTTTCCGACGCCGATGGCGCCAATGATCGGGATGGCGATACGTCTAGGAGCTCTTCCGACGCGAACAAGGCGAACAAAGATGGGGCATTGGACTTAGCACGAGTCAATTCGCTTCTGCGCAGGCCGTCCCAGCAGTCGCGGCACAGGACGTCTCGGAAGTCGGAACTCTATAACTATGACAAGGAAAACGATCCCGTGGAAGTGGAACTGGCTGAGGAAGACGACCTTAATACGCCATCTACCATTTCCAGGAACCCGTCCGATGCATCAACCAGACGGTCGCCCGTGAGAAATGCACGACAGACCCCGGCTCGGAATGGAAATAATCGACTATTCTCCCAGTATCGCCAGCCTGAACGTCGTTTTGACGACGATAATGAAGACAATGATTCCGATTCATTGGATGAGTTCATTGTTAGCGACAACGAGGAGCCCAGCTACCATGAAACATCCGACAACGAGACGGAGGAAGAGCGGATCCAAGAGGTTCCTTCTTATAAACCTCAACGGAAACTGAAGAGAGGCAGGCGACCTAACCCAGAAGCTGAGCTTCTGAAGGCCCTTCAGCACAAGGACGATCTTCGCTTGGAACCGTCACTACCAGCCGCAATCACACTACCACCATCACCTGAGCGCAAGAGTGAACGGGAAGGGGAAAGACAGACACAACGGGAAGGTGAGGAACTGTCTCAAAACGACGTGAATTTCTCCGAAAAGATGCATCATCTGAGTTTAAAGGACAATGACCCTTCTGCACAGCTTCAGCAGGAGCTTTTTGGGTATGTCTCAGCCATGAAGTACCGGTCTTCCAGCTAGGAATTATATGGAAACTAACGCCGTGATAGCTTCGTGGAAGATTCTGGAGCAGTTTCATCAACACCAGAGCCTGAAGTTATTTCTCTAGAAACGCCGCCAATGACCTCCTCCAAGAACCTCCTTCGGTCACCCTCAAAGGGAAATACCTTCATCCCTCCAACCCCATTTCGAGAGAGCGTTGACGCTTTCTGGAATCCGGAGATCGCCAACGACTGGTTCGACAAACACTCCCCCCACAAGAAAGTAGACCGGTTGCTACACGAGTTCGAGGAGTCAGAAAACGAAGTCGACCCGGACAGCATGCTCCAACGTCGGGGCGCGATCAAGGTAGTGCCTAAGACCCCCAGCAAGACGGCCCTGAAGAAAGTGGAAACGGAACAGAAGAAAGCTGCCATAGCGCGCAGGAGATCCTTCGACAACAAGAAAGCCAATGTTGCGGAGGATTTCCTCAAAACTCTGGATGATATCGTCACTGGTGGCAAAATCCAAGCGATGGCTGCAGAGACAGGGGGTGTCCGAATCACATGGAATAAGACTCTCCAGACCACCGCTGGCCGGGCTAGCTGGAGACGAGAAAGGTCAATGTCGCCTTCTCGGGAGAACCAGTCTGTCATGTCACAGAAGCAGTTCGCTAGCATTGAGTTGGCAGCACGGATCATCGACAACGAGGATCGTTTGATCAATACCCTGGCGCACGAGTACTGCCATCTGGCCAACTACATGATCTCGAACGTCACCAATAACCCCCACGGAACGAGCTTCAAGCTATGGGGCCAAAAATGCAAGGAGGCGCTGAAGGATCACCCCGTCTACGGCGGCCGGGTTGAGGTCACGACCAAACACAGCTACAAGATCGACTACAAGTATGTATGGTGCTGCGTGGATTGTGGCCAGAGTTACGGACGGCATTCGAAGAGCATCGACCCGACCAAATCGACCTGTGGCAAGTGCAAGGGACTTCTGCAGCAAATCAAGCCCAAACCAAGAAATGTGTCGCCCAAGAAGCAACCAGCGCCCCAAAGTGGAATGGGACTCCCCAGAGCGGCTGTCGATAATGTGCCGATGGTCCTACAAGAAATTAACGTCCTTCATTGAAAAGATGGACTAGAGAAGGACAAGACGACTCAGTTCTTGGTGAACTTCATAGACGAACTGATCTAGACATTTTGGACTCTGTGTATTTATCTAACTATTGGCCGACATTTTGAGCGTTCTTTTGATGATGCGACTGCGCTTAAGCGATATGCCTGCCTCTTTTCACTCATTTTTTTGGGATTCTGGATGTTGGACACGAATTTGACGCAATCAACCAGAGACATTTCATGCAGTTTATATTCTCTCATATCTCTCTCTCATTGTTTCCATTTATACTCTCTACCACTGGGCCGGAGCGGAGTTTCTTGTTTTCCCCATTTACTATAGCATGTAGATAGGGCCTCCAGCCGCTCCTCTCCCCTCTATGGATTTCGGGTTCAATCAATTCACTATTTTCTCTCATCCACCTCTATCTATCACATTACTTATCACAAATATTGGCAAGGTAAATTATCGCGCTGTCGACGGTGCCACCGCAGACGAAGTAGTTAATTGCAAATTCTCGGAGGATGCCTCCATACATGTGTCATCCTTCTCTCTCAGCACTCTAGGGACCTCGATTAGAAATTCATAACCACCCCCAAGGTGGGCCAAGCCAAATGATTTGTATAATTAAGGCCCAGGAATCTCGAGTCTACTTTTCATTTACAAATAGCCAAACGTCGGTGAATCATCTGCAGCCTAACGAGGCGTCTGTCCAACTCTTTCGAAGTATTTTTCCGCCAGATGCAACCTTTTTATTTTCCTCATGTCCGACACCAATCCATAGTTTTTGAGCCACGGGTGACTCGGATTCAAGAGAAAACAGGATTTAACTCTGCAGGAAAAGCAAGCACTATCTTGGAAACATCGGAGACCCGTTCACCGCTATACCTACACCGTCTTTTGATCCCGGAAACAGTGATCTATCTCATGCAACCAACTTAACACAATTTCCTGGCTGCCGTATTTCTTCACGAGGAGTATCATATCTCTGTCAAGGCATGATGTTGAACGCACGCAATCAATCCTTCAGAAACAGGGTCACAAAACAATTAAGCGCATAAAAAATCTAAATCGCGGTGGGAACGCCCTGCATATTGCAAGATCACCGGGACCATTTCGAGTGTGTTCTTCAACCTCTACTTCAACCAGTCCAGTCAACTCAATTCATGCAAGGGGATTCGGAGATCAAACATCATACAGACAGATACGTCCATTCAATTGACATGCAGACATCTGTGTGTAATGCATAAAGAAAACACGCCTATTCAGAGTTACGGAATAAGCACGGCGTCACACCGCACATCGCAACAAAGAAGGTGCAAGACGATTCAAAGGCCAGATCTATCTATGTATCGCCAATGGCAAACATGCCTGATGCAAAGCTACTTAAATGCCCGTATCGGCCATTCAACCCCCAAGGTCCTCTCTTGATCAAATTTGGCAATTTGTTGTCTTTTGTTCCACATGGCTCTGCCACAACCGCCAGCCCCGGGTCTCCCTATCCCCAATACGCCTCATGCAGTCTCTGTACAACTTTCATCGTGGAAATATGTCTGCGAAGTCGCTCTCGGAGAGACCAAAGTGTTGTCTACTCTAAAGAACGGCTACCCTAGGTCGTTCTTTCATAAAGATGTCCAGGCCGTGAGATCACCCCCGCCTCAACGCATTGCAGATATCAGACTGGATCCATGAACTGACACAAGAATGGAATTCCTTCCAAGAACTACAGCTATTTAGAGCCTGCGAGACAAAGTTTGCCTCCGGCGGCGGCCTGAAGATCATGCTATTTTCGAATCCCCGCGCCGCAGAAGCATGTAAATCGTACATCGCCTCCGTCGAACGACAGAAGCAGCAAGCCGATATCAGCGACTGGATCGCGCTGACGTCGCTGGGCTGGGAATCCTTCACCACCCCACAATCACACTCCAGTCTGCCCATGCTCTACGCAGTCACATACCCCGAGGGCTGGCACGCCACTGCGACGACCTTCTGGCGCCTCACGGGCCTTGGGATCTCCTCGCGTCTGTCCGAGGAATGCCTCGAGCGGGTCGAAACACTGCGCAAGATGGAGTCCATGCCGAGATGCCTCTCTAGCAATGACACCGAAGTCTACTTCATCCTTCAATCTCGCATTGCCAGCCTCATCGAACGAGCTCCCATCACCGATCGACCGCGCAAAGTCGCCGGCGAGGATGTATATCTGTACCAGTCCGGCATGGCGGCCATCTACAACATCCACCAGATGCTTCTGCGATGGCGCGGCGCAGAAAGCGCCATCGTCGGGTTCCCCTATGAGCTGACTATCAAAATGCTGGAGACCTACGGTCCCGGGTATACGTTCTACAGCGCCGGCACCGACGCTGACATCGACCAATTCGAAGCGCATCTCGAGAAACTGGCCAGCTGCGGACAAAAGCTTCAGGCTGTGTGGTGTGAATGTCCATCCAATCCGCTCCTGCGTACCGTCGACCTCGATCGGATCCGGAGACTTGCTACGAAATTCGACTTCGTGGTCGTGGTCGACGATACTATCGGCAGCTTCGCCAATGTCGACGTGTTAGATATCGCAGATATCGTGGTCACCTCGCTGACCAAGTCTTTTAATGGATTCGCAGACGTCCTGGCAGGCAGGTCAGTCATCACCACTGTCCTCCCCACTTCTCTTCCTTTCATCTTCATATACCTACTGTACTTCGACGCATACAAAACACAACTAACATGATCTCAAAATAGCTTAATCCTCAACCCCAACTCCCCTCACCACCAAACCTTCCACACTCTCCTGCACCAACCCCCCCATAAAACCAGCAACACCAACACGAACCTCTACCTCCTCGATGCCCTTCACCTCGAAATCAACAGCCGCGACTACCTAACCCGCTCCTCAATCCTCAACACCACCGCCGAATACCTCGTCGACTCCCTCGTCCCCCACGCCTCCAACTCAAATAACCCAACAAGCGTCCTCTCCGCAATTTACTACCCAAAACTCTGCCGGTCACGCTCAAACTACGCCCGACGAATGCGTCCCGCCACGCCGGACGACGGCTTCATCCCCGGCTACGGATACCTGTTCACACTGGAGTTCGTGAGCGTGGCCACCGCGACGGCGTTTCTGGATCGGTTGGGGGTTCATAAGGGGCCATCTATTGGGGCCCATGTTACGTTGGCACTGCCGTATGTGCAGATGGTCTTGCAGAGGGAGAAGGAGTGGGCGGAGGGGCATGGGTTGAGGGAGACGATTGTTAGGGTTTCCGTTGGGTTGGAGGATAAAGAGGCCCTCGTGGAGGGGTTTCGGGTGGGGTTGGAGGAGGCGGAGAGGGTCGGTAAGGGGGTATGAGAATGAGGGTTTGCTAGAAGATGTCTGGGTTGTGGTGGTAGGCTTTGGGATGGGTGGACGGATATATATGTTGAGGGACTAAGCCAGGGGTTGGGTGTTCTTTATTTAGGGTTGTAGTGTAGTACGAAACTTTTATAATCAAGTGATGTACAGATGTAAGAATGCTGCAGAGATGATTCAATTGAATGACTCCCATCTTGAATATGTTTATATAGATGGTTGTTGAGGAAGAGGTCCTAGGGAACGCGAGTGCTTGGCATATTGCAACCTCAGACATCAAATATTTCACACATTCCTCACCTTAGACCAGTCTTATTGCATTACATGAACAAAATTTATATATACTGTACTATATGTATACCGTAGGGGCGAATAGAATATATTACGCAGGTATCTATCTACCCACAAGAAAAAAAAAATCTAAAATAGAAAATACAAGAAAGAAACCCATAGATGACATGTCAAGATAGTAGGAAATATATAAACGAATAGTAACAAGACTCAACACAGCCGAATTGATCGACCCAGGAGAGTCCAAGAGGGTCAAGAAAAGTCACTCCTTACAGAAGAATCATACCAGCACCGGCAATCATAGCCGTCACCACATAAGCACCCACATGGAAGCAGCCGACCTTCACGCTACCAGGCGCAACAACGAACGCGGCGCCCGAGGAGCCAGAAGAATCAGCCGAGCCACTAGCAGCCATGGCGTCGGCGGTGCCGGTCGGCGAGGAAGTGACAGAGCCCGTGCCGGCCGTGCCAGCCTGGTCGATCAGGGAAGAGCAGGTTCCGCTGGGGCTGCTGGACTTCTGGGTGGAAGCGGCGCCGTCAAAGTCGCAGGCGTTCTGGCCGTTGCCCTTCTTCGACTGCTGCTGGTAGTAGAGGTCCATGGCGTAGGAGAGCTGCTGCTCGGGGGTGCAGACGCTGTATGCGCCGAATTTGCCCGTGGTCGCGTTGCCCTGCACGCCGTCGCAGACCTTGTAGCCGCAGACGGTGCCGAAGAGCTTGTCGAGCTGCTTGTCCGACACGGAGTCCTTCAGCTTGCAGGTGAGGCTCTCCTCCATGCAGGAGCAGAGGTTCTGGTTCGGGGACGGCGGGAGAGGGCTGGACTTGGCGAGCCAGGAGTCGCCGACCGTGGGGCACGATTGGAGCGCCGTGTTGGATGGCGAGTAGTCGTTCTTCTTGGTGCCGGTGGGGGTGGCGCTGGCGAGCTGCTTGGAGAGGTAGCTGTAGTCGGCCTTGGTGCTGACCTTGTCGCCGTCGACGGAAACCAGACCTGTATGGAACCTGTTAGAGAGATGGAGAGATGGAGAGGGGGCAGAGGGGGCAAGAGGTGGTTGACAAGGGACTTACCGTAGTTGTTGTCTTCCTGGAAGTACATGTACACGATTCCGCCGGACCAGACATCGGCCATTGTGTCGCCGTACAGAGCATCGACCTCGGTAAACTTGCGAGGCGTAACGTCGTTGCAGCCGTATTCAGCGAAGAACACGGGAACCGAGTAGTCCTTGAACTCCTCGGTCCTGCTCTTGTATCCGGACTTCTCGTAGTTCGAGTCTCCACACCACGAGTAGACGTTGTAGCCCCAGAAATCGATGCTCTCGTCTGCCTCGGCGCAGTTGAAGTAGTTGGCCATGTCCTCACGGATGCTCGAGTCATCATTCGTGGCATATCCGACACCCATGGGACGGTACTTCTTGGCCTTGATATACTGCTTGATGTCACGGACAGCAGCCTTCACATAGGCACTGGCATCCGTGGTCTTTTTGGTGTTAGAAACCTCGTTTCCGGCGAAGAACCCGATGACGTTGCTGTATTGAGACAGCTCGTCAACAACGCTGACATATCGGTTGTACAGATCGTTGTCCCACTTGGGTTCATTGCGGACGATAGAATCACTAGGCGAGGAGAGATCCGCAACGACATAGATGCCATGTTCGCTGAGGAGGTTCATGCACTCAGAGTGATCGGACTTGGGATCGATGGCGTAAACACGGATGGTGTTGGCATTGAGTTTCGAGATATAAGGGATGTCACGCTTGCAGCTGTCGACGTCGGCCAATGGGTCCTTGAAGCTGTTGCTGGAAGACTTGGGACCAGAGTATTCCTCTATTAGGGGTCAGTTCATGTTATCTTCGTCAGTGATGCTGGGACAAGCTGCAACATACGCTGATAAGCGACACCACGGATGTAACTGTAAAGCCATTAGCACAACACCTCGACATAGACTGTTGAACCAAACTTGGACTTACAATTGAGTGTCATTGCTCTTGTAGAAAAATTTAGAACCCTGGAAGGCAGCCGTGTCAGAAAGGAAGTTGTACTCTTGGCTTTGATCGTGAGCACGAGGGTACCTTGATAATGATCGGGTCCAGATCAGTAGCCAGAACGCTGCTGGCGAAGAATGCGGCACCCGCAACGATGCTGGAAAACCTCATGGTGAATATGAATACAAGGAATATCAATCCACAGCCGGATTACGAGCCTGCCCGTTCAGGGGAAATGAATGTGCGATCGAATAAAGATTGAAAAAGAAATGAATGACTAGAGCAATGAACCAAAAAGGAGTGAAATTATAGCAAATGAATGAATGAATGAATGACAACGGCTGATAGCCTGGCAAAAAGTGAGAGGCAGAAAAAACAGCAAAAGTGACAGGAAATGTCCTCGAACAAAATGTCCAACCACCAGGATTTTAATCTTCGTCTTCCCCCATACTCAGTCGGTGAGAAGCGGCCGGTCAGGGTCCAGGGACTCGAGGATGAGCGGGCAAAGGCCATGCTCAGCCGTCTTGCTGGGCCCCGGAGAGGACCTGAGCGGGTTGATCCCCACGGCCATCCACTGCCTCCCGTGATTTGATCGCCGATGATATTCAACGATGTTCGTTTTTCCCCGGCTGTCATTTGCTCCTGAGCCGCGAGACGTCCCACGAAGGGACATGCTGATATCAGAAGTCTCAGGAACGCGCAAGCCAGGTCCACATGGAGAATAAGCCAGGGGAGGCCTTTGAGCTTAATGATCAAAAAAGCTTAACTGCTGATATATATAGACGGCAGGAAACCAGAAGCGAAGTCTAGCCATACGGAGTACTTTGTCGCAGCCCCGATCACATCATCGCCGTAGTGTAGTCAGAACTTGGTCAATCCTGAGGCCAGCCGCGTCGAGGATCCGATGAAGCTCTGGAACATCATTGCCGTTATCATGCGATCGGGGATCAGATATTCCGTGCCTCATTACCCGTTCGAGTAAATCGAGTGGACCATTCGCTGAATACGGAGTTGAGCCGTTTCTTATGTCAACCTTGATCGAACGCGAGGTTCGAAGATTCCAAGTACGGATACTGTGTAGTATGCGTCGTACACATGTGGATGTACATGCGTATCAGCTTTCGCTCACGAGATAATCCCAACTGAGGCGCTCGGCTGCATGTGTAGTCGGTCGCTGCATGCAGCAGGTGTCTGTGCAATGATTATGAAGCCTGCATCCCCGATTGTCTTCCCGAAGAATGTTGATCTCAAGCTTCTGCAACATGTGCATATCGCCGTCGGGTGGCTGTGGCGAAGTACGTACACAGCGTTTTCATTTTTGCGAATTCGCTAAAACATCGTTCAACATGACGATCTTTCCAGTTCCGTCAGTGGACCACGGTTCGACATGACGACACCCTTGGGACAGCCATGTTGCACTCATAGTCACGACACACCGAACAGAGTAGTGATTCTTGCTCTTGATCAAATTCCAGCATAACAGAAGTGAGAGGTCTCAGTTGTGAAAAGGTCCGGCCAAACATAGGAGGCCTCACAGCGACGTGGACGGAGGAGGGGAGTTGGCCACGCATGTGATCAGACTCGGTGACTAACTAATTAACTATGAGCAAGATATATTATTAATGTGATTTGCTACTCTGTATCGGGATTATGCATACACTGTGTACACAGTAGAGTGCCTGCGCTAATTTCAAGGCATCCCTAATCTTTTGTCCTCGTGGGTGGAAATTGCACTTCCGTCCCGATTTCCATCCCTGACTGTAAACTGGATTTATAATATAGGATTTAATTATTCGAAATTCGAATGAGGAAGGGGGGAGGAGAGGCTGCAGGGAAGATGAAACCTGAAACCCCCCTGAACTTTTTTCCTTTTACTTTCCTGGCAGCGTTCCACGTCTTGGACCAGGCTGGGCCTTGTCAGTCACTCAACCACCGGCAACAATGGGCTCGCCACCCGTTGGCTCTCCCTCCCTGGTCCCTTCCGATTGGCCAACAGGCACATTAGCAGGTGCCCCACCGTATCCCCCTCCACCGCCCCCATCTGTTTACGGATTGGTCCATCATTGGGGGGTGAAACTTGCTAATCAATTCAAAAGTATTACGAGGTGGGTGTCAATATTCGATCTGTGGTGACTGGTGTTGCACTCTGTCCTCCGTGGGTACGGCGACCCTCGTTGCGTCTCCTTTTGGACCCGATTTCGTTGGAAGTTGGAAATGGAATTAATTGTAACTTATGCTTACTTTCTGACTTTCTCACCGTTGACTTTTTTTCTTCTTTTACTTTTTCTTTCATTATTTTTTTTTATTACTTACCACGGACCCAGTGCGACCGAACAAAACCACTCCATGCATCAGTAATAATACGCCCGGAACAAAGGTCATCATATCAAGACCATTTATTGGTGAAATAGTCGGGAGAGCTGCAAGGGCAAAGGAGGCGTTTCGAAAATCCGCCATCCACTACCGTGCATTATCAATTTATCACCTCGACCGGCTGCGGCAGTTCATCCCTAGCCATCCCGCCCAGTCCGAGCCCAACTGTCATCGGCCCGTCATACACCGTAGCCATGTACTTCGACTTACTCCTATATCTTCGTCCTCTTTGACAGAGACAGCCAGACAAACAAAGAAAGACTCCCGCTCGTCCAGGTCTGGTGCGGTGGGCGGAAGTTCCATGGGTGGTCAAATCTCTGCTTTCTAAGCAGCAGCAATTCTCGCGATTTAGTTATTTATTTATTTTTGGAAACCACGAAGGGGGACTCTGTAGTCTGTACTTCCCCCTGGCGAAGACCGCGAGGCCTTAACTTAGAACTCGAGATCGTATAGTGCATTTTTCACGATTCAATAGTCAGGACTCCGGACTTTTTATGGAGTCTGTCCATACTTTAAATATCCATACTATTTGGCGACGTCTGGATTCTTCTCATGGCATGTATCTCTCTGCTCGGTACTCCGTATAACACTGGGTACTAAGGTAAAGGTACGGTAGTAATGGGTCGCGTAATCGACCTACTAGACTATGTGGGGGTGAAACGGTACCGCCAGAACGCCGACCAAGTATTCATTCTTACGCCGATGCTTTTAGTCTTTACTGGACCTCCCTACGCCACAGGTAGGTACCGTCCAGTGCGTCCACTGGTGAATGGGAATTAATTTTGACCCAGCTTTGCTAATCGGGCCAAGGGTGCCAGATTCAAACTTGCCTCGATGCGGTATGCCTTTATTGACGATCGTCGCTTTAAAACCGACTAGAATCATAGAATGCTGGCGTTAGAAGGGACTAGGACTACGGAGTACGGCCGGGCCGTAAGAGTTAGAGAATGTAAAAAGGACTAAAAAAGCCTTAACTGCCAACAACCAAGGCCGAAGGTCGATAACGGTGGGGTTTCACTTCCCTCAAGCCTCAGTGGTCTGATGACAGGAATTATGTACTGTACTGTGCTCCGTAGTAGGTTACGCTGTGTATCTGTACGGTCGTACATACAAAACTTTCGTAGGAAGGCTGGATGGATCTGTGGCGGTTTTGTGCAACGCTAGTTCGGTGCACCCGTTGGAGTATAAGAACTGTATAGGCGGTGCAGGAAGACTAGATGACATCGGTATCTGTCTAGAGATAGATAGTATCGTGAATGGAGGTACTGAGACCGGTGACGTACATAGGTTAATAAAAAAGCAATCTCTACCTCTACCCCGTAGTTCATACCCCCAGAAGAACTGATCCTTGTGCAGTGTCCAAATGTCGAGTACACCCTACCGTCTACATGACTACATGCCCTGTACATGGAAAGCCACGCCCAGGCAGAACCCTCGAGTCCCGATAACGACTCAGATAGCCTACTGGGGAGCAAATCGTGATGAAGAATGTTGTGCAAGGCCCGGGAGTGCGCAGATGCAAAAACAGGCTATTTTGATATCAACTGACTATATTAAGAAAAGGTCAGGCCCTGTTCTGTATGGAGCACTGCGTACGATGCATGGATATGATAGAAGAGCATGTTCCCATTTGCCTGCGCCATCCTACCGTTCCAGCATGACTGTGGACTTGCTTGGAGCTTGGGTGTCTTCGCATTTGTTCCTGGATTGCTTGACTAATCTCCCGCATGCAAAGAGCAACAAAGGACGAAGGGTGATTGGCAGCCAAGACTGCAAATCACGTCGTTCCGTGGTTCCATCCACCGAGCTGTCCAGAATAACATGAGACTCGCGGTGGCAAAATGCAGTTATTTAAAGTCGGTTCCACATTTTGTTGCTGGGAGCATGGACGGAGCCTGAAGAGGACCGAACTTTAATAGGAATTTCTTTTCTTTTCTTTTCTTTCTTTCTATCGGATTCCCTTGAATACATATCCAGGGTAAAAGTCTAATCGGGAGGGGATCAGAATCCTACTGATCGTGTCGTTTGGTCAACCGCACCACCGACCTGATCCATTCTTTCGAACATGCTGGCTCGCCGCTCAGGAACCACAACGCTGAGCCAGGGAATAACACCCACAATAAACAATCTGCCTGATTGTCGAAGACGGCATAGCAACGCATTCGTAAACTCGCCACCACGATCTGAGAGGTTGCGACTCAGGACGGAGGGGGAAATCCCGAAGATCGTAGGCCTGGTATGAAGAATGGCCGACAACAAGACACCATCCCTGCATACCAGACAAAAACAATAATGTAAACTTCCACCTTATGTCAGCCTGTAACTTACCGTCCGTGTTACCAAGCGATACCTGTCTTCGAGGTACCGCACGCGTATCCTCATGCTCAAGAGGCTGGAGGTGGGTCTGGTTTCAGGGGCCGTTCTGAAGTTCCATGGCAAGCCGAGAACCAACACGCAGCCGACTGTGGTGTGCTCCGGCCTCGATGTATTATGCGCCAACCCTACGGAGTAAGATTCCAAACGAGAGCTCTGACAGACAGCGCAGGGAGATGATGTGAACGATGATGGCAGCCGGGACAATTTATGCAGCCTTTTGACGGAGGACATCGCCAACAGGTGTGCTCGGTCGACTGGATTGGGCATTTTAATCTCCTGGCGGAGTAGACAGTACCTACGGAGTGGGTAGATAACAGGATATCAGGATATCAGCCTGTTTTCTGGTTGGCAGAAAACTGAGGGGCTGCGAACAGCGCATTTACGCATGTCCATACGTAAGATCGGGTGTGGTGACTCGCCCCAAGCCACTTACACATAGGGTCCAATCGCAAGGGTGGGATTCAGGGCACCCGCAGCAGGCAGGCAGGCCGCCTCCCAATCGGTCACTCTGTGGACGCAGTACATGTACACGTATGTACATAAAGTGGTAGGTACTGTATGCTGTATGCGGTAATACCACCATACCCGTACGCCGTCGGTCCGGTCGGTACACCCATGGAACACCCCGATTGTCTCAATAATTGCTGGGGCAGTTATTGATTTCCTAGTGGCGGGTACGCTAGGAGAGGATAATTGTTTACCATACCTGCGGTAGAAAAAAAAGGTCCCTACCTGTACCATAACCACCGGCTTACACTGTCGCGCAGTAAATTAGCAGATCCAGATCCCAAAATAACCACAGCCCCCCCATCCCACCCTCCCCCCGGTAGTGGCCAGTATTTTCCCTGCTGGGTGGACAATCGATTCCTTTTTCACGGATAGTGTCCAGTCCAACTCTAGCCATCTCCTCCTCCTCCCCTACTACGCCCATCGTTGTCTTTCCTTCCTTCCTTTTTTTTTTTGTCTTTTCTGTTCGGCTTCACTTCCTTTCGACCTGACTTTTGGGTCGCCGTTCACTCTTTTTTATTCTTTCCCTCCTACCACCCAAGGGAAGCTGTTCCTGTCAACTTCGGTCGATCTCCTTTCCTTCTTTCTTGCTCTCGTTTGAGGAAAGAAGAGGTAGGTCGCTCTTGGCTGAGACAGCCGGGTGGTTCACTTTTCCATACTTGCATTTATCATTCTCTTGTGCCGCATCGCTTCGGCTTCCCCCCCTTCCATTCGTTTCTGAAAGAAATCAACCGCTTCGGTGATTCTCACCTTGCCCGCTCATCGCTTCGAGCCCTCGAAAACGGTCATCCCCGTCGACTCCAACGTTTACACACGGTTTAACAGTCTGGAACTGGTCCCGCTCGAAAAGGCTGGCTTGAGGTGGTTTACGACGCGTCGATCTTCTTGAAACTTTGTTCCATCCGACCACTGCATCAGGCCTGTTTCCGGTTTATGTGTCATTAGCTGTAAGCTCATTCATTCGAATTTTTTTTTTTTTTTTTTTACATGGGTTGTTATTCCTGTATGTGGCAACCTCGCGATGCACCCTCCCTACCTTCCTGGATTGGCTGGTCAGATCCCAGAACGCTAACCTCGAGCGAACCTTCTTAGAAACCCTTAATCGATTTTGTAATATCGGCTCGCAACCATGTCGGGCCATCCAGGAGGAGGCCACTACGATGATGGCTACGGCCATCAGGGCCATGGCGACTCGTACTATCAGGACGAGCATGGCCAGGCTTATTACGACCATAATGACTACGGTGATGGCTACTATGATAGAGGGTATGTTCACCTCAAGAGAGAGTGCAAGGTGAATCGTGTAAATTGACGATGGACAGTGGCTACTACGGCGCGGATAACGGTGCGTACCATCAGGAAGGCGGATACTACGATGCTGGTCACCACGACGACTACTACGGCGACCAGTACTACGACAATGCCGGCCAAGGAGGTAGAGGACGAAGGGGTGATTCGGAGGAAGACTCGGAAACCTTCAGCGATTTCACCATGAGGTCGGAGACCGCGCGTGCGGCAGACATGGACTACTATGGCCGTGGTGACGAACGCTACAACAGTTACGCCGACAGCCAGTACGGTCGTGGTTATGGCGGCTATCGCCCCCCCTCGTCCCAAGTCTCCTACGGTGGTAATCGATCGTCCGGAGCCTCAACTCCGGTCTACGGAATGGACTATGGGAACGCTCTGCCTGCCGGCCAGCGGTCACGAGAGCCCTATCCCGCCTGGGCCTCGGACGCTCAGATCCCAGTGTCCAAGGAGGAGATCGAAGACATCTTCATTGACTTGGTGAACAAATTCGGTTTCCAGAGGGACAGCATGCGCAACATGTACGACCATCTCATGACCCAGCTGGATTCGCGTGCTTCCCGTATGACGCCAAACCAAGCCCTCCTCTCGCTCCACGCGGACTACATCGGTGGCGATAACGCCAACTATCGTCGTTGGTACTTTGCGGCTCATCTTGATTTGGACGATGCCGTGGGTTTTGCGAACATGAAGCTGGGAAAGGCGGACCGGAAGACCCGGAAAGCCCGCAAAGCAGCCCAGAAGGCTGCGGAACAGAACCCCGAAAACGTTGATGAGACCTTGGAAGCACTGTCGGGTGATAACAGTCTCGAGGCTGCTGAGTACAGATGGAAGACGAGAATGAACCGGATGTCGCAGCATGACAGAGTCCGCCAGCTTGCATTGTTCTTGTGCTGCTGGGGCGAGGCCAACCAAGTCCGCTACCTCCCCGAGTGTCTCTGCTTCATCTTCAAGTGCGCCGATGACTACTACACCTCGCCCGAGTGCCAGAACCGAGTTGAACCCGTCGAAGAGGGGACTTACCTGAACGACATTATCACACCCCTCTACCAGTACTGCCGTGACCAGGGATACGAAATTGTTGATGGCAAGTATGTCAAGCGTGAACGTGACCACAACCAGATCATCGGATACGATGACATGAACCAGCTCTTCTGGTACCCCGAGGGTATTGAGCGTATTGGCTTTGAGGACAAGACGCGACTGGTCGATGTCCCGCCCGCTGAGAGATGGCTCAAACTGAAAGAAGTCAACTGGAAGAAGGCCTTCTTCAAGACCTACAAGGAAACCCGTTCCTGGTTCCATATGGTCACCAACTTCAACCGTATCTGGGTCATTCACTTGGGTTCCTTCTGGTTTTTCACTGCCTACAACGCCCCCACTCTCTACACTCACAACTACCAGCAGCAGTTGAACAACAAACCTCCCGGTGCCTACTACTGGTCTTCTGTTGGTTTTGGTGGTGCGCTAGTTGCGTTCATTCAGATTTTCGCTACCATCATGGAGTGGATGTACGTTCCTCGACTATGGGCGGGTGCTCAGCATCTAACCAAGCGTTTGATGTTCTTGCTCCTGGTTTTCATCATCAACTTGGCTCCCGGTGTGTTTGTCTTCGGATTTTCCAAGGATGTGGAAAACAAGACCATTCCTCTCGTGATTGGAATTGTCCACTTCTTTATCGCCCTCGTCACGTTCTTCTTCTTCTCCGTCATGCCGCTTGGTGGCTTGTTTGGTAGCTACTTGAAGAAACACGGTCGCCAATACGTTGCCAGTCAGACTTTCACTGCAAGCTTTCCGCGCTTGACTGGAAATGATATGTGGATGTCTTATGGTCTCTGGGTCTGCGTTTTTGGAGCTAAGCTTGCGGAATCGTACTTCTTCTTGACGCTGTCTTTCAAGGACCCTATTCGCATTCTGTCCCCGATGAAACTCCGACAGTGCGCGGGTGTCAAGTACATCCCCAAAGACTTGTGCCATGCCCAGCCTCAGATCCTGCTTGGTCTCATGTTCTTCATGGACCTGACCCTGTTCTTCCTGGATAGTTACCTGTGGTACATTATCTGCAACACTGTTTTCTCCGTGGCCAGATCGTTCTACCTCGGTGTGTCCATCTGGTCTCCTTGGAGAAACATCTTCTCGCGTCTTCCGAAGCGTATCTACTCCAAGGTCCTCGCGACTACGGATATGGAAATCAAGTACAAGCCCAAGGTGCTGATCTCTCAGGTGTGGAATGCCATTATCATCTCCATGTACCGAGAGCATCTGCTCGCCATCGACCATGTCCAGAAGTTGCTGTACCACCAGGTGCCATCTGAGCAAGAGGGCAAGCGTACCCTACGTGCGCCCACCTTCTTCGTTTCCCAGGAGGATCAATCCTTCAAGACCGAATTTTTCCCCCGTGGCAGTGAAGCTGAGCGACGTATCTCCTTCTTTGCGCAGTCTCTCTCGACCCCCATGCCTGAGCCTCTTCCGGTCGACAACATGCCGGCATTCACCGTGCTGATCCCGCACTACAGCGAGAAGATTCTCTTGTCGCTCCGTGAGATTATCCGTGAGGACGAGCCTTACTCCCGTGTCACGCTTCTGGAATACCTCAAACAGCTCCACCCTCACGAGTGGGACTGCTTCGTCAAGGACACCAAGATTCTTGCTGACGAGACTTCCCAATTTAACGGAGAAAACGAAAAGAGCGAGAAGGATGTTGCCAAGAGCAAGATTGATGACTTGCCCTTCTATTGCATTGGTTTCAAATCGGCTGCCCCTGAGTATACCCTGCGTACCCGAATCTGGTCTTCCCTGCGCTCGCAGACTCTGTACAGAACCGTTTCTGGCTTTATGAACTACAGCCGCGCCATCAAGCTTCTGTACCGTGTCGAAAACCCTGAAGTTGTTCAGATGTTCGGTGGCAACTCCGAAAAGCTTGAACGGGAATTGGAAAGAATGGCTCGCCGCAAATTCAAGATCTGTGTTTCCATGCAGCGGTACGCCAAGTTCAACAAAGAGGAGCGTGAAAACACTGAGTTCCTCCTCCGCGCTTATCCTGATCTCCAGATTGCCTACCTCGACGAAGAACCTCCTGTCAACGAGGGCGAGGAGCCTCGCTTGTACTCGGCCCTGATTGATGGTCACTGTGAGCTTCTTGACAACGGAATGCGCAAACCCAAATTCAGGATTCAGCTCTCTGGAAACCCCATTTTGGGAGACGGAAAATCGGACAACCAGAACCACTCGATCATTTTCTACCGTGGTGAATACATTCAGGTCATTGATGCTAATCAGGACAACTACCTCGAAGAATGCTTGAAGATCCGTAGCGTTCTTGCTGAGTTTGAGGAATTGACCACGGACAACGTCTCGCCTTACACCCCCGGAATTCCCTCTGTCAACACGAACCCGGTTGCCATTCTCGGTGCCCGTGAATACATTTTCTCCGAGAGCGTTGGTGTTCTTGGTGATGTCGCTGCCAGTAAGGAACAAACATTCGGTACTCTGTTCGCTCGTACGCTTGCCCAGATTGGTGGAAAGTTGCACTATGGTCACCCTGATTTCCTGAACGGTATTTTCATGTGTACTCGAGGTGGTATTTCCAAGGCCCAGAAAGGTCTTCACCTTAACGAAGATATCTACGCTGGTATGATGGCTCTGACCCGTGGCGGACGCATCAAGCACTGCGAATACTTCCAGTGTGGTAAGGGTCGTGATCTTGGTTTTGGCTCTATTCTGAACTTCACCACGAAGATTGGTACTGGTATGGGTGAGCAGATGCTGTCAAGAGAATACTATTACCTCGGCACTCAACTTCCCCTTGATCGGTTCTTGTCTTTCTACTATGCTCACCCTGGTTTCCATCTTAACAACATGTTCATTATGTTGTCCGTGCAGATGTTCATGATTGTCCTGGTCAACCTTGGTGCCCTGAAACATGAGACCATCACTTGCAACTACAACCCCGATGTCCCAATCACTGATCCTCTGCGCCCAACCTTCTGTGCGAACCTTACTCCCATCATGGATTGGGTCAACCGTTGCGTCATTTCCATCTTCATCGTGTTCTTCATCTCCTTCGTTCCCTTGGCCGTCCAGGAATTGACGGAGAGAGGAGTGTGGCGTATGGCCATGCGTTTGGCTAAGCATTTTGGCTCTTTCTCCTTCATGTTCGAGGTGTTTGTCTGCCAGATCTATGCCAACGCTGTGCACCAGAACTTGTCTTTCGGAGGTGCCCGCTACATCGGTACCGGACGTGGTTTCGCCACTGCTCGTATTCCGTTTGGTGTGCTGTATTCGCGTTTTGCTGGTCCCTCGATCTATGCCGGCGCTCGGTCTCTGCTCATGCTGCTTTTCTCAACCTCTACCGTGTGGTCGGCAGCTCTGATTTGGTTCTGGGTGTCGCTACTTGCCTTGATTATCTCGCCATTCCTGTTCAACCCTCACCAGTTTGCTTGGAACGACTTCTTCATTGACTACCGCGACTATCTGCGCTGGCTCTCCCGTGGTAATTCGCGCTCCCATGCGTCTTCATGGATTGCCTTCTGCCGTCTGTCTCGTACTCGCATCACGGGTTACAAACGCAAGCTTCTTGGTGTTCCCTCAGAGAAGGGTTCCGGTGATGTTCCCAGAGCTCGCATCACCAACATCTTCTTCAGCGAGATCGTGGCGCCTCTGGTTTATGTTGCGGTCACTCTTGTTCCTTTCCTTTACATCAACTCTAGAACCGGTGTCACCGACGACCCAAAGCTAGCATACAACGCTCTTATCCGTATCGGAATCGTTGCACTGGGACCTATCGGTGTCAATGCTGGTGTTGCTGGTGCGTTCTTCGGCATGGCCTGCTGTATGGGTCCGATTTTCAGCATGTGCTGTAAGAAATTTGGTGCTGTTCTTGCTGCAATTGCGCACGCCATTGCCGTTATTGTGCTGCTCATCATCTTCGAAGTCATGTTCTTCCTGGAGCATTGGTCGTGGCCCCGCTGTGTCATGGGCATGATTGCCATGGCCGCCATTCAGCGTTTCATCTACAAGCTTATCATTGCCTTGACGTTGACCCGAGAGTTCAAGAACGATCAGTCCAACATCGCTTGGTGGACCGGTAAATGGTACAACATGGGTTGGCATTCGATGACCCAGCCTGGCCGTGAATTCCTCTGTAAGATCACGGAACTGGGTTATTTCGCCGGAGACTTCGTCTTGGGCCATCTGATCTTGTTCATCATGCTGCCCGCTATCTGCATCCCCTATGTTGACAAGTTCCACTCCATCATTCTCTTCTGGCTGCGCCCTAGGTAAGCAAATAATCATCTCCCTCCGTCACATCCTCACTGGTTTGAACACCTACTAACTATTTCGTCAGTCGTCAAATTCGCCCGCCCATTTACTCCTTGAAGCAGTCCAAGCTCCGAAAGAGAAGAGTGGTTCGTTTCGCCATCATGTACTTCGCCATGTTCGTCCTGTTCCTTGTGCTTCTTATTGCGCCGCTTGTCGTTCGCAACATGGACATCATTACAGACAAGATGATGAAGGATTTCCCGGAACAATTACTACAACCTTTGGACGCCGGTAAAGCCAAGAACGACACTACTAGCCTCTACACTGGTAGCGGCTTGCCAAACGGAAAAAGTGCGTGGGTTCCTCCTTCGTCTTCTGCAACCTCGTAGATGCCTGCCAACCGTGGCATCTTTCAACGCCTGATTTTCTATTTTTGTTTGGTTGTTTTCGGAATGGAATCATGGACATGAGCTGTATAAAGTATCCAGCGCCTTGAAGTTGCTGTTGCGGCGTCTCATACATTTACTTTGCCTTGCTTTCTTTGGACTTTGCGCGTACGATCTTTGATTCTTTACTTTCTTTTTCTGTCGCCCTCAAATAATGGATTCAATACTTATAAACCGTGACCTGTATTCTTGAGAGTGTCTTCTTTTTTTCGATTCAGTCCTTCCCATGTGATCATTAGACTTGTATTTCCATCTTTGTGCCTTATGCTGCCACCACTGTGCCGTCTCTCTTTATCTTTTTGATGAATTCTGCTTCAATTTCATGGGGATGATCACTTGTAGTCCTACTGTACTCCGTAGGAAGCCAGTGTAAGCCTAAGGCCTCCAGCCATGAAGACGGCTGCCTGACGGGGATGCCTGGGTCACGTGCGGGCCGTGATCACGGGCGGGAAATGCGAGGCTCAGCGGCCGCGACGGTCGAGACTCCCTTCACTTTTTGTCTGCATCCGGGAAACACATTTCGTGGCTTTGACAACCACAAGACAATAGGTACTCAATACTCGGATACGTTGCCCGAGCGTTCTGAGCCTGCGCTTTCCTCCTGCGCTTCGAGCGCGCTCATCCCCGCCCCTACCGTCATGGATATCCAGGAGACCCAGCGGCTCCTTTCGGAGTACCTCCATGAACTCGCAAACTTGTTTCACCGGGTCCCCGGCTCGGCAATCTTCCTGCGATATGTAAAGTCTAGCTACCAAGATGACCCTATCCGATCTGCTGTCGAATTGTTCCTCTTCTTGTTCGCGGTCCGATATCTGCTTGCCCCAAAGTACTCAACCAAGCCCGGCGTGGTTCAGCTGTCGGAGGACGAAATCGATGATCTCGTGGATGAATGGACCCCTGAGCCGCTCGTCGCGAAGCCGACTGCCCTGGAGCAGATGGAGGTGGATAAGAGAACTGTGATTGTTGGGTAATACTCCTGAAATCCGGCTGCCTGACCCTGTACTCTGTCGTGATGTTAACCTCTTGTCACCCCTGAACAGTCCCGTTGGCCCCAAATCGAAATTGAGCAATGGCCGAACCGTTGCCAACCTTGCCTCTTACAATTTCTACAATTTCAATACGAATGAGTCTTTGAAAGAAAAAGCCATCCAGACTCTCCGCAACTACGGTGTTGGTCCCTGCGGTCCTCGCGGTTTCTACGGCACTCAAGATGTCCACATGAAGACGGAGGCAGACGTCGCGTCGTTCCTTGGCACTGCGTCTTGTATCATCTACGCGCAGGCCTTCTCGACCATTTCGAGTGTCATCCCGGCGTTTTCGAAGCGTGGAGATATCATTGTTGCCGATAAGGGGGTCAGCTTCGCCATCCGGAAGGGTATCCAGATCTCGCGTAGCATGGTCCGCTGGTACGAACATAACGACATGGAAGATTTGGAAAGAGTGTTGGCCAAAGTCACCAAGGAACAAGCCCGGAAACCGCTTACGAGACGATTCATCATCACGGAAGGCGTTTTTGAATCGTACGGCGATATGACTGATTTGCCCAAGATCGTATGTCCCCAACCTTCCGGTGAAGGTCGGACAGACTGACTAACCGAACATACCAGATTGAATTGAAACTCAAATACAAGTTCCGACTCATCCTGGACGAGTCGTGGTCATTCGGTGTCCTCGGAAGAACCGGCCGTGGTATCACCGAGCACCAGAATGTCGATGCGGCTGAAGTTGATATGATCGTGGGCTCGCTGGCCGGCCCATTGGTCGCAGGAGGTGGCTTTTGTGCTGGCTCCGAAGAGATCGTCCACCATCAGCGAATCTCGGCCGCCGCATACACCTTCTCTGCTGCACTGCCCGCCCTGTTGTCCACAACAGCCAGTGCCACGATCAATCTCCTTCAGACCAACCCCGAAACAGTCTCGCAATTGCGAGAGCATACCAAGGCCATGTGGGCTCAGCTGGACCCCCGCAGTGAGTGGGTGTATTGCGTTAGTGCGCCAGAGAACCCGATTATGATCTTGGTCATCAAGCCCGAGGTAGTCTCGGCCAAGCGACTGTCGGTTGAGGATCAGCAGTTCTTGCTGCAGGATGTGGTTGATGAGGTAAGTTGCGATGATTGATCATATGCTAGTTACCTGACAAGCTAACATTGTCCTTGATGCAGTGCCTCGCAAATGGTGTCCTGATTACTCGCCTGAAGACTCTTCAGGACAATTTCGAACCGAAGCAAGTCGTTTCGCCGGGATTGAAAGTATGCGTCACGATCGGCTTGACGAGGAAAGAAATCGAAAAAGCCGGAACCACAATCCGCCATGCGATCACGAAGGTTCTGAGCAAAAGAAAGTAAATCCCTGCATTCATCCCTCCGTCCTAAACCTTCCCTGTAGGAAGGACTTAGCCTATCATATTGATGCATACATGACTTCTTCCCATCATCCTAATTACCTTCTTCGCCCTTGCAAGGCCCCTTCTCTGCGTTCTTTATTTGTACAGCAAAAATTCTCAGTGGATCTCTTGACTGATTCTATGTTCGATCCCCAATTGTGCATATCCAAGACTGATTAATCGGCATTGGCTGCTAAAAGGCAGAAATACTTGTTTCGCCCCATGTATCATTTATTAATATTCTGTTGAAGATTATCCATCTTTTTACTGTTTTGTACTCATTGCAGTCTTGTTCGATTCGGCCATTCCAGATTATTAGACCTGTTATGTTGTTTTTAATACTATTCTTTTCTGTGTCATTTTTGCTCTCACCCATGCAAGTACACACTGAAGAAAGGGATACCAGGGGGCAATTGAAGAGACATACTCCAAGGCACTAGTCATCTACTATGCGATCATGCCGATCCCTGGAATGCGGTACATACATTCCTGACAATGGAGGGAATCCCCCGCCAATATGAAATGGACATTCCCGGAGGATGCTAGTAAGTATTCACGGCATTCTTCCCCACAATTGGACTATAGCCAACCTGGGGAATTTCTGACTTACAGGTGAATGGTCCAGATCCCTCTTCGACCAGCCTTCCTCGGTTCTTTGGCGGAATCAGTGAATTGTTGGTATGAGGGGTGGTTTCACCTCCCCAGTCAGCTTGGACTTTTCTGAGATGAATGGGCGTCTTCTCTTATTGCCAGCTTGTCTTCTTGATCTCTATATCTCGACCACTCTTCATCCCAAGATCCACCTTTTCGGTCCTGTATCGCGATTGGGATCCATGCTCTTTTCGCCAGACATTTTCTCATTCTAGGGAACATAGTTGAGTGAGATCGATTGACAATGATCTGGTTTCTACATTTCGTCGCTTTGCTGTTGCTCAGCTTCCATGTCACTGCACTCCCCTCTGGTATCCCACTTTCTCGATAGCACAGCTTACGTATCCTTTACTAACGGCCTGAATTAGGGGTTAAGCATGAGCTTGAACAGCGGGACGTTGCCCAGGAGAATGAGCAGCCAAGTGTGATCGTCTATGTGAACGAGATGGGGCAGACCCTGAGCGTCGAAACCCTCATCCCTACTGCCACAGCCCCGGTCAATGTAAGTAGCCATACAAGCTCATTGCTCTAGTAAGATCGAACATTGGTGGCTAAGTCCGATGTGCTCCAGGCTCCCACGGATGCTTCGTTCGCCGAGACAAACGTGCTTTCGCCCGCTGCCCCCGCCAGACCCCAAGCTCAAGAGCGGTTTGGTGTGACCTATTCCCCATTCAACGACGATAGCTCCTGCAAAACCCAGGCCCAGGTCAATCACGACATGGACAAAATTGCTGGTTCTTACAGCTTCGTGCGTATATATGGTGAGCCATGCGACCAGACTCGAAAGGTCGTCCAGGCCGCCCGAGAGCGTCATATCCGCGTCTTCGCCGGCGTCTTTGACCTCCAAAACTTCCCAGCCAATCTCGACGAGATCATCCGAGTTGCCGGCCGCGACTGGTCCATCTTCCACACCATCAGCATCGGCAACGAGCTCGTCAATAAGGGACAGGCCTCCGTCCCCCAAGTAGTCAATGCCGTCAATACCGCGCGTCAGAAGCTCCGCAGCGCCGGCTACCAAGGCCCCGTGGTGACCGTCGATACCTTCTCCGTGCTCCTCAAGCACCCGGAACTCTGCCAGGCCTCTGACTATTGCGCCGCCAACTGCCATGCCTTCTTCGACGCCAACATGACCCCCGACCGCGCGGGCGCGTATGCCCTGGATCAGTCCCGTAGGATCTCAGCGGCCGCTGGGGGCAAGCGCACCGTCATCACGGAGTCTGGGTGGCCGCACCACGGCCATCCGAACGGACGGGCAGTCCCCACGCGCGAGAACCAGGCCACGGCCATCATGACCCTGTCCCAGAGTTTCAATAGACAATGGGACGATCTCATCTTCCATTCTGCCTTCGATGATTTCTGGAAGCAAGATACTCCGGATTCCTTTGGAACTGAGAAATACTGGGGCCTTGAAATGCGTTAGTTCGCGTTTCTTGTCCTTGTTTCTTCTCTTCGTCAACATGATATGATACCCATCCTATCAACGTTCTATTCATACCTGACTATTCATACCTGACTATTCTTACTACTGTTGGTTGACTGAGTCTACCTTGGTCTATTCTTCCTTCACCTCCTATCGTTATCTTTACCTTACCTTGCTCTTTTCATGTCTCTACTTCTTATTTTTATGCTTGTATGTTATGTACATGTACATAGCAACCCGGGTCTTCTGCATAGATGGCCCAGCCCGTTCCGTCTGACGAGGAATGAATAAACGAACAAACGAATTACCTACTGATTTTGTTTTCCAAACGTAGGAAGCTACTGACACCTGATGACGAAAAGAAAAACGATAGAGATGGTAGATAGGTAGGTAGGTAAGTAAGCCGATCCACGCCATGCAAAGAGTAGACTAGGTTAGATAGATTAGATCAGATAGATAGATAGATTCTATAGGTAGGGTACATCCATCCATCCATCCATCCATCCATACAACCCTAACTGATCCAAACCCATGCTATGCTATGCTAGCTAGATACCAAACAGGACGTTTTCAAACAAGACCAGAAGAAAAATCAATTAGATGCGCGCCGCTCTGCTATACTATACCATACCATACCATACCTTGCTCCATGCTGTCTGTCCATGCCATGTCGTGTCGTCTATTTTGCTCGCTATTGTGCGGGTTTGAGGCGGAGAATCAAACAGAAATCGTGATGATAATTATTGGTTTTGAACCGGGTTTTCGTACTTCTGATTGGTTTGTTCACGTGAGGAAAGAAAAGGAGAAGAAGATCGGGTGTAGTCCAAAAAAAGAATTGAAGATCTTGTTGTTTTGATTAGATCGGTATCTTATCTATCATCTTCGTTTCCAGGCCACAGGCTCAGCCAGGCCTCTTCCTCTATTCAAGGGCGACGTTCTGTACCGCCTCCTCTACACTGACCGTTGGTCCGGAGTTGCGTTTTTCGTTCTCGTTGGAGGGTACAGAGGGGTGATGCGGAACACACCCCGGCTCTGTATCTGAATGTAGTTTTTCCGAGGAATCAGAGGGCGCATGCGCTTTGCCACGACCCCAGCGGCGGGTCCGCGGGGGTTCGGGCTTCTGGCCGTGCTTACTGCTGAGAGGCTGCGGAAGCTGAGGCGGCGCCGACGTCTGCGCTTGTAGCCGTGAAGGGCTAGTAACGGGTGTGCAGTGGCTGGAAGCATGGGCTTGGACAGCAGGATGGGTACTAGATCGGCGAGGAGGCGGCACGGCAGGGGGTGGGTTCGACGCGGAGCGACGAGAATGCGCGGGGACAGGAGGAGCCAGTCCCGATGTTGTGGTTGAGTTTCTTCGGTCGCCGGGCTGGTGGGTGGCGGTTGTGACGGGAGACAGGGTGGGAGAGGCGGCGATGGGGCTGGCAGTGATCGCAGAATCCGGCACGGCGTCTTCAGGGATTTTGTCGTAGCTGCTACTGGTGCTGCTGCGGGTATGGGTGATGTTGAGAGGGTTGTTTTCATCTTCCGAGGTGAGAGTTCTTCGTCGCCCACGCCAGCGTCGGGGATTCGGTGGGAGAGGCTTGATCTTGGGTTTGGGATGTAGGGGATCGATATTGCTGACGTTGTCATGTCGACTGGGGGTGATGATGCCTGGTTTTTCGTGCTGGGAAGCAACTTCTTGGACGCTCAGCGACGAGGAAGATGCGGGTTCGAGATGCATTCCTAGCCGTTGTATGTGGCTAGGTTTATCGCTGTGCACACTATCGAGTCTGGTAGGAGATGCTGTCTCCGGTGAGCTGGCTACCGTGCTGGTACTGGTACTGGTGGGCGATATGGTACGCGAGGGCTCCAGCGGACCTCCAAGATCAACGTCGACAGGGAAGACATCCGTGGTCGAGGAAGGCTCCGTATCTTTGTCCGGCGACCCTTTGTCGATTCGAGCAGTGTCCCAATCTTGAAGCCATTCAACTGCGATGCAGCGGCTGACTAGTCGTCTAGTCGTCTCGTCCACCTCTTCGAAATGCATAATCTTCTCGCGGTCAAGTTCACCGCTGAACAGCTGGCCGCGGACAAGGATGTTGAGCATTCTTCTCAATTCATCGCGCTTGTAATGCGGCGGCGTCTTTAACTGCGTGTGTGCGAGCAGCGGGTACAAAACTCGTAAATAGGTGTGGCGCAGAGCGGAAGCTTCTTCGGGCAGGTCAAGAAGATTTCGGATTAGGATATCGACTAGGACGTGGAGGTCGTTCGTGTAGAAGTATTCGTACGTGCTAGGCGTGGTAAAGATGAGGTAAAGTAGCTTAAGAGTGAGAAGTTGAAGAGAAGTCTCGGCTTTATTTTGGGTTAATGATTGAGCCAGCAGTCAGGAGGTTCAGGTGTAGTTGTTACCTTCTCGATTGATTAAAAGAATGATATTCTCGCCGAAGGTCTTGTAATAATTTCCGTGCATGGATAGCACCTTGATCACTCTATTCGTCAGAGGAGCCGATGACGATCGCTCGCCCACGGGATCGTGTGCTGAGATCATGAATTGCTCGTTCAAGACCAACTGTCGCGTTATGAGCATTTTGCTTTAAGCCAAGAAACTGGACAGTCACTCACTAGAATACGAATGACCGAGTAATGATATGGATCGTTGGCATCATACGAGAGGTTCTCAATGATATTGAAAAGGCTCTTGATGAATTCATCGTCCACGAGAACTGCCATTGTAAACATGAATCAGCAAGCCGCCCGCCAGACCGCCAGTCGCTCGCTTGCGTGAAAACAACCCACCTAGATCCTGGATCTTGATTCTCTGTATCCTCGACATCTCGTAGAGCAGCTCCATCAACAGTCGATGGACTCGAGCTTCGGTATCCTCATCCACGTGTTGATTTTGCGCCTGCAACAGCTCCAACATGCGCGGGAACGAGCCCTCCTCATCCAGCATCCGGAAGGGGGTCTCATTCTGTCGCCCGTCGAAGAGTAGAAACGAGACAATCATGTGGAGTGTATCCGGGTCGTCGTCCTGCAATAGTCCGTAGACCATCTGCCGTCGCACGTAGTCGCCATGCTCGGCAAAGATGCTGGAGGCGAGCAGCTTGTAAGAGCAGCGTGTGACAGCCAGGTCGGAGTGGAGGTATTCATCTGGAATAGTCGTCGGAGACCCTCCCTCGTCAGCCCATCCACAAATAGATAGTTTGTTTATTGGAGATCTCGACTGTTTATTGACCTTTGTATTTGGTGGTTAAACTTAGATATGACCGGAGTGCGTCGTCGATGTTGTCCTCGGTGGAGCAAGGGATGGAAACAATCTCTTGGAGTTCTGCACTCGAATAATACGTTAATTGGCCAATTACTCAATGGGGGTTTGATGAAACCGAGCTATCGGTGGGAGCCAGGGGAAGAGAGACAGGGTAAGATAGGAAGGGCAAGAGGGAAAAAAAAACAGCGGGTTCTTACCGTCCCAGAACTGCTGCTCGTTGTCCAATGAGGCCTCAGACTCCATTTCCCACAGCTCGATCGTCGTGGTCGGGCGTGTCGAGACACTGCACTCATCCCGTCTTGCGCCCCGTTAGCGAGTTGACTGAGGAGAGGGAGGAGGGGCGGAGAGAGAAAACGTGGGATGACGATGATGACGATGGAAGCGGTCGCAAGTTGGCTCCGTCCAAACAAGAAAGGCGGGCGGGGAACGAACTGCCAATGCCAATTACCGCCGGTTTGTTAGCAGCGCCTACTAAAAATAAAGTACCCGGAATGCGGTCCACAAGGCTGTCTTGTCTGTCCTATCCATCTGGGATTCTCGGTATCCTGCTCTATAACAATATCAAGTCCAATAACAATACAAAATTCCTTATTCCCACACCGGCCCTCGCAAAGAGAGAAGAGAAAACAATAGTATAAAAAAGGGGGGGCCAAAGAAATAAGTCACATTGAAACAGAACAGGAAAAAAAAAAAGTATCGTCAAGACTCCCGTTGGGCCGGTCCATAATGCTCATATACACTGTGCTTGGGAAACAAATAAAACATGGTATCAGTGCTTTTACAATGCAAACAACAAAAGTGAGTGTGTGGTATGTTCAGCTCCTCGCTCTCTTCAATATACAATCGACTGAAGGTCTAGTATTCAGGTCGCTTCAACGGGTGAGCTTCGCTGTTTCTATAACAGAAGGTCGGTTAGTATGTCTCCTCTAGAAACGAACCAGGTGAAACGGGTGACTTACAATACATATTCATCAAGGCTGACCACACTGGGGTCGCTGAAGAGCAAGTAAAAGTATTTGAGCGTTTCGGCAAGCCAGAAGGATTGCATGCGATCTTGCGTCCGGGGGCCTTCCACCGTGACGTCGTTGATGGCACTGTGGGCCAATTCCGTGCGAGTGTATTTGGCGACTGCCTGGAACATCTTCCAGCCCTTCTCACGCCAGTAGTTATTGCCCGTGAGACGATACATGATAAAGACAGACTCGATCGCCTCCGGTCGGAGAAGGTACTCGCGACGGGGAATACTGACAGCGCCTGGGAACAGGCGCTCGTTCTCAATCCGGGCGCTGACGAATTCTTCATGGGAAACCATGCCCAACTTCTTGGTATCCCGGTCTGCGATATCCGCATCGGCCGACTTGAGTTTAGGCGCAGACGTAGGCGAAGCAATGACATGCCAATTGCCTCGTTCGGGAGATCGTTTGCCGTGATACTTGGAAGAGCTGGCGACTGATGTAGCAAATGCCGATGCTGATGCCGATGCAGACGTTTCGCTACCAGGAGTCCAATCCTGTCTGTCGCGGGCGAATTCCTGTTTTTCGCTCGCTGCAGCTAACGCAGCATTCGTCCGCTTTTCCGCATACGGATCTAATGTTGACCAGTACGCAGTCTCGTTCCACACGCATGGTTCCCTGTTGTTGTCGCAAGGAACCATAAGGAAGTGCTCGGGCATAATGCCAGTTTTGGTGGACTCGTACGCCCACACGCAGCCGTCGGTAAGTTTGGCGGCGAGATCCATATCACCCTCAATTCCAAAGAGCTTGGCCCCAATGCCGACCATGCCACCCGTAAAGCAAGCCAAATGGGTCCCTTCATAGGAATGGGAAACCTTACCCGCCAGTCCGGGTTTAGGAATGCCGACGGTGGCCGAGAATCGGATGTTGCGAACATCCTTAATCATCGGCTGGTAGAAAATGTGCTCGCGAGCTGCGTTCATGGCGTTCTCGTACATGGTACGATATTGTTCATTGAGACCACCCAGAAGCATATACTCCTTAGGAAGATATTCGTATGTCGAGTCAGCTTGACCGCCCAGTCCATATTTGTCGATAGCGGACGTTGGGCTTGTGATACCCTCAGTGCATTCCGTCACAGCAACCGGTTTGGCCTTTCCATTCGGCTTGGGGCTCGATTCTTTCATGGGTTCGTTATAAACGGCCGGTTGTGCGTTATCGGGGAGCCCTCGCGCCTGGTGCTGTTCGTGCTTTTCATGCTCCTCGAAAAGGTTCTTGTAACTCTCGGCGTCCGTAGGACCCAATTCCGGCTTCTGAACGGGAGTTGGAACATTCACACGCCTATTGGCAGCAGGGGGTGGGTTGTTGGCCTTCCTGCATCCGGAGGCATCGACGTGGAGAGGCCACAGGCCGGGCAAACTTGTTTTACTCTGGTACTGCTCAAGTTCGTTCGTAATGCGCGCAATGGCATCGTAGTACTTGTTGTCCTTCGTCAGCTGAGCTAGACGGGTCAGTTCCACGGAGAGGGAGCCCAGTTCAGCAAGGACCGCCTTCGCATCGGCGTGGTGCGGTTGAGCTGCGTAGTCTCTGCGAGGCATGATGTCAGTCAGCGTATCCAATAATTCCCCAGCATGCGGTGCAACCTACGGCGCCCAGTTGTAATAGAGGATCGGCATTCGGTTAGGCGTATCAAAAGCGCCAATCAAGATCTCTCCCAGCTCAATGGCCTTCTCGAGAAGGACCCCGTACTTATGTTCGGAGATGTCGTATGCGCCGAGCAAGCCGCCCATATACCGAATAGCCACCTCGAAGATCGGGATGTCATCGGATTTGGTGGTGGTAAAATCAATCTTTTCCACCTGATCGACGGCAATTGAGAATTCCTCCTTCAGGTCCATGATCCAGAGAGTGTCCAATGTGTCAACCAGCGTAGCTCCCCAGCCATTGAACGTGTCAATAAACCCACCCCGCAGAGGCTTGAGTTCGTCGTGGCCCATCGCCGATGCCTTATACCCACTCCATGCGTGTTCAAAGGTGGATCGGATAGTTGTCAGTCTATCCACACGTTTCATCTTCTCGGCAGAGGTCTCGTCCCGGAATTTGGCCTGTAGGGTCGGAAGCGTCTTGGACCTGCCGGCCGGTAGCTTGATCATGTCTTCAGGCGCGATAGGGAAATTCTCGGGGACTTTTTGCCAGTGAGGCCTCGGGTTCGCTGCGGGCTCTACCTTCAGAGCATCCTGATGGGAACCCGGGAAGAGAAGAGGCCCGCCTTTGACTTTATGCGCATCGTTGGACGGCTTCGGACGTTCCGGGGCTTGAGGCGAGCTCTCACCAGAAGACTGATCGTGGGAGGAAGCATCGGGCTTGGAATCGGATGCGGAGGCACTCGAGTCTGTTGACTTCTGAGAGGCAGGAGAATCGGGAAGAACCTCTTGCGACGGGGGTGGTGAGGAACCCGCGGGCTCCTGTTGTTTATCGGCGGGCGGAATCGGCGAGACCGGTTCGGGTTGGTCCACGTGCGGCGGAGGAATGTCAAGGGAGACGGTCGAAGTATCTCGAGAGGCAGTAAAATGAATGACGGCCAAGACAAGAATGGCTGCGAACGCCAGCAGGCCTCGGTAACGACGGGCTCGAAACATGGTGGTTGATAGGCCTCACCCTAAGGGGAGAAAGGTGAGACAAAGCCCACACACCGATCTAATCTAAAGAGGGGGGGGAAACAAAGAAAGAGAAAAGGAACAATAAGCCTAAGCCAAATTGGCTAGGGGGAAAGAGAAAAGGAAGGAAATTGAGAAAACTGAGAAAAGGCCGAAGGGAAGAGGAAAAGAGAAAATAGAGAAAAAAAAAAAACGAGTGACAGGGGGGAGGAACAATCACGAGACTCTTTCTTTCTCGCGAACAATCCAAAAAAATCAATCCAAATTGATTCAAGTCCAGTCCAGTCAAAGTCAATCCAACCCAATCAAACGGTTAATTCAGCTGTAGGAGGATTCCATTTAGGTCATACTGATCCGTGGCGGCTGCAAATCACAGGAAACAAACAGAAGAAGCGAGCGAAACGAGGGACGATGAATGGTGGAAATCAAACACACCCCATGGTGGAAGTTGAGATTTTGCCTGAATGAAAGAAATGGATGACAGGAGACGAAGACGACGACGCAGCAGAAGAAGAGGAAGAAGAGAGAAGACAATCAACTCAACCCGACACGGTTGCACCCGCAGAGCCAAGAGGCCGAGACCTTCTTTTCGTGTGCCATTTTTTGGGTCCAGTGATCAGGAGTCCTTTCGTCCTGACAATTAAAGTCGCTCCTCCCCTCTGTGTTTAATCTATCTCGTTAACAATTAACGCTCTACTGTACGGATCCGACGTCAACCATCAGAAGGACTCTCTGTCCGGCGTGCATCTGCTTCAGGTAGAATGCGTATCGACTGCATTGCGTCCGATAAGCACATGGAAAAATGCCCCGGATCAGCAATGAGAAGATCCGAAGTTCTAGACTAGAGAGAGGCGACAGAGGACAGACACATTCCAGCTGGATCGACCGAAGATGGCATCCAGCATTCTTCCCCTAAGATGGATGGCCTCTTACGGTAAGCGATGCCCATGGCTTTCTTGGCTGGGAGCCTGGGACCTGAAGGATCCACGAATGACTGTCGATATGATCTCGCAAGGATGAATATGAAATAATATGAATCAATCGGTCCCTGCAGTGTTTCTATTTATAACTCTGCGACCCTACCAGGGGGGAAAATCCCGCCCGGCTATCACTTCCACCATGAAAATTCACCGCAAGGGGCTTGCCGTGCTCCAGTCTGGGCGACTCGATCCATTTATCTGTGACAGGGATGGTTTTCATCAATCATATTTGGGTTACCGTCTCATTCATTCGCAATTTCCATGTGTCAAAAATAGTGCATAGTATAGGGCTCCAATGTAGTACGGAGTACAGCAGGGAAGAACAAAGAGAGAGAGAGAAAGGGGAAAAGATAAGAAAAAAAAAAAAAAAGAAAACCACGTCAAGATTCAACTCCGAAACGATGGCCACTAAACTCCTAGTCCGTTGTCTGGTATAGCGACACGACAGTATATAATGCTATCTATGGGAAATAAAGCCAGAGCAGACGGAGGTCAAATCCCTACGGTGTTCCGGCCCCGGTTGTCCTTGTTGACTTTCTGAAATTGCTGGATGAGACCCAACACACCTGCACCCCCGGCAATTGCATCCACATTTTCTCCCTCTTCCTCGCCGTCATCTTCCTCAATATCCCCCATCAAGTTGACTCGCCACGAGTCGCTGAGGTTGCTGTCACTGCCACCGATGGCTCCATTGTGCGACGATTTCTTTACGGCCGGACTGCGCGTCTCCGCGGTTGGCGATTCATCGTCCTCGATGGGGTCGGAGGCTGGTCGCGAAGGACGCGACGACCGATAGCGGGAATAGGCAGGGTTGCGATTACTGGTCCGGAACCCCGACGCAGAGGGCTGGTGATGGGGATCCAAAAGTATCGAGTCTCCCAGGCCCGGATTAACAAATCGAGGAATTCCTACGGTAGACTGTCGATCGCCGATATTGCCCGGCTCTATCATCGAGGGCGATCCCAATGGCGGGAATGTGGGTGGAGGATGGAACTGACGCTTCCCAGCCGGATGAGCAGGCCGGTTGCCTCCGTAGTGATCCAGAAATCCGTAGTAGGATGCAAGCATCTTGCCGTCCTTGGTTGAAAAGTAGTCCGCCCGGAGGTCCTGCCTCGCAGAGTTTGGTCGGCCTGCATCTCCCTGTGTGATCTCGTTGGTGCCTTTCTTGAAGTCAAAGACGGCAAACGAGCAAAGATAGCCCATCCCGTCCACGTGTACCGTGAACTCTCGAAAGAAATCAATCAGCCGATCACTGCATTTGGGCAGGCTAAACCAAAGGATAAAGGGCGTGAATATCATGCTGAGAATCTCTTCCAAGAAAATCACAATCTTGACCTGGTATTGTGTGGCAAAGTCCCGCCGTACGTCGTCGCTGTGCAGCCGGCCCTTCCAGTGATTTGGGAAGTAGTGGGTGAAGTTGATCACCTCGAGCAGGGCATATTCGGGATCAAACACATTAGTTTCCTCGGGAACCACTCCTCGAGCAAAGGCCCAGATAGATCCGAAGACACCGAGGTAGAAAAGGACGGTGCGGTCAGGCGTGATCTCAAAGCCCAGGAACAGTTCGGGATCCACGATCGATGCCAGGGCTAAGACGGAGGCCAGAGCACCGGAGACAAATGCCACGAAGCCAGCCAGCTGGACGGCCTTGTCTTTGGGGAATTGATCAATGTATCGGCTGGCAAAAGGGTACGACATATTCAACCGACGCTCAAAGAGATGCCAAAGCTCATTGAACTCCCGGAATTTCCACTCGGCCAGAGGGGTGTATTGCCGAGACCCAATCTGGGACGGGTTCTTCTTAAACTCGTTGAAGTAACGGAAGAAGTAGTGCATCAGGAAATAGACCACAATAAACGGAGCCACGAAAATGTTCATGATGCCTGCAAACATGAATCGCCGCCGCAGGCCCTCACTCAGCGCTTTCCGATGGGTGTCTCTCAGGAATAATGTCCGAACCTGGCCCTGCTCATTGAAAACATAGTCCATGATGCAAAGATTGATGTTCCACTCCAGGGTCTGAGAAAAGAGCTGTCGGTTTCGGAGGAATGGTATAGGGAGCGTCAGATCTAATATGTCTTTGTTCACCAGAGCAATGAGGTAGTTCTCTTTACGCATCAGTCGATTGGCAATGTCGTGGGCGTCCATTCGCTGCTTGGATTGACTGCCCATGAATTTGCGGTGCGTTGCGGAAACCGCCCCGGCCGTCGCAGGGTTAGAATCTCTCAGCGTCATCAACCGGCTGACAACCTCCTGCCAGGAGATCGTCTGGATCTCGGCGTCGGACACATTAAGTAGGTAATGGTAGAAATCGTGCATATGCTTGAGTCTTCTAATATCCAGGGCGTATTGGAAGGCCTTCCCGATCCAGAGAAAGGTAAGCAGCCACAGCAAGAGAGTCGAGGACATAGACATCTTCTTGGTGCATTTCGGGATGAGTATATCATCCAAGGTCTTGCTTCCGCGTACACTGCGGTAGTCAATGCAGTTCATAAGAAACGTACTGAAGCCGACCACAAATCCAAATGTCCTACAGCCAACATTAGCACCTTGTCCCCTAAACGCCACTATAGCGAAGGCAAACTGAAGGGGAAAGATAGGCGTACAGGAGACTGAGGAACCGGTCCAGCAATATAGACCAGATCCCATTTCCTAGAAAATACGTATAGACGTCCTTCAAGAAATTATCCAGGTTCTCCACATTTGCCCACATCCACAACGCTTTTTCTTTTGGATCTACCGTGGCCAAGCTTGGATGCCCCAAGGACCATATCAGCCCCGGCCGTTGCCTCTGGTGGTTCGTGTGTAAGGGCAAACGTTCTCTGGTAGTTTCCCATCGAGCCCGATCGCCTCCAGAGGAAGGCCCAGGTACTGGTGGCTCTTGGCGTGAGCGATGATGAGATGGGGGAGGAGGAGGAGGAAGACGCTGCTTTAATTCATCATCGTCCTGTCGTCCCTCCACGTAAAGAGAGGCAGGCACATCATCGTCTCCATCGTCAGGGTCATGATGTGGCGACATCCAACGAGGACGGCTAAGCCTGCGTCGACGAGACCCAGCTGCGCCTTGATCTCTATCCTCGGCCACCCTTTGGGGGCTGCGCTGAGTCAGGAACGGCTCACTTGGGGTCGGACTCGACATCTCATCCCTCCCAGCCTCGGCCATAGCTTCCTCCAGCTCTCGATTACTATAATCTTCATCCTCGTTATCGCCTAACATCAAGCCTGCACGCTCCTCCACGTCTAAGTCGTCCGAATCCGCGTCATGTTGTCGAATCGTCTCATATACCGACGGGGAGCCGTTGTGAGGGAGGATGCGGGACAGGACATTTGAAGCCATCATCTTGAATGGTGCTAGAGTGTTTTCAGTAACGATTAACTATGAAATGAGATAACTTCGACTGTCGAGGGTATCAGTACATCGCAGCGACCCGGAAACCGGGAGACTTTGCGGTCAGTTAAAGGAACATTCAGAAGCGTCATGTAGTAGTAGTGGAAGTAGTCCCGACTGGCTCAGCTTGGACCGGGACGACGACAGGGCCGAGCTCAAGGACGGAGTATAGGAAGGCACAAGGGGCGAGTTAAAGAGCAACTAGAAGCCAAGCGATTTCCAAGCAAGGAGAATATCGAGTCCATGCACATTAAGAGGCAATCACTTGTCTCCCGAGCGAAGGACCGGTTTGCTGCCAGCGTTCTTGCATGCCAAAGCACCGGCGGTGGTTGATGTGACCGCCCTCGTGATAAGCAGCGATGATGCAGGCGGTCAAGGCGCATGACTTTCTGCTGCCTTAGGCAAGGACAACAAAGGTCATGTGATTCACATCGGCCTAATCGAGCCTAGTCCAATTACGTACTCGGAGCGGCGAACAGAAGGCCGAGTCACGGGACCAGGAGTCGGGGTGGAGTCGAAGTCTGTGACGACACGAGTCAGTCGCTCATGGGATCTCTGGTTCGTGCGGGGGGGAAAGGCGGATGGACTCTGGCTTGACTTTTCTTGAAAATGAATCGTGGCACGCCTTAGAGTTAAAGGCTGGACTGGTCTCCCGTCGAGTCGCCAGGTACTTCCCTTCCTCTCTTCCTGCACTTGCCCCGGGGAGGAATGGCGTTCGCTTCGTTCTCTTTGTTTAATAATAATCATATCACCTCAAGGGAATTTCTACGATGACGGAGTATCTACTGTGCTAGCCTCTTATTGGTCTGGTCGCGCTGTTGACCCCAAGGGACCCAACAGGAAAGAAAAAAGCTTCCCATCAGCTCACTCATCATTGATCATTCGCAAGAGGGACCCACAGCCGGTGAGGAGCGAATACGGTGGATTCCGTTCTCAATAATAATTATAACCATAAAGTCCTTTCCTGGCACCTGGAATAAGGATCCATGGCCTCTCTCGTCTTGTATCCAGGGGAGGATCAACGAGATGGAAGAGACACCCGTTCTAGATCATGTACTTTCTCTAGCAGCGGCGGCAAGCGTACGGAGTGGGCGTACGTGCATTCGGAGGTTATATTCGAAGCATGGACAAGAATGGCAGGAGCCACACAGCTCTAGTGCGTCTAGCGCCAACTATCTTGAGCCCCAAACTCCGTAGCGCAAATGGCTTGCAGCGTGAGGGCCACAGCCGTGTCCCGTTTGGGGGAGGATTTGCCCGACTTGCCCACTCATGGTGTGATGACTGACGATGCCTGACTTCCGAAGGTCTGTCTTGTTCCTTGACTTGGCTTGCAAATGATTGACACCCGGCTTGCGCTCGAAGAATCATGGACGAGGTACGGTGTACGGACAATCCGGGCACATTAGACTAAGGCACGAATCCCTGCGTCGATTGACTACATTCCAGATTAATTTTAACTTCCTGTCAGCTGAAGTAGCCGTGCGTCGTCCGTTCTTCGATGGGGTTTTTTTGACTTTATCGGCGCATTCCAGACCCTCAGAGATAATTAGGGGGACGGCGAGGCGAGGTAGGTCGGATAGAAGATCCAAATCGAATTAAGAGAAATACAAACATATTCCCACTATAATAATGATTAATGATACGAGTCGTTTAAAGGGGCGAACGAAAAAAAAAAAAAAAAAAAAGCACTACTACGGAGTAGTTTGGCTTAGATTAATGAACCTCGTGCTCTCATGGCAATTGTGCCATCCTGGAGTCTCTCCAAGTGGATTCGTTGCCATAATGGTAATGGTCCCTCAATTCTGGACTGTTCACCAAGGTCGACAGGGACAGAGTATTTGGCATATTTGCGCATTTCTCTTTCGATTGGGAGAGCTGGCTACTGGTCAATGAGTAGGCAGAAAACACAACCAATCCCAGGGCGAGAGCGATCACTTTGGGTAGAAAAGATCCTGGAATCCGGGCAATAATGTCCCATCATCCAATATACCGGCCCGGATCACGGTGGATCTAAACAGACCCGCGCCCAACAATTCGGCTGAGCTGATTGAGACTCTCTTGCCAAGTAAAATCCCTGATGCGAAAGAGAGAGGGGGGCAATCCCCTTGAAGCTGCCAGAGGCATTGCGACAGGACCATGGATTTTTGGACGGCGAGCCAAACGACGAAGCCAGTGATGATGCCAACACCCCGGGGAGGAATGGTGCTGTGGGCTGGACTCCGTACTCCGTAGTCTGCAGTTTGTCCGCTGTCGTCAGGGACATGGTTTGTCGGAGAAATGGTTGTCTTATTGGCAGTCACTGCACTCGATAGTTTATCAGACGGGGGAGACTAACGAGTCGTACTTTTTCTCGGAAGAAGCTCGGATATTTGATCATCTCGAGTCGAGGATATTTCTACTCGTAGACATCTAGTTAGAGTAGGTACTAATAATTATTAATATGGAATGGTTGATTTCCATGCAGTCTTCAGAGCGTTTAGGACTGAGTACAACCTACAAAGTGATTGATATTATTATCATTCCACAGCTAATTTCAATATTCCACACAGTCCACCACCTGTTTTCTCGCCTTTCTATCTCTCTCTCTCCGGTTCTTCTTCTTATTCCATCTTTCCCATGCATTTCTACGACGGACAACTAGTCGGTCTGACCGGCTTTTCTCCCTTACTCGCTGCGAGTCCCCACTTGGACGGCCGGGCTGACGTCGTACAAGACAAGCAATCTGCAGCATTCAAACGCACGTCGCCAGGGTACACCAACGACAGCATCAATCAATCTGTCAACCACAAATACACAATCCCTAATCCACTTGGATATAGGGGATGAAGGTGGAATGAAATCAAATCAAATCCAGAATAAAAAGAAAGAGAAAACACAGGTCACGATGGAAGAAGAAGGAGAAATATTCCGTAGTACTCCATAGAAGTAGAAACAAAGTGCAAAGAAGAGGCTAAGATCGGCTGTGGTTGGAGGAAGCAAGCGACGATTCTTCTTTCCTTCCATCGCTCCGGGGCGAACGTAACCGACTCTTTTCTCTCCCTCTCTTTAATGCTGGAGAGGCCGAACTAGATTCACCGCACTTACGGAGCACCCATTGGTATCCTCTCTTTTTTTTATTCCTTTTTATTTTTGATTTTTTTTTTCTGTTTCTTATTTTTTTTTGTTCTTTCTAGAATTGATTTGGATTGGATTCTGTTTCTTCTTGTTTCCCCTCCTCTTCTTCGTCTCTTCCATTTGATTTTTCTTTTTTTGGCTTTTACTCTTCTCCAGACTCTCCCGTCGCTCTCTTCTTTTTCCTCGTTCCTTCTTCCCCTCCCACTTCTTCTTCTTCCTCCCTCCCCCCTCCGAACCCCCTGAAACCAATTCGAACCCTCCGTGTCGCTGTTCCCTCCCCCCATCCACCATCGCCCGTATACCAACGCGCCGGCCTCGACCGAATGTGCGACTTTATCGCCCACCACCTTCCCGGACTCCATGCGTTCAGCTAGCGACCCATTGGACGACAAAGGCCCTCAATTGTTCGAGGACGGTTGCGCAGCGTACGTTGGATGCCAACGTGCTGCACGATAACATCTCAACCGAGCATATACTGTGTTTGTGTCTCAAAAAATATTATTATTCTTAAGTGTGCGTCTCTCGTCATCTTGTGTGTTTTGTAGCGACCTCCTGCGAGTGCCGCTGCCACCCGATTTCGTCGTGCGTTGCGGGAAAAGATGGAGTCGGAATCGTCGAATGGGTTCAAGAGGAACTCGGTCAGCCAAGGATCATACAGTCGTCCCGTGGAACGTCGCCCCAGCAAGAAATCCTCCTCGAAAGATCGCCATGGGATGGTCTATCCCGACAGCTTCAGGGACACCGGCATTCGGACGGTGACGCCGGACTCCACCCAGGAGGCAACCAACCAGTCACCCTTGTCGGAGACGGAGAATCCCTCGTCGAGCGCAGTTCCCTCCCCTCGTGTCACCGCCCGAACAAGAGCGTCCGACGTGGAATCGCGCCGCGACTTCCACCCTTACTACTCGGCGGGGGATGAAGATGAGGCTCAGGTGGAATCGAGGAGCCAGCGGGCGCGATCCCGAACGACGACCTTGGATGACCAGCGCAGCGAAATCTCCCCCAACTCGTTCCTCACCCGGACTCGGAATCGTCTGGGCTCCATTAACACCACAGCCTCGCAGGTGAAGTCGCCCGACGAGCAATCTTCCTCCATCGGATTCCCCTCCATCCAATCGCCCACCTATTTCAGCCACTCCCTCGGTCGCCAACGAACAAGCAAAACGCCGCTGAGCTCCACCCTCCTGGCGAGCTTGAACACCAGTCAAACATCGCCGCCCCTGTCGAGTACGGATGCAACCAAAATCCTCCAGCTAATGAAGACCACCTGCGGACGGATGCACGGCATTCTTTCCTTCCGAACTGCCTCCACAACCGCCTGGACGTCGGGCTACTGTGCCATCAACGTCGCCACGGGGAGCCTGATCTACCAGGCAAAGGGCGAGCCTGCATTGGCCAAAACTCTAATCCCCGACCTTCGTGGCTGCCAGGTACGCTCGCTCGTCGACCCGGAACTTCGGACGAATTATCTCAGCGTTTCAACCTTCACCTCTGGTCTCGGCGTCGAGTTACGCCCTCATGTAAGCGAGACCTTCGATTCCTGGCTCGCCGCCCTGCTTTGTTGGCAACCGATCAGACCGAAGGGCGTTCAAAACAAGATGACCAAACCCCAATCAGTCGCAATCGGCGACCGGCGTGTTGCCGACCGGCGAAGAAATTCCGAGAGCACGGTGCAGAAAGATGCGGCGATAATCAAAGTGGGCAAAATGCTGCTCTGGGACAGGCCCAGTGCGGCGGGGGCCCGGCCGCCCTCTGGTCGACGCGTTTCGACCTACCGCCAACAGCGCGCTCTAACATCTTCGTGGCAGAAAGTAAGCTGCACTCTGCAGGAGAACGGGGTCTTCAAGCTGTTCACCGAGTCTGATATCACCTTGGTGGCTTGCATCCAATTGTCGCAACTTTCCCGGTGTGCGGTGCAGAAATTGAACTCTTCCGTTCTTGAGGACGAATTCTGCATTGCCATCTACCCGCAGTATGCCGCACATGCGGTGTCTGGATTGACGCGCCCCGTATATCTCGCTCTGGAAAGTCGGGTTCTGTTTGAAGTGTGGTTTGTCCTTTTGCGCGCATTCACCATCCCGGAGCTCTACGGACCGGAATCGTCAATCGAAGATGATCCCTCGAAGACATCGGAACCTACCGAAACGAGCACGCCGTCGATGGCGGACATGTTTAGGATCGAGAGAAATCTGAGCATCCGAGTAACGGAGGCGAAGCTCTATCGCAATAAAGCGGAAGAGACCCCTCGAAGCCGGAAGCAGTCGCGGTCCCACAGCAATTCGGTTCCCACGTCTGCTATCAATGATTATTACACGGAAATCCTCCTCGATGGCGAGATACGAGCCAAGACCGCCGTCAAATACCGCATCGCAAATCCTTTCTGGCGGGAGGACTTTGAATTCCACGACCTTCCGCCGGTCTTGTCGCAGGCATCGATCCTCGTCAAAACTCTCAACCCTGCGCAGAAAGACTGGACGCTTATCTCACATGGCTCCTACCATGACACAAACTCGAGCCGTGCTTTGGACGATGTTGAGCTCTCCTCTCACGATGCCACGCATGGGAGGGTAGATTTGCGACTGGACGACCTAGAACCCGGCGTGGAGATTGAGAAATGGTGGCCGATCCTAGATAACCGAGATCAGCCTGTCGGCGAGATGCTGATGAGAGCTCGGATGGAGGAGACGGTCGTTCTCATGTCTCACGAATACGCGCCCATGTCCGAACTTCTCCATGCCTTCACCAACGGCCTAACCATCAATATGGCGCACGTCATGTCTTCAGAGCTCAACCAGTTATCTGAGGCTCTGTTGAACATCTACCAAGTATCGGGCAGCACTGTCGAGTGGATCTCCGCCTTAGTCGAGGACGAGATAGATGGTGTGCACAAGGAATCCACGGCAAACAGGCTCCGTTATACCACCAGGATCCACTCCAATGACTCAAGAGAATCGGGGCACGATCGGGAAGTGCTGGTAAGAGATATGGGGCGCACTGCCACCGTGGAAGCGAACCTACTCTTTCGGGGTAACTCTCTGCTCACCAAGGCCCTTGACTTCCACATGCGTCGACTTGGAAAAGAATATCTCGAGGAAACCATCGGGGAGCGGCTACGCGACATCGACGAGAGTGATCCAGAGTGCGAAATCGACCCGTCTCGCCTGAACCGGTCGGACGACCTTGAACGGAACTGGAGGAACCTGGTTGCCCTCACCACCGGTGTCTGGAAATCTATCGCCGGGTCAGCGTCTCGGTGCCCCCCAGAGCTAAGACTCATCTTCAGGCACATCCGCGCTTGTGCAGAAGATCGCTACGGCGACTTCCTTCGGACGGTAACCTACAGCAGTGTCTCGGGCTTTTTGTTCTTGCGATTCTTCTGCCCGGCAATCCTAAATCCGAAACTCTTTGGATTGCTTAAAGGTATGTTTCCTTTATATCTGCCTCGTTCTTCAACTCTAATAATAATAAAAAAAACAGACCACCCCCGTCCCCGTGCTCAGCGTACTTTAACCCTGATTGCCAAGGCACTGCAAGGCCTGGCCAACATGACCACCTTCGGTAGCAAGGAACCTTGGATGGAGCCGATGAACAAGTTCTTGGTCGGCAATCGCTCGGAATTCAAGCAATTTGTCGATTCTATCTGCGCTATACCTGCTGACCGGCCGGCTCCGATTGTCACGCCCTCCTATGCCACGCCCATCCAAATCTTGGGCCGTCTTCCGCACACCTCACGCGAAGGGTTTCCCAGTCTTCCGTTCTTAATCGACCACGCCCGGAGCTTCGCCAATTTAATCAGAATTTGGCTTGACGTGGCACCGGAGAGGCTCGGCGACCTTGAAGATATAGATCCGGCTGTCAGGAAATTTCATGAGGTGGCACTTCGCCTGCAACAGCGTACGCGGGAATGTCTGCAAAAGGCCGAGTCAGCCGAGCGCCCGAGCGGAAATCTCGAAATCAAATGGGAAGAGTTAGTTGATTCGATGGAACGATCGGTCACTTTCTACGACGACAGCTCCAAGCCCACGACTCCGGCCACAGAGACTGCAGTGGTAGGATCCGCATCTGTCGCTGGAAGTCACCGAAACTCCATTGGATACTTCGCGTCGCGGCCATCCCTTCCCCGTCGGTCTACAGACTATGCGGCTGAAGCCGACGATGAAACGCCTCCAAGTTCCTCCTCCGCCACATGGGACCAAAGTCGTGTGCCTTTTTCGATACCGCGGTGGCCTGACCCTCGAGACAGCACCAGCAGTTCCAAGAACTCTTCCACTTACTCCCTCGAATATTCTGCGGAAACCTCCAAGTCAGCACGTCGATCCAGCATCACTCGAGAGACTACGAGCAAGTACCGCTTTTTCGACTTTGTCCCGGCGCCATCCAGGCGAAAAGCAAAGGACCGAGAGAACGCTCAACAACAATCTCGCGAGGAACTCCGAAATGAATTCTAAGTAAAAATAGAGCGAAGACTTTGTGATTTTGCAACCCGCTTTGCACTATACTACAGATTCAACCCACATCGCATTAACGTTGATTTTATTTTGGTTTGGAGCACAAAAAGAAAAGAAAGGGCCAAAGAAGAAATCGAAAACAAAAGAAAGAACGGGCAGCTCGGTTGATATCATAAAACTGGCAGGTGGCTTTTTTTTTCTTTTTTTTCTTTTCTCCAGTTTATTCACTTCTTTCCGTTTTGTATAACACACAGGGCTCTTGTCAGAACAAGTCCCTACATCTTCTGATGTACATTTTATCCCCCTTCTAACCCCTCTCTGACTACTTACACATGTGCTCATGATTTAACGCACCTTCCCTTCTATCATCTTTACTTTTTTTTTTTTGGAAAGCATTTCTCATGGTGTTGATACCCTGCTCGGACTGCTCTTTTTCCCCTTTCTTCTTATTTCATTTCTCTATTACGTGTGCGTGGAAGCACAAGGGATCTTTTACCAGCGGTGCTTGAAGTGATCTCTTCTTCCTTGCTCAATCTTCTCAGGATTTGGAGGGGAAGGTCATGTTGGACCTTGGATCTATTTCCTTGAAGTGGCTGCAGAAACAGCGGTTTATTTTTATCGATTTGTGTAAATAGTCTTTATCTTCTTTCTTCTATACCGGCATAGATGAACATGGGTACTTTACCTTCCATTCCATATTAAGGTTTTGTATTCTACATTGCTCCGGACAGTCATTTCACAAGAGAGGAGGTGATGCATGAAGGGCTATAAAAGAGATGCTAATCATCAAGTTCCTGGTAAGGCTGAATCATCGATGATTCAACCATGAATCAGCGGGCTCGGGGCAGGATCAAGAAGACAATGCAACTGCTCTAAGAGCCTTGGCCAAGTTATGCAACAATCGCTGGTATAAGACCCTGAGCTTTCAGCTTGGCCATAAAGTGGAGATGTAGAATCCTAGGGACGGTACAACATATTCCGAACTGATGTTATGTACACAGTGCTACAAGACAGTGCATAAATTGTAAGTTATACATGCATAAGTCTCACTTTAGCAACTATAAGCTGTCTACCGTAGTATATACCAACCAGTTGTGCTTGAATTCTGTGCATGGTCACATTCTAGAGTCAATGGCCAGTCCCACATGGAATCTGGGCAGGCACTCTATTCTAAAATGTGGCGTACAGGAGGTGTTGGAGGACATCAACCTACATCTTTATAAGTGGTACAGCTCAGCCATGGTCTGATGAAATCACTACCTCTCATTTGACTCCCACTCGTCCACTCATTTGTATTCATTCCTTTCTCAAGCCCACTTGCTCTCACTCTTTCTTTTCTCTTTCCCTACTTTACTCACACGTTTTCACTCCTTTATCAAGATCCATTGCATTGTCCTTCATAACTTCCTTGCCAAACCTGGTTTCACATCCCAAACGATACCCCGAAGTTAACCCTACCCTAGTTCGTCCAGCATCGACAAACGAGCCATGGTGGAGGCAAGCAATTCGTTCATCGAGCAGGACGATACACCGCCGCTCCTGCCTTCCAGAACTGAGCAATATGTTGAAATCCTGTCCAAGCAAGAGAAAGCAATGCCATCGTTTTTGGATCATTTCGGCACGCGGGACCTTAAGGTCTTTTTCCGCTGTTGGGTGGCGGCCTGGACGTCTCGTCTGTTGATGTTTATCAATCCCACCCTTGACATTTGGCATCGCTATTTTCTTCGCATGGTCAGGACAGAAACCCGAAATCAGATCCAAATCTTTCTATTGCGCTGACTTCCCCAAGTATAATTCAGTTGATTATACCCCCAAGCGGAGTAGTCATGGTCCAAACACTTGGCGCGGTTTCCCTGTTCCTCAGAATCTGCCTGGCCTGGGGCTGGGGTGTGATTGCAATGAAGGCATCGCATGCTGTCCGTCTGGCAGCCGAAACAGCAGCAAAGGCCGCATCTTTGCAGGAGGCAGTCGCCCAATCAGCCAAGGCCGAGGGTCTCTCTGGTACAGAAGCCGCCAAACATGTCATCTTTAGCGGCCACATGCTGGATACACGCGTTGTTACAATCAATTCCTGCATGCTTTGCGTGTTCATTTATCTTATGGTCAGCACGCTCATCTCCTGGAGGGGGAGCTCGCAGGGAGACGACTAACCGAACCAGGCTCGACTCCGCGCAGCAAACCCGAAAACAGCACTTACTGCTCTGTTTGGAATCATCATTTCCGACATCTTCGTGTGCTACGGCCCTCTGCTTCCGACTTTCGTGGGCACTATTCCCCTAACTTTGGTCAAACCTACCACAGTTGGTATCGGTATCGGCGTCGCCTGCTCGATCCTTCTCTTCCCTCAGTCAACATCATATATCGTTCTCAATGACATCAGTGATGCTATCGATCTGTTGAAAACGCCACTAGCGTTTACTGCATTGGCCCTTGGGGGAAAGGCAGACAAGCTCAGCATCTCGCGGTTGCGAAAGACACAGGAAGAGATAACCAAGGGAAACAAGAAGATTGAGACGTCCTCAAATTTCTTAGCTTTGGATTTTTCAGTGGGATCCTGGGGTGCGCAGGATGTGCTGTCGCTGAAAGAACCTCTTTCGCAACTGATGGCTAGAGTTCTCTCCTTGCTGGAGTTCCATTTGAGTCGAATGCACGGGCAGACGCGCAGCGACGAGATTCTCCAGTGGTATGTGAATGACAGATCGTTGAATGTGTCCAAGGAGAAAATGGATGAAGAAAAGGACAGCAATGAGCAGCCCGAAGTCGGAGGTCACCAACAGACGCTGATGGCCCAGCTGCTGGCTCAGTTTCGGGCACCAGGCGAACGGTTATTTCGACTATCGACCATTCAAGTCCTCGTGAGCAAGGGTTGTGAGGCAGTTAATGCATGCTTGGAAGGTTTTGGCGTCGCCAACGAATGTATCGACCTGGTGAACCGCCGCCGATGGTTCAATCGGCCGTCATCGTCTGAAAAAGAGAGCCTGGTTCGGCGCTCGAACTCGACACTTGACGACTTGCATCAGGTTCCGGCTTCCTTGATACTTGAGATATCTGATGCCTTGGTGGAAGAAAATCGTAACGGTGCTCTATGTCAGGGCGATCTGAAAGGTAATGCTGGGTCGCTGATTGTTGTTATGGTATTCGAGGAGCATCTTACCAACGTAATCGACACCACCATAGCCCTCCTAAGCCAAGTGTCCAAGCTCCTCAAGGATGCTACTCGGATACGTCTTTAGAGCCCCAGAAGTGCTGGATATGCCGCCTCGTGGGTTGTTCAGGCGGATACGAAGGCCCCTGGAACTGATAGCACACATCCGGATGCCCATGAGAAGCTGACTCCCATGACCGCTAAGGCTCAAGAAGAGCTGCGAAAAACTCTGAAGATCCGCCCTAGAAGAAGAAGCTCAATCGCACGGTGCATCCTAGGGGTCTACCATTGGTTCACATCTAGTGAAGGGCTGTATGCTTTGAGAATGGTGATTTTAACAATCGCGCTCTCAATCCCGCAGTTGGTGCCTCATAGTGCGCAATTCTACTATCAAGAGAAAGGCTTTCTGGGGTTTGATCATGGGGCAGACTAGCCTGCTGGTGTACATGGCTGACTTCACCTTTTCCGTGATGGCCCGAGTGGTCGCCACCATCTCTGGAGGGGCCTTGGGCCTCGCTGCTTGGTATATTGGTTCTGGCAGCGGTCAGGACAATCCATATAGACTTTCAGCGGTCATGGCGGTCATGTTGATCATCTTCATGTGGCTGCGCCTTTACCTGCCACCGCATCTCCTGCAAGGTGGCATCATGAGTGGAGCCACCTTCTTGCTTGTGGTGGCTTATAGCTATGCTGATAAGCACATTCCTCAGTATGGCAATCCTGGTGTTGGATACAATGTCTTTTGGCGCCGACTGCTGCTTGTCCTTTGTGGTGTGGCTGCTTCAACCTTCGTGCAAGTTCTCCCTCGCCCTCCTTCAGCCACCAGACATATCTGCACATCTCTTTCCAACTCGGTGTCCACAATTTTAGACCACTACTCCCTCACTCTATCGTGCTGGGGCCGTTCCAAGCATGACGACAATGTACTAGCTGAGGCCCTTACCTTGCAACTCACCGAGTCGCTCACGGAGCTTGACCCGGCAATCGTCCTTGTCCGTTACGAGTTCTCAAGCTCCAAATTTGATTCCGAAACCCTATCTATCATTCAACACCTCTGTCATGGAGTGAATCTCAACCTTGGCCGCCTCCTCGTGATCACAGCCTCCTTACCCCAGGACTACCAGGACCTCCTGGCGCGTCAAACCGGGCTTCTCGATCATCATGCCATTGGCGACGTCATGGCTGTACTTGCCACCTGCCAGGAGGCTCCGAAGACCGGCAACGCTCTTCCGGAAATTCTGCCTTCACCTCTCGTGCGTAGAGCGCTTGAGTACCGGTCGCAGGAAGCGTGGTTGATCACGGAGAAGATGCTGCACGATGAAAGCTGGCGGCAATATTGCGTTGCCTTGAGCGCTTACCTGAAATTCTTGTGGATTGTGGACGAGTTGACATTGACTATCAAGGGTGTTGTGGGAGAAGCACATATTGTCTGGCACAAGCTTGCTGAGACGGTTTGATTTCTTCTGGACCTTTTTTTTTTTTTTTTTTTTTTTGCACCTTGGAATTCAGTATATTGAGATTAGCCTGTATATCATAGCTATCAGCATAGAATGAGTAGAATAGACTGGTTTGTAGCTTCATTCTATGAAGATGAAACCCATCAAAATGGCCTCGCCTGGTATATATAGACTGCCAGCATGAGTGGTGCGAATTTGACCTTTTTTTGCCCCCGCACTCTAGACTGGTGGAACAAGACCAGGTCGAAATGCTCACCTTGTATCGAAATCCTCTTTCCTATGTTTAGAATCCGGTACAAGACCCCCGATCCTGGCTCCGGTGAAGAGGAACACTTGCGGCGCACAGACAACGAGGACTTTGAGAAGCCCAATTAAGAAAGACATATCCATCCCGTGCTCATATGGAGGGGACGATGTTTCCATCAAAAAGGGGAAAGTCACATTAAGTCTAGAAAATGAAGTCTGTAAGATGAACATATGCAAAAGACAAAAGAAACAAAACACAGCACACCCACCCTTTCCAGCGAGCCCAGGTTGGGTATCTTATTTTACATCCACAAACAAAGCTTCCCACTCGCCGTGCCGGCCGCAACCCAGTTCTTACTGCGATGGAAAACCGACACAGCAGGTACAGCAGTGATGCCGTCGCCTCCGAGCTGTGCGAGCTGGTCGCCCGAGCCGCTGTAGATGTCTACGAAGCGGTTCATGTTTCCGATGCAGAATCGCTGGATGGCGGATTGGGGGTTCTGTTGCCATTGGGGGCGGAGGCTGAATTGGATAAGTTTGTTAGTTGGGAGGTTCTTAGATGGACTGGAAGTATGAAGTATTGGGAGGGGGAGGAGGAAAACTTACATAGTTACCCATCGTCCCGTCTGACAGTTATGTCGCACGATGGTGTCTGGCTTCATTTGATCATCGGAGAGGGTGTGACCGGGCTTCCAGGAAGGGAGGCCCTTGGCACCGAAATCGTAGATCTTCAGGGTGTCATCGTATGAAGAGGTCGCGATCTGTCCGATGCCATTGAACGCGGCATGCGAGACGGACAGTCGGCTCTGGTGCTCTCCAACTGCAATGGGGTCGTCGTGCGAGAGCTTTCGGAGATCCCACAGGCGCATGGTGCGGTCGAGACTGGCAGTTGCGACATAGTGCGGCTGTGTCGGACAGAGCGAGAAGCCGCCGATTTTCTTCTCGGAGAGACGCCATGTGGCGACGGGGTTGGTATTGCGCCTGGAGGAGGTGCGCATGTCGTGGCGCCCGAATTCGCCTTCCAGCGTCGTCCAGTAGAGACAGTTCGGGTCGTCGACGGCCATGTCCACGCCGGAGATGGGGACGTCGTCGGACGTGGAGGCCGGAGCGTAGCACTCGACAGATGTGGTCTTTTCGAGGTCCATTTCTCGAATGGAACTGTCGTAGCTGGCGGTGTAGAGGTGCGTGGGTTTGGATGGATGGATGGTCATCGCGCTGATAGTGCGCGTGTGTGGTTTGAGTTGGGTCAGGACGGGGTCGGGGTCATCGTCTTCCTCGTCGTCGTCTTCTTGTTTGACACCTGACGTGGGCTTTTCCTGGGATGCATCTAGAACACCGAGGTGGCCCATCTTATCACCGGCAAAGACCAGTGGTTTCGCCTCTGAGGGGTGAAGGGTCATGGCGTAGATTCGCTCGGGGGTGATCTTGATTCCTATTAAACATGGGATGTTAGCAAGACGTTCGATGTGAAACAGCCGCAGTCAACGGGAATTCTCATACTAGTGGGCTCCCAGGCCTCCCACAGGTTCAAGCCACTCATCTCCTCTCTCAATGCCTTCAAGTCCTTATCCGTTGTCTTCTTGATATCATCCTCGTCAAAGGTCCGCTGATACGGCATGGCCACACCCTTCGTCACCACGTCGACCCCGATCAAACCATCGCCGCTCAACTTTTGTCCGGACACCAGCATTTCATTGAACGAGAAAGAGTCCGACTTGCGCAGTCGCTTCGCCCTCTCCGCCTCTTGGGTCGCCTCATGATGCTCTTCCGCCTTGCGCTTCGCAACCTCACTCTCCGCGGCGATGCCTCTAATCCGCGAGGACATCCGCCGAGGCAGCACCGGCTCTGCCTCCTGTTTGACCTTCTTGGGCGGCGCCTTCTTCTTCAACTTGGCTTGGTCTCCGCCGGACGAGCCCTTGGACATCTTCGGCGCAAAGACGCCGGCGGATTTCGCCTCTAGCGAGAGCTTCTTGAGCAGCGCATCGCGTTCGGCGATGTTCGCCAGACGCTGCTTTTCGAAGTCGGAAATTTCCTCTTTGACCATGGCGATGCAATGTTCAGCGTTGAATAAATAATATTGATAAAACTAGGCCACTTCGCCAACGATGACAGACACGAACGGATCAAAGGTTACACAATAATGAAATAATGAATGCGACGGCAAGTCGACGGGAAAGAGCGGCGCGTCGGCCACCGCGTGGTCACGTGGGGCGCGTTAATGGGAAATCCGATCGTCTCCAAATCGGCAAGAAAATCCATCCTGCACGGCTCGCCGAGCCTGAACATTTTCTCAACGCAACATTCTCCCCCACGTTCCAAACTTGTCAAAGCCCACGCATGTCTCGTCACTGGTTGGCGCTCTCGGCGCGCAACTCGCCCGCTCCGTTTTTATATCAAACTCCGACCCTCTCGACGTCGCTACTCAATCGTCGAGCTCCGTCGCCGTTCCGATCTTCTTATTCTTCTAAGTCTCAATCCGACGAGCCGGCCCCGGTCCCGACCACGGATGGCGAGAACAATGCACAGCAGGATTCGGATGTCAGGCTGGAGAAGCCGCGAAAAACGTACCTACAACGACGCGCTGTCTCGGCAGCCCGGCATCCTCCCGTTCTCTCCGAACCATCGGAGACACCGAGCATGACCCCCAGGTCATTCAAGAAGGGGGGCATGACCCGCAGCGAGAAGCGGGTGTTCAACGACTTGCTTAAACAGATTGGAGGGGACCAGAAAGCGCCGGAGAAAGCGTCGATGGATGACCCAAAGAAGAACCTCGAAGACCGGCGGAGGGTGGTTCAGCTGAATCGCAACAACGAAGAGGACGAGATCTCATGGATCTTCAACTCCGTGCTGAAGAGCGTCCAGAACCGGAACCAGAATCAGGAACCAGAATCCCAGAGTGACGCCGTCACGCAGATTCCCGAGGAACCTGATGCGGACACCGTCGAGCATGATTCGATCGAGCGGGGAATTGATGTAGAGTACAGCAACGCAGATATCTCGGAGGAGCTCCAAAGCGAGAGCATTCCGATGCACAATGCGATCTCTCTGATCGTCGAACGAGAGGCCGCGAGGACCCGGACCGCCCTGCAGGCTGCCGTCGACGCAGGCGAAGGCGATCAAGCCGTTTGGGACGTCTGCAAGGAACGCATCTTCTCCATGCTTCACCATCTCGAAACCATTCACAACGCCACGGCCGACGATGCTGCCCCCGTCTCTGCACCTCTTTCTTCCGACCCAAGCGCCGCCTCCGAGTCGACCTCGACCTCGACCCTCACCCAACTCCTCGACCTCCCACCCGAAATCCCCGCCGAACCGGTGGTCAACGAGCTCTACCCAAAGATGCTCCTCTCCGTGTTCCAGCTCCTGAACCTCCACTTCCCGAAGTCGCCGCTGATCGGGAAATTCCACACGACCGTCAAATCGCACGGACGCGCATCCATCTTGCTCGGTGCCTCGACGGGCCTGTACAACGAGATGATCTACTTCTACTGGCGCGGCTGCCAGGATCTGCCCAGTGTGCTCTCCCTTCTGCAGGAGATGGAGGTGACGGGCGTGGAACCGGACCGGCGTACGTGCGCCCTACTGAGATCGATTTCTACCCAGCGTCAAGCGGACCTCTTGGCGCATGCGAAAAAGCAGAGGGTGCGGGACCCACGGGGCCCACGCTCTCCGCGCGAGCCGTGGTGGGATCTTGCGCCGAACCGCAAGGCCGTGAGGGATTTGATCGGGGATAATGGGTGGATAAGCAAGTTGGAGAAGCGAGCGGAGGAGAGGGAAAAGAGGGCGAAGATTGATACGAAGTGGACGAAACTCATGAGGAGGTTGCAAAGTTGAACAGAATAGTCTAGACTTGTCTCGGGCTTCTTGTACATACTAATTATCGCACATACAAATTAGGTGTCGATATAGATATAAAAGAAAGGGAGAGGGATGTAAGATAACAATCAATGTAATTATACTACTACTATACATATGCATAAAACTTGAATAACCTACCAGTAAGCGTACACTCTCACCCAACGAACGACCCAACTTACCCCAGAGTTCACAATCAAACCCTAGGTATGTACATACCTAGGTGGATGTAGACAGTAGAACTCAACCTTATACCTAAATCAAATCTTCAACCCCCAACTCCTCCCCACCCCGACAGCCGTAGAACCCATGAATCCCAAACACTGCTTCACGCCTGACAATTTCTCCCCGAGAGCCTTAACATCTTCCACGCGCCGGTCCACAAATGCCTCGGTCTCGGCGAGCCCCGAGCCCGGCGCCTCGCGGGTCATGACGACTTCGGCGGACGCGAAGATGGCGGACACGGACAGCCGCTTGGTGTACCATGTCGTGTCGACGGAGTCGTCGCCGGCGAGATTCAGGATGTCGTCCGAGAGTGCGTGGAGTTCGGAGAGTGAGAGGGGGACGTTGCTGGGGAAGGACATGAGGGCTAGGGCCTGTTTTTTTCATTCCTAGTTAGTATATGCTTGATTGTTTGGTTGTGGGTATGAATTTCCACGAGGGTGTAGTATTTCATCAACGACGGAAACCGAGAGAGAAGGGAAGAGGGAAAGTTGAGGGATAAGGGGAAAACGCACATCCTGCCATTGATGCTTCACATCAACATTCATCCGCAACCGTTCCATCAACAAGACCTTGATTTTCTGCTCCACGGAAACCCCGGCATATTGATCTAACAGGCCGTCATGGACGCTGGCGCGCAACAAGCCCCGTCGACTCGCCAGCCAGAACAAGATCAAGTCGAACTCGGCGCGGGGGAACAGCTGCACGGACACGTCGAGGAAGCCGGCGTCGCGAGCGCCCAGGGTCAATGCGTCGCGGGTGAAGCCATGCTGCGGGATGTGGCGGAGGGCGGCGGAGAGGATGGTGGTTTGCGAGTTGGTGTATTCGTGGACCGGGGGGTCGGGGTGGTGTTGTGAGTGATATGGGCGGATTGACGAGGAGGAAGGGCAAGAGGGGGAGGGGACGAGGCGGGTTTGTTGGCGGGGAGAGTTGGTTTGGAGGGTCTTGGACTGGCGGAGGAGATGGAGATGGCGACGGGATTGAGAGGCGCCGAGGGAGGTGGAAGCGGGGGCGGAGGTGGGGAGAGAGAGAAGGCAGCGTCGCGAGGGAGCCAGGAAGGAGGGCGACCGAGCGAGGAGCACGGGATGGGCCATTGTGGGGGTGGATGTGGTGGTAGTGGTGGTGGTAGTAGTAGTAGTAGTAGTAGTAGGAAAATGAGGATATTCGCGGCGTCGGAAAAGAAAAAAGGAACAAGTTTGGCGGGTGGGCTTAAGCGGTGGCCTGAGCGGAGCCAAGCGTGGGATTCCTGAATGGCAGGCTGGCAGCGGTGGATCAGAAGAACATACTCGGAGTAAGTAAATAGTAAACACGAAGTAGAAAGTAAAGAACTAGAACTAAAGCAAATCAATTGAATTGAATTAATGGAGGATGTCTCAGGAAACCCTTCATCCAGCGAGGAAATGGACTGGAACTTTGAGGAATCGGAACTGACGTATCCCAAGAACATCTTATCTGTCCAGAAGGCATCACGATGATCCAATTCGAGAGGATTTCGATTTTCCTGGGATTTTAGCCTCCCTTCTCCGCTCAATTGATCGATTCATTCAATTTCCCCCGCGTCCCTTCCCTTCTCCCTCTCCTCTCCTCTTCTTTTTCTTTCTTTCCTTCCTTCTTTCTCTTCCTTTTTTCTTCCGCAATTCCAATCCAACCCCAACCCCAACCATCCCCAATCCTCATCCCTGCCCGTCGCGTCGTGCCATCTCCCGTCCTCCATCTTTACCCATACTTCTTCTCTCTTCCTATCAATCCCTCGGTTGATCCGCCATCGAGCATCCACTGTCCCGTCGCGCCAAATCCACGGAGATTTACAGTATCTGTCGGAGGAATCTTGGGACTAGTGACCGTCATCATGGGTGAGTGTCTATTTGTTTTTGTTTATCTCCCGTTGAGCTGGAGCTGGAGCTGGAGCTTGAATCCCCATCAGCCATCAGTATCACAGCGTGTCTCTCCCCATCCATCACTCTGCTACTCTCCGACGCAAAGCATACGGAGTACACATTCTTCCCAAGTCCATCTCACCCGCGAGGTCCTTCGGATCGTCTGATCTGATTGGACTGGACTCAATGAATCCCCCCATCCCCCCCATTTCATTCCACCGAACCTGGAACTCTCCAGTCCGTTGAGCTACTGTAAGGAACCGAGACGGGCTGAAATCCCAGCTGTCTGAATCGCATCCTGCATCCCGGAGTGCCACGGGAACGCCAATCACACCTTCGCATGCAGTCTTTTGTGTCTGACAAGAGGCCAACCTGAGAGATTCTCTCCCTCCCCCTCCTTTATCTCTTTTTCCCCTTCCCTTCCCTTCCCTCCTCCTTCCCCTCCCCCCTTCTTCTTCTTCCTTTTTTCTCTTCCTCCTCCCTCCATCTTTCCTTTCCTCTCTTCTTCCTTTCTGATTTCCCCTCCTCGTGCGGACCTTTCCCCAACCTGTCGGTTTTGTGGCTTACCTTTGAGGTGTGATCTCCAGCTGACGTTTATCGACCCTACCAAGTAAGTGGATTTATGTTTGCATTTATGTGACTCTATTCGATCTTGTGTTTCGGTTTGGATGCTGGGAACGTGATGCTTGTGGTCGGGCCTGGTGGCTTTTTCCTCCCGGTGCACCACCTTTATTGTTCCCTCCTCCCTCTTGTTTTCTACTTCTACTTCGTACACCTTGTTTTTTCGTCTCGTCTTCGTCCGCTCCTCTCCTTCCACCTTTTCTCTCCCGTTTAAGTTTTTTCGTTTCGCTGAGAAATCCAACTTTCTTGGGTGCGATGAAAAGAGATGGTGAGATTGATGGCTGCACGACTGCAACAGCTGGGTTTAGTTACCACGCGTAGTTGGAGTTGGGGGTCTGGGCGAGCAGTAGCTCTCTCGTCCTCCCGTCCCCACTCGACCATATTGACTGAGAGGGCGCTGTCCGGTTCTATTCATGTCCCTGTCCGTTGCCTTTTTTTTGATTTTGATTTTTTTTTTTTTTTCTCTCTCTCTCTTTTTCTTCTTCTCTGTACCAGAGTGGCTATCGCTGTTTCTCCTACTCAAAATCCCGTCGGATTTCGCGTGGGATGATCCCCCGGAGCACCGCGGGTCCCCAAACGGCCAAGCCCAAAGGTCCCCGGCGCGCTGCTTTGTCACCGGCAGCTCAGCCCGTGTCACCTGACCCGGGTCGTTGTTCGGTTCCTCCAATTCGATTCATCCATTCATTCCCAGATTCCCAGCAGTAACCTTGCGATTCCTGTTCTGTCTTGCCGCCCCTTTCCTCCCTCCCTTCCCTTCTTTCTTTTCTTCTTCTTTTTTTTTTCTTTTATTCTGCCTGGCTCTTCCCCACGCCAGGCTTCCTCATTCGTCGATGCCGGCCTCCTTCTCTGATACTGACCACGCGCAGCGCGAAAGGTCTCGTTCTCCCCGTCGTCGTTCGCGCAGCCCTCGACGCTCTAGCCGTCGTTCGTATTCGCCGCGCAGCCGTTCTCGCAGCCGTGACGACTATCGCCGCAGTGACCGTCGCTCTCGCTCGCCTATGAGTACTGCTCCTGGCCCCTCCGGAGGACAATCAGGTTTTGGTTACGGCGGCCGCAGCAGCTACCCGCCGCCCCCCAGATCGTTCGAAGATCGCGCTTCCGCCAAAGAACATATGATGCAATCAGTGCGCGAATCGTCCCAGCAAGACCGTCGCGTCTATGTGGGCAACCTATCCTACGATGTCAAATGGCATCATCTAAAAGACTTTATGAGACAGGGTGAGCAGGGTCATATCGTGTCGGGCGTGTGATTTGTTTATTTTTTTTTTCATTGTTGATTCTATCGCCTGTTGCATCTTGCTGGATTTGGAATTCGTGGCTGACCAGGAGGGGAAAACGATCTTTCCGCGTGATTTACAGCTGGAGAAGTTATCTTTGCCGACGTCTTACTGCTTCCGAATGGAATGTCGAAGGTGGGCGCCAATGCGTAGTTTGCGGCTGGTTTTCTTTTCGTTCCGTTTCTGTTTTACCTGTGCCTCTTGTGTTTCCTGGCTTCCCCCTTCTCCCCCCTTTGGCTTTGATTTGATGGACTGTTGGGTTGACGGGCTGGGCCTGGCTGTCCGGGATATTGTAGGGATGCGGGTAAGTGTTGGTCCTTGTCTTGTCGCGTGCGCAATCCCGCCCTGACTAACTCGTTTTCCCTACAGGATTGTGGAATACGCGAACAGGGAGCAAGCGCAAAACGCCGTCAACACGCTTAGCAACCAGAATTTGATGGGTCGACTTGTCTACGTCCGCGAGGTATTTACATCTCTCCCTCGATCGCGTCTGGTCGTTTGTCGAGTGGGAAGAGGTGCTGATTGATACTGTTCTACTCTAGGACCGTGAACCAGAGCCTCGTTTCACCGGCCCACCTTCTCGTGGTGACTTTGGCGGCGGTGGCCGCGGTGGTTTCGGTGGTGGTGGTTTCGGCGGTCCCGGTGGTGGTGCCGGTGGCGGCGGCCGTCAGCTCTACGTGGCTAATGTTTGTTGCCCCCTCCCCCGACCTTACGGGCGTAACTGGATAGGATACTTGATATGATGACAGGTTATTGACCATCTCGGCCTTGTTTAGCTCCCTTTCAACGTTGGCTGGCAAGACTTGAAGGATCTTTTCCGCCAAGCAGGTAAGGCCCTTCTCCCACAGCGAATAACGTCTTCAATTGCCCCTATGCTTTGTGGCATCGGGCATCCGCGTTAACCCCGAGTCCTTTCGTCTTTTAGCTCAGCAAGGCGCCGTCATCCGTGCCGATGTCCACACCGATCCTTCTGGCCGTCCCAAGGGCTCCGGTATCGTCGCCTTTGAGTCCCCCGAGGATGCTCGCAATGCCATCCAACACTTCAACGGCTACGACTGGCAGGGTCGAGCCCTGGAGGTGCGCGAAGACCGCTTTGCTGGGGCCGGTCCCGGCTTCGGCGGCCGCGGTGGTTTTGGCGGCGGCTTCGGTGGTCGTGGTGGTTTTGGCGGCGGCCGCGGTGGCTTTGCCGGCCGTGGCGGCTTCGGTGGTGGCTTCGGTGGTCGTGGTGGTTTCGGCGGCGGCGGCTTCCCTGGTGGTCCCGGGGGCTTCGAGGGCGTGGCTTCCGTGCCGCCCAACACCTTCACGGACTTTGCCACCTCGGGTGGTGACAAGAGTGCTATCATCTACGTCCGTAACGTGAGTAGTCCCTGTGGAATGGGAAGAGGATGGGTGATATCAACTAACGTGTGACCTGTCATAGTTGCCCTGGTCGACTTGCAACGAAGATCTTGTGGACTTGTTCTCGACCATCGGCAAGGTTGACCGCGCTGAGATCCAGTACGAGCCCAACGGCCGCTCGCGTGGTACGGGTGTGGTTCAGTTCGACAGTGCTGATACCGCAGAAACCGCGATCGGTACGTTCGATCTTTTTTTTTTTTTTTTTACTTTTTCTGTTTTGAGCGAGTTCCGACCTGGATGCTAACGGACATCACACTAGCCAAATTCACCGGTTACCAGTACGGTGGCCGTCCTCTCGGCATCACCTTCGTCAAGTACATGAATGTCGACCCCGGCCATGGCGATGTTATGGACGGCGGTGACCCGACCGGAGGAATCACGCAGGATCAGATGATGTAATTGTATCCATATTATGTTGTCTTTCCCTTTTGTTTCTTTTTTTTTTTTTTTTTTTCTCTCCCTGCAGGTAGGCTCATGAGGAAGAAAAAGTTTTGTGATGTCAGTTCTAAAACCAACGACCTGTTCTTGGGTGGATTCGAATATGCCATGTGATCTGATTCCCTAGTGTGCCTTCTTTATCTTGCGTGTTGATTCCTTTCGGCGGTCTGATTTCTAGTTTTGTACGGGACCAGTTGAATCTCGAATGTATTGTCATTTTGTTCCTTGGTTGTGAACCGTTGTCTATCTATCCAACTGGTCGATTTGCAGAACTTCCATTCCACCATATATATACATATAGACCTATTGTAGCGTAATATATTATGATGTCCTCAATGTTGACGTTCTGCAGGGACAGGTTGCACCGCAGTGGCCATGTAGATGAAATGAATGAACGGATGCCTTGATCAATACTAAATTGATCGGTTTATCGGTTGATGTAGACTCGAGGTCTTCCTCAGTGTTGCCTATCTAAAAGGTGCCAATTCAGAGCTTGCCTCAGGAATCAAAAAGCCAGCACTCAAATGATGATATATATCTTCTCAAGCAGAAGTAGGTGCAAACTCCGAATGTACACGGACAAACTGAGGACGCCTAGTTTAGAAAATCAAACCCAATGAATCACATCAAGCCATTGAACTCAAGAAGTAAAGAAGAAAAAGTGATAGATAGATGGATAGATCAATAATGTACAGACGAATCGAAATGTAACGAAATCAAGCTAGCTCGACAAAAGAGAGGGAAAAAGAAAAAGAAAAAAGCAAATCATAAAACGAAACCCAAGCCAGAGACGCCTTCCATATACCAACCGATCCATATCCCCCATCCTGTAGGTCCCGATTGACCTGACCTAACTAACCTAGCCAACCACCCAATGAAGCAACCAGACCAGCCCTATCCTGTTACCGGTAGGGCATTTGAGAACGCCAGTTTGTTGCAGTCGTAAGCACAGATCCAAGGAAATGAACAAAGGAAACGAACAAAGGAAATAACCCCTCCCCCAAAAAAATCCAGCACGGACTCCTTCACGGGTATCCAAGCCGAACAGCAATGAAGCAAAATAATGTACATATAAATATGAAGATCAAGAGGAAAATATAATAAGAACCATGACCATGAAGCTCGGAACAAAGGAAATGGAAACAAAGGAAAAAATATTGGAGGAGAGGGGGAAAGGGAAGGTTTGGTGTGATGTGATGATATGTCAGATTGTGACTGCTCTGATTCTTGTTTTCCCTTGTGTCACTCACTCACATCCCTTTCCTTTCCTTTCCTCTTCTCCGTTTTTGTTTTCGGTTTTGTTTTTCTCTCTTTCTTTGGTATATATATTTTTTTCTGTGATCAGTTTAGGCAGAAGAGACATTGGCCGGAGGGTAATGCCCCGGGATTCTCAGTTCGAGAGTTGATACGCTGTTCTTGCTTTGAGCCGAGGGCCGTTTGGTGCTCTCAGTAGTGATGCCGTTGGGGGTGATTCCCCCAGACGACATCACGGGAACGCTCTTCGCCGACGTGACTTCGGCGGCAGGACCGAGGGTTTTCCCCTGCGCGTCGCCGGCAGGCTTCTCAGATCCTGAGATGGATGGCTCCGGTCCCTCGTCAATCGACGTGGGAACAGTGTTGTGGGTGTGATCGGTCACATTTGTGGAGTCCCGGGAGCTCCCCGAGCCCATTCCGGCAACGAACAAGGTATGCGATTGGGAAGAGTTATCTCCTCCATAGAACCGAGAGCCGCCTTGACTTTCAGATGCAGAGTAGATTTGTTGGGCCTCCTGCTGCTTCTGACGAGCGCTGGGATCGGTGGGGCTCATCCAAGCACCATAATAGCTGTCGTGCCGTTCGAACGGGATGCCTCGAGATGGGCCGGCTGCCGGCACGGATCGAGGTTGGTTCTCATCCAAGGCTCGATTCGACATGGACTGGGTATCGGGGTCGAAGTGATCGGGTAAAGATCCGGCGGCGGCTAGCAGGTCCCTCTCACCGGAGCTCTCTCCACTTGAAGGCGACAGTGGGGCCTGCAAATGGCGGTCTATCTGCACATCACTGGGGAACCGGCCACCCGGCTCACGAGGCTGGGACGCAGGCCGCTCCTGATTTAAAACCGCTGATTCCGGAGAGTAAGGCGTTCGGTCGGCTTCGTCTTCATCCATAACTCCGTCGATGCTGGTACGATAGCTGTTGCCACTGACCGTTCGCACATGTCTCCGGACAAAAGCGTTGCGAGCTTCGCCTGTCTTGGAGATCAGACTTTCGATGTCTTCGTACCACGCCATCATGGTCTCGTGAGACTCTGCACGGAAGACCCATGAGTGGCCTCGATGCATGGTACCCGTCTGTCGGCCCTTCAACATGAATTTGTGCGACGTCGAATCCGGTTGAGAATGCGTGCCGAGCTTTTGTTCCGGGAGGTACAGCGACATGACCGGCGTTTGCCAGGCCACTCGATCGGCAGATTTGAATTCGTGAAGATGCGTCGGAGACAACACATACCTGCAGTATCGGGTTAGAAAGCCTGTTATTTTCCCCGACGACGCGACTGAAAAGAGGAACAAGAAACAAGTGCTGAATACACTTACCAGCCAGGCGTATAGCTCTTCAGGTACTTGCTTTTACGCTCGAGCATGCCCGACCGAACTTCTGCTGCAGCGGGATGATCCTTGCCCGGGTAAGAAATGTTCTCCACGTCTCGAAGAGGAACTCGAGGATCGACAAGCTCATCCGTCGTGGCAATGAACGAATTCCATTCGTGGTCGTGGGGCATGGAAATCGGTCCAGCCCGCAATTTGTTGACGGTGTCGTACGTCTCGTCCGCCTCCCGTTTGAGAATGCTGGCATATGCGTTGTAGGCCTTCTGGATCTCGCTAACCACGATGGATTCTAGCTCGCGACCAGAATTTTCCAAGTTCAAGAACGCCTGCATGACACAATTTGGATTAGCGGTCAGATCCCTCCAAAAGGGTACACCGAGAATGGAGGGGTTCATACCCTGTGCAGGTAGTTCTCTTCCTCGATCTGCTTCTCGATCTGTTTGTCAACACCCAGTCGGACGATGAAAGGGTCGCCTTTGCCCGAGGTAGCGGACGGGTCGGTGTCGACCAGTCCGAGCGATTCGTGCAGCTGCCGCACAGACTTGCGTGTGGCGTCAACCTCCTTGTCCACGGAGTTCCGGAAATCACCCGACAGACTCCTGATTTCCTTGGTTTTCTTCTGCAGGTCGTTCCGGAGACCCATCAGCTGACTGACAACCTCGTTCTCCACCTCGGCGGCCTTCGTTGCTTCCAAATAGCCTTGTCGGTGAAAGTCTCGCAGGATCTCGGTCGCATCTCCCAGACCTCCCGATTTGAGGAACGTGGGAGGGAGGGATGTATTGTTCACGACATTCGATGCCGACATGAACAGCTTCGCTCGGGCTTCGTAGGATTTCTGGATTTCCTTAAAGAAGATGATCAGGTCTTTGAGAGTTTTGCGCCACGCTGCGACTCGATTAGCAACTTTTTGCGATGGGACCGGCGCACACAACGAATGCTCAAAACTTACCCTGAAAGCGATTCGCCAGAACTTCAGTTGGCGTTCCGTCCGTGGGGATAGGAATATAGAAGGCGCTGTTTTGATCATCTGCGCCTTCGACGCCGTACTTCTCCTTATCGCCGAGGACTAGACTGCGCACGCTGCCAGCGCGCAAGCTGCGCTTACTTCCGCTGCGGCGCATGCTACCTCGTTTGCTGAGCGACGACTTCTTCTTCAGCGTGCCGGTGGCGGATCGCGTCGGGGTTGCGGAGCGACTGGACAATTGCGAGACGGAACGTTGCATACCGGCAGACGAGGGACCCCCCAGAACGACGGAGCCACATTGTGTGGCTGCATCGAAATCCTCGTGAAAGCGACCGGCACGAGGAAGAGCGGACGGTTCCACGACAGCGCCGTGGGCGAGGTTGTAAGCGGAGGAGCTGGCGGCGAACGAGTTGGGCCGGGAGCCTGATCGCGTGCCGTAACCCCGACTGGAAACGACGGAATCGGGGACTTGCGAGGGGGCGCCGTATACGTCCTGTACGGGCGTTTGCGACCGTAGTAGGGTGGCCATTGTTGTATAGAAGGGAGGAGGGGGAGGAAGAGGAGAGGGGAAACGGCGCAGGGAGGCAAAGTATTGAAAGAGGAGGGGAAGGTTTGAGGCAACAGAGAATAATCGGGCGGTGCAGACCCAGACCCGTGATGGAAGATCAAATCAGAAGCCGAGGAAATGGGAGAGTCGGGCTGCGATAAGGCTATATACGCCGGGTGATAATAATAGTAGGCCGAACTAAACCTGCAGATCCGCGAGAGGGGAGGCGAGGCGAGAAGAGGTCCGGATAGGAGGGAACAAGAAAGGGAGGAAGAAGAGGAAGAGGAAGAGAAGAGGACGAGAGAGATAGGGGAAGGGAGGAATGACGGACGATGAATTCAGGACACAAAATAAAATGAAATGAACTGAAATATGATAAAATAAAAATAAAACAAAAAAGGATAATAATTTTAAAAAAAGAGGGAAAAAAAAAGGAGAGGGCAAAAAAAACCAAGGATGGAGGATAAATGCAAGATGAACGCGAAATCGCTTCCTTCCCCGACGGCGTTACCCAGCGAACGGGGATGGTGGCAGGCAATGAGGTCTGGATCGAACGGTTATGCGGGGGCAATCCGTCACTTCCTTCTCTCTGTCCTTCTCCCTACCTTCGCGAGGCAAGAGAAAAGGAACTGGACATGGAATGACCGGCTGTCGAACAGGCCGATCGTTGATACTAGCCAGGTCCCACCGGGTCTAGGAGGGCACTATCGAGGATTTAGGGGGACAGTGTAATTAGAAGATGATACGGAGTCGTAGTAGCGGTTAATTTGGGAGGAACGCAATTAATCTCAATCAGCCCGTCAATCGATCTGGGACCGAGAGGGAAATCGAAGCTCTCTCCGCACAGTTGCAGCTGGAATGCTCAGGGATCCTTTGCGGAATGCGACCTTGAAGTAGAGAAGGAACGAAGTCACAAAGTCACGAAGCCCCGAAGTATAAAGGAGAGGGGCATCTCGCCGCTTCCGGATGACGTCTACGCCGCTTAAGCTCCAAGGAAAATGCGACGTTGTGACTTCCTTTTTCCTTGGTCTTTCGTATGGCACGGAATGACCGGAGCTGAGGGAGGCCGGGGACTGACTTCACCAGAGCATTTCCAATTCTTTGGATAACTCACTAGGATCAATGATGATAGAGTTGATGTAACTAGAGGGAATGGTGCTTCATGATTCAAGGTGATGTAGATGGCATCGTGGGAACTCCTTTGGCCCGGCTGACAAAGTATAGACTATGCTACTTAATTACCACACACCACTCAGTAGTTATCTCATGTTCAATATTCAATGTTCAACAACGCAGCATCATAATGACCATTGGCAAAGTACATACTACATACTGTGAATGCCGTTGCCTAGGAGAGACACAGAGTCGGGTACTTTTGCAGTCCACGAACCACTTACTCAATTCCTTAGTCAATGACTCCCCTTTAACGTAACCACCAACAACGTGGCTGGAGAATGGAAAAAGCAAAGAAAATCAAATCAAATCAAATCGGAGCTGTGGCTGTGGCTGCAACATCCAATCACTCCTCTGCATGAACCTCGGTGGAGCAGAGCGCAATCAAATGAGGCCATCATCTACTCCTACGGAGTAACTACTCATTGTTCTTCATGCCTTCGACCCCTTTTTCCCTGACTCCATCGGTCCATCCACTTGGGTGGCAAACCACCCTCTGCGATCCATTCTCCCGCCCTTCCGTGGGAGAAATGGAGAATTTCTTCTGAGTCTCCTCTGGAAAAAAGGAGAAGGTTCCGACGGGCGATCCCGCGGTCCTTGCACTGCGACTGCCTCCTTTCGGGATGGGCGGAGGCAGCAACTTTACCAAGACTCCAAGAGAGCATTCGACGTCATGCACGGTTCATCATTCTCGTCGATCGATCGAGGACGGAGTAACTCCTCGAGACGACCACCATTCAGTACTATTCCCATCCGTCATATCTACGGTGCATACAACTTCCTCGGTAGTCCGTACTAACGCGCAGTTGCTCATACCCAAGTACACAAGCACCCGTCTTCCGTAGACTAGTTACTAGTTAGATTAAGAGTATCTATTCCGTACTATCTCGCTAGAAGGCTAGAAATAGAATATAGTAGGGGGTACGTAGTCCATCGATACCCGATCTCCACGACCTTCTGGAAAGAGCCAAAGAATCCCCCAAGTCCTACTGAGTACTTCCCCGTTCGACAAGCCACTACCCTACGGAGTACTTACCCTAGCCTCCAATTTCCTCCTCCAACCCCGTACAGTGTAGTCAGAGGAAGAAAGGGTGATGAGTTATCTCATCGCGCTGCAGTCCCCTGCGTGGATTCTCAATTCTCACACACCCCTTGAATTGCGCCAAACATCGAGGATTGACAGGGCATGATCTGCATTTCCGCAGGCACAGGTCGAATGATTTCCCATGGCCCTGTCACCCGGGACATGGCTGGCGGATATGCCCTTGCATCGATCTCCTATTCCGCGCATCCTGAATATCGTCCGTTCATCTTCTGTATCGACTCTGTACTTCTGTAGGTAGTAAGGTAGATACCTCAGGCAGTCTAAGTGTAGGGCACGGGATAGGCCCGTGATTGGATAAGCACGCTCCGTGATTGGCCCCTGCTTCCCCACCTCCCGGCACTGCTGATGCCCGCCATCCCAGGCATTCATGGGCCTGTCAACTAGGACTATGTCTTGTTCTTATTATGATTGAAGATGAGTTCCGTACTTGAGGCGGGATCGATCTCCCCTCCCGTCGACTCGAATGTCATAGCAATTGGGGATGCCGATCGCAGGCGCCTCGTAATCCATCTTCCTGCTCTGGTGAGGACTTGGTAGGTCCATCCACTGGCATGGACTATCCGTCGCAGACAAGCTGGTATCGACGTTCATTTACACTAGAATCTAGGTGTAACAGCATTGCCTGTCTTGCCCTTAGATCGAATGGACTTGAGATACAGGCAGGGAACAGGCGCGTCAACCGAACCCCCCGAAGACCCGCACGGGTGAGACCAACTGTATCAACGGAAAAAGAAAACTTTCATTGTAGAATGTGCCAAATGTGCTAGCTAAAGGTGGTCGACACGAAGCGATAATTTTACACAAGGAGACTGGGAATCGACAGGCGCGGGGGTGACAAGAAATATCGAACCAATGTTTCTTTATGATGCGGGGATAGGGGATGTGGGAACTTCGAAGCCGTAGTTCTCCTTGAGTCTCTCTCGTCGTCTGTCGGCGTACCCGGGAGCATAGATGCCTGTGAATGTCGGGTTAGTTACGGGTCAGAACGTCCACATTCGCACCCCCAAATTGATGGAACCTACCTCGTCCCTCGCCCAGCTCGTTGACGGTCTGCTCTCCCGAGGTGCGGAACTGCTTTCGCAGCTGTGTGCGACGCTCAAACTCATCGATAGTATGGTCCTTCTGGTATCCCCACAGCGTTCCACCGGTGTATTCGAAGGCGCCCATGCCGGTTGCCAGAGCGGCACCGTAGCCCAGGAGGGCAGGGAAAGTCCGTGCTGTGCAAGTGAAAGATGATAAGTCAGATCAATGATGCCCAGCTCCAAGAATGAGGTCGGAAGATACTAACCGCGCAGACCCAGAAGGGCACCGGAGAAGAAACCGCCCAGAGCGACGTTCCAGTGGTCATCCTTCTCCCGCAGGTTGGCCGAGGCGTCCTTGACGAACTCGTAGGTACCGCCCATGGCCGCTTGATTGGCAGTGGTCAGCACACACAAGCAACACATCAATCAACGCAGGGTTCCAATTGCATTGTCTCCATACCGAAAAGACCGATGGTGCTGCCGCTTCTCACAAACACACCCCAGGGTCCGACGTTCTTCTTGGTCAGGGTGTTCTGCACGGCGGAGGCGCAAAGACCGACTCCACCGGTCAGCATGGTCGTCTTCAATGACGCCATGATTGTGTTCTTGGGATGATAGTGCTCTTCATGAGGGACAGCCATGGTGGCGGATTGAAGGGGGAGGAGTAGCAAATTGCCTGCTGCTTGCGGTGGAGGGAGTCGTTTTGCGCGGTGACGGCGATGATGGGATTTTGGAAGTCGCCCTTTATGCCGTCCGTCACCGCCTACCCGCCCATCTCATGGAGCTTCACGCAAGTGGGTGAAGGCAGTGAGGGACGATCACCGCCCAGACTCTTGTCCTTTTCATTCAGAAGGGCCTCTACGCCGTCTCTGCTTCATCTTTGTGGTCATTCCTTCAGCATCGGTTCCTGAAAGCTGCACCGGGCAGAGTACCGATTCCTCAGCTTGCCGCCCGCCTGGGGCTCCCCGCTGTCTGAAGTGACCAGTATCCTTCTCTAGTCACATTCAACGAATTCGGGAGCCTTCAGGCGTCCCTGACTACCATATCACCTCTGAAGAAGCCTTATCCTACTAAACTCGGCTGTATGGGAAAAACTTCGCTCTGCGTTTCTGATTCTCGTCGCCCGATCCTCGGTACCTGTGAGCTCAAGAGAGCCTACTAATGTCGTCCTTCCAGAGGTCAGGTACGTATATACATTCTGCCCTTTATTTCTTGATCAGAAGTGTCGCGACAATCTAGCTTAGTACATCTGAGACTGACATGAATGATTTGACTTCTCAGGCAAGACTGCCCCGCGTCTTGTTCAAGACATCCACGATTATGATTTCATTCATCCTCCGAGCACAGGACGGAACCTTCTCCGCGATATCCCACCTGTCTACCCCGAGCACTGCGACGGTGAAGTAGAATACATTTCGGCTTCAGCATGCCGCCATCAATACGTGACTAAACCTGCCCAAAGCTTTCTACAAGCGGGCGCTACAAGCCCCCCGAAAGTCTCGGCCGTGTGCTTGAAATGTCGATGTCACTTACAGGTCATCGTGAATCTCACCTCCGCCCTCGGCCATACCCACCAGGACCCAGATCATGTCCATCATCTTGTCTATAAGTCTGGAAGACAGGTGGGCGGGCCTTCGCCAGAAGAGATCACGCCCAAAGGCCAGACGGCAGAAACGTATCGCTACGAATGCTCCTACCTCACTTGCTCCATCGCTGTATCGGTGCGAATCGCTTCTCCGATTCTCAACGAGGACTGGACGCAGCTCTTGACAGATCCTGAAGTCTTACAGAAACGCGCGAGTGAAGCGATGGCAACGTACCCTGACCGGATGGAAGGAATGGCCGTGCCGGATCCCCTCACCGTCCTGCTGACCCTGCAAGCATATATGGCAAACGCTCTTAATGATGGCCAGCGCAGCAAGTCAATATCATCTGTCAATAAAAGATTCATGAACTGCTTCGGTATCGAAGGGCGGCCTTGCAAAGAATTGCTGGAGTTTTTGGAGTTTTCCGCCAAAGTATGTTGAATCTCTTATTGATTACTCCATGTGAGGTCCATATCTGACATCTTGACCAGAACGAAGGCTTTTGGGAGCCTCCTCGGCCTAGTCCCTGGGCAGAATTTCCCTACCACGATCAGCTGAAAATATTTCTTGATGACACGCTCCATGAACTCGCTGCACTTATAGAGCAGAGACCAGTAATCGAGAAGAAAGGGCACCAGTTAGAATTCAACCACAATCCCGCCATAAACGAACTCCTCTTAGCCCTTGGAGCTCTGGAGTGTAAGTGTCTGTCCATAATTTGTGTTAGTACACTCGGCTGACTGATTTCTTTAGATCCGAGGGCCTTCCGAACAGACGGGTTTCAAATGGCATCAGAACCGTTCGTGTTACCCGTGCTTGAGCCTTGTTCAGAAGTGAATGCTAATTGGATGATGTAGGGTTTATGAAGATCTGGGGACCGTTGAAGATATGTCAGCTGTCGCCATAATAGACGCCTTCAATCGACAAGTCTCGGTAGACCCGGCCAGAACTTCGATGTATCTTCACTGTCTCAAATCGATTGGAAACCTCCGGGGTGGGGAAGATAAGACTCTTATTGACCAGGCGGTTGAGCTGGCTTACGCAGAAGGGAAATACACAAACGAGGATGTCTATAATGCCTACAGGTACTTTGGACTGAGTTATGACGACACTCGTCTCACGGAGGATAGCATCATCGGGAAGTTCTATGCTTATTTGAGCTCCACGACCCAGGAGGACGAAACCCGTCGGCAACTCTGGATAATTGGTGACAGCAGGCGCAGCGACCGCATACAATCAGCAGCTGAAGACAGTAGGGCTCCCTGATCTGTTACCGTTGACACCGCCGATTAGCCTATGAAGTGGCTAACGATTGAATCTAGGAGTTGCGACTGTCGAACAAGCTCAAGTATTCCTGGGTGTCAACAATGATACGAGTGACGATTTCATTATGGCCATGTACACCGCCAAGGTACGTTTCTTGCCTCTCTGCACCTGATCCTAGAATCGTAGGTACTGACATGCGGTCTAGGTCAATGACAGCCCGTCGACTAAAGAACTCTCCCGGCGGGCTATTGAGCTCATAGGCGAGGCGCGGAAGTCGAATGCCCTCAAACACTTCCTGAGTACTGGTGAAATGACTAGCGGTGAAATGGACATTGGGGATGCCTATCGGCTACTTCAGATTCCCGATCGCACTGTAGATGAAGGGGCGATCATGGCGGCTTACACGATTTGTGTGGATGAGGCTCCTGCGCAAGTCGAGACCTACAACCAGGCATTGGCCATAATCGCAAAAGAGAAGAACAGCCCGTTGTTGAACAGTATGGTTTCTGGATCTGCTCCAAAACCGGTCCACAACATGTCGGAATGGCCAGTAGGGCTGGAAAACATCGGCAACACTTGCTATCTGAACAGCTTGCTACAGTTCTACTTTTCAGTGCGCCCATATCGCCAAATGGTACTGAATTTCGAGACATTCAAGATGACGATCAACGAGGAGAGTTTGAGCAAGAAGCAGGTGGGATCTCGCAAAGTCTCCCGAAAGGAGGTCGAGCGGTCTCAAAAATGTAGGTGGCAGGTTGGACTTTGAATGCCCAATCGATGGAAGGCTGACCATTCGACAATAACAGTCTTGAGAGAACTGCGGACTCTGTTTAGTGATATGATTCACTCTCCCACTTCTTTCGTCATCCCGGGCCAGGAGTTAGCACGCTTGACTTTGATCAGCCCCTCGAACGAAGCCGCCATACGGCGTCGATCGACGATATCTGCCATAAGACCTGTCGGCCTCGGTGAAATAAATGGCGCCCCGGTTTTGGGCCCTCTTGGACCACCCCAGCCAACTACGGAAGGCGAGATCCAGAATCCCGCAGCACTCGATGCGGAAAAGCCCCAGCGCACAACAACAAGCGATGTTGACAGCGACGCAACCCTTGTCTCCGATGGTAATAAGAACGCGACATCAGCTTCGAGTGATGATGCCACGATTGCTCCTAACGATGATCACACTATCGGACCCAGTGATGACAAGGAAAACGAGCTACCGCAACCCGCTGACTCCGTGATGACCGACGTGCAGGGTAAATCAACCCCTGAAGCACCTCAAGCCAGTGGCCCGGATAACAAACCCTCTGAGGAGCAAGCCGCGCCTTCTAATAAACCCCCACCCGTGCCCCCTCGACCTGCGCCACAAGGTGACTCGCAGAAACAGCAGATACTAGATGAGGTTGAGATCGGAGCGCAGCAGGATGTGACGGAGGTCATCAACAACGTGCTTTTCCAGAGCCAGTGTGCCATCGAGCCAAACTCCATAGCTCCGGACGGTGAGCAAATTGACCGAATTAAGGAGTGAGTTTCGGATCTCCCGAAGCGTTTTAGTTTGCAAGCTGACAAGTATATCTTTTCAACAGCCTCTTTTACGGACAAGCCAGATCTTACATCCTTTCCAATGAAGGCGTACGATCCAAGGAAGAACGATGGTGTGATATCAAAATCGATGTTGCAACTGGATCCCGCGACATCTATGCAGCCATTGACGGTGCTTTTGATATCCAAAAAGTCAACGTCGGTGACTCGGTGGCGGAGCAATATAGTGCCATAAGCAGACTGCCGCCGGTACTCCAGGTCCAGGTCCAGCGGGTTCAATTCGATCCTGTGAAGAAACGCTCGTTCAAATCCACGCACCACCTTGAACTCAAGGAAACCATCTATCTCGACCGTTATATGGATACTCAGCAGCCAGAAATCTTGGATCGCCGACGCCAGTGCTGGGAATGGAAGGATAATATAAGGAAGTTGGAGGCTCGACGGGATGAGTTACTCCGCGTTGAAGTAAGAACTCAACCCTGACTTGAATACAAGAGGCCAAACTGTCTAACGCTTATCGTAGGAAACCGATTCCTTAGATATGCCGACCTTGTTCAACAGCGCCAGGGAGGGCCTCGAAGACCTGAACACTTTGAAAGACGACTCTGAGTTTGCAGATGACGCCATCGATGTTAACCCGCAACTGTTCCCTGAACTTGAGCAGCTCTCCCAGCTAGCGAGGTCTCAACTAAGCAGTAAGTGTTTCTAATTCTCCACCCCCTTTCGTTCATTCTGTTTCCCAACCGGCTAATGTATTGTAGGCATCGACCAGGAGATTAAGGATACGCAGACGATGATATCCAGTCAGTTTGCCGACTCCAGGCGTCTGCCATATCGACTCTATGCGGTCTTCGTTCATCATGGGTCTGTAACATTCGGCCACTACTACATCTACATTCGCGACTTTGAACGAAACATCTGGCGCAAATACAATGACAACTACGTGACCGAGGTGAATGATCTGGACGAGATCTTTATGAACAATGACCGCCAGAATCCGCCTACGCCGTACTTTCTCGTGTATGTCAACGACGGCATGAAGGAGCGTTTAGTCGATCCCGTTTGTCGAGGGGTTGTTGAGAACCAGGCCGACAACCACGAACCTCAAGGGCCTGCAGACCCACCTACCGACATGGAAGGAGTCACCACTCAGGCAGCACCCAGCGAAGTGGAAATGAATCCACCGTCGTATGAGGAGATCTGGACTGACAAAGGTGCAACAGGTACGGGAGATCACCATCGAGCCGTCGCGGCGGGAGACGGCAAGGAAACTCCAACAGGGCCGTCGAAAGAAAACACTAACAACCAGAATGTGCAATGGTAGGCTCCGAGATCACATCGCCAGCCGGGGTCAATCCGAATCCATTGAAACGTAAGGGGTTAGATGACGTGTCATGGTGAGAGAGTTTCCATGGCATTTTCCCTATCACGACGTGTCTTTCTGGTCACGAGGATCCCACCTCCGGTTATCGTGGGTATGATGAGGACATGGATTCGTGGGAGGACGAACAGGGCCCTGAAAGGGCTATCTCATTTCCAATTCTTGTGATTATTTGAAGGAAGAGGGTTTGTAATGTTGTTTTACATGTGCATGGCAGCGGGCCATTGTCAGTTGTGAACATTTATTTTATCTGTAAATAGCGGACGATACCATCGTGATGAACGCAATGATGATAATGTACAGAGGGTACTGGAGAAGTAATCATTTAACTACTTGACTGTACACTGTACACTACCACTACATACGTACTTGATTTTCTAGCCGGGCCGACAGCCTTCCCTTTCCGTTTTAGTGCTCACCCCTCGCCGTTTTTTGCTCACTGAGTAGACCTGAGCACGCCCTGAGCAGCCTAAGGCGATTACTGAGCACGGGATGAGCGGAAGACTGAGTACCCTAAATGAGTAACCTCAATAAACTGTATCTCAACTAGTGGTCTCCTTTTTACCCATTTTTTTATATCGAATTTACTTTTGCCTGTTACATTTTCTAAAAAATCTAGCACTGCTATCACGAAAATAGCGAATTAAAGAAGCTATTTTTCCTTCCGATACCTACAACCTTTTTTTTAAGAGGAAATACTGTACTATTGCGCTGTACTAATATAGCCAATACTGTTCTGGGCTTTTTCCGTTAAAAGATAGCACAAGCCTAGATATTCATAAGGGCAGCCCTAGATATCCCAAAAGTTAAGGAAATCTCGGAATACCAATTGACGCTAGTCTATTATAGATATTTTCTGAATTTTGATCCCGAATACCTACTGGTAGAATAGTATACTAATGTTTCTTTATCAAAATGTATAATACTGATTAAAAGAATAAGATTCGAAAGTTGTAAGGCACTGACCTCAAGAAACGTAGGTATGCATTGACGAAGAATAAGCTGCATGGAGTGCAGCTTGTTCTGC